TACTGGAAGACGAAAATGAACCACAAATGGGAGCCGACAGGTGATTGCTACTACGCTCATGGAATTGCAGCTTCATCTGTACTCTCACTTGTTTGACCTGAAAGCCCAATGTCCTCCTTTGATCTCTCTTCTTCTTTGAATGCGTTTTCTCTCGCTGTGCTTTGTACCTTATCTTCTTCAGTATATCTTGGTTATTTTCTCACGTAGATGGATAGATTTTCCAGTTTACAATGTCATCACTGTCGTTCTCTCCCCCCATGGATTTTTTATCGGCCTGTTTATGCCTACCCATCCGAGTTTTCACATATTTGAGGGCTCTTTGGAGCTATTATCAGACCTCATTGAATTCTGCAGTTGAACGATCTTTGTCGGCGTTTTGTCTGCAGACCTCATATAGTTGATTATCCAGCTGCTCATTTCTCACATTATGAGATTGTTCTTTCTTTCACATCTTACATGACTCTCTCTATCTTAGCTATATGCACATTTCAGTCAATAATTTTCCCCTGAAATTATTCGATCAGACTGAGATTTTTTTTTCTTTCGACGAGTGGCCCTGTTTAACTTCTGAATAAGTAAAGTAAATGGAGGGTATTCCTCGTTCTTTGCTCAACCATTTTATTCTACTCTCTTGGGACAGAATCGAGGAAGTACGGTGGGCTCATTGATGCGGAAGCCAGCACCGGCGCGGCGCCGTCGAGGCATCTCAGCCCCCCGGAGGCGGACCCAGCAAGCAGGCCGAGGGGATTTCTGAGGCTGAGGGGCCTGAGGAAGATCAGCAACATCTACGCGGACTGGATCGACGACTGAAGAACATCTGCAACCTCGCGTGTGTACAGGGCCCCGATTGATTTTGGATTTGGAGCAAATTGCCCTCGTTCTCCGCCATTCATAATCGAATCCTGAGTGTTCTTCCGGGTATTGGGGACGGATGGAGTCTGGAGAATCTCGGTGGGTGATGGCCGTATTTCTCTGGTTCTGAAACGGGATCTGAAAAAGGAATGTTCTTAGAGATTTATAGGGGTTTGGGGGAGGATCTGAAGAATGTTGTTTTCCATCTCAAGTCAGAGCTGTTCCAGATTTTTTGCATGTGAAACGAGTAATTTTTAACTTTGAAGAAGCCTCGGTGGTATTCATTTGGCCGCACTGTTCTTCCCTCGTGTCCTCGTAGACCTCTTGTGCCCCCTCCCCCCCCCACAATTCCCCGGTCTGTACGACGAAACCCTAGAAATTACCCAATAGATGAGGCGCGCGTTCTCTCCCTCTCTCTCTCTCTGGGCAAGAGCGCACAAGGCGTTGATAGCCCGTAATGAGTCGGGGGCAGCTATGATGTTTGTTCTGTGCTGAGATTTGCGTTCAAGGCCGCCGCGGATGGCGGCGGCGGCGGTCGTACGCCAGTCGCCGGCGCTAAGGTTGGCGGCGATGATGGGGTATCTGGGCGCCGGCTGCGGTCAATGGGGGTCCACTCTGCAGCGCCGCCGCCGTCACGACGGCGGGTCACCGATGGAGGAGGAAGAAGAGCCTCTTCCGGCGGAGTGGCGCAGAGCGGCGTACCCGAGCCTGATCAAGCTGGCAAGTCGGCTGAAGAATCTCGATCGGGTCGACTCGAGGGTGATCACCATCGACGACGGCATGCCCGTCGCCGACGCCGGCGTGATCTCGCAGATGCAGACGTTCAAGTCCCTCGCCAGCGCGTTCATCTGGTCGGCCCCCTCTTTTTCTTCTTCTTTCTCCGCCGCCGCCTTCTTCTCCGGCGGCCCGGAGAAGAAGAGGGGGCCCATGGCGCTGACCTCCCTCACCGGCTTGTGCGATTTCCTCAGCATCTCCGCCCAGCAGAGGAAGTCCATCCGCCTGACCATCTCCCCGCAGGTCACCCAGCACCACATATGGCGAGGCGCGGTTGAGGAGCTTCTCAGGAATCTGGGGGCGGAGTCCCGAGCAGCAGCCCTCGGGCGGCGCCGCTCGCCGGCGCTGAGGATGGCGGAGCAGATCGCCGCCAGCTGCCTTCGTTTCTTGGCGGACGCCGAGCAAGAGACCACCCCTCTGTGGATGAAGCTATCCCCCGAGAAGAGGAAGAAGGAGGGGGACGAGAGGGAGCCCCTGGAGATGCGACAATGGGGGGAGGTGCTGGAAATGTTCGGGCACCTCTCTGCGTGCCTCGCCGAGGAGGAGAAGCTCTGGGCCGCCGCCGCTCTGGGGAAGGTGGAGGCCATGAAAGAGGGGCTCTACCAGATAAAGGACCTCCTCGTGGAGAGGGAGATTGGGTACAGGGAAGCCCGCCGCCAGGACAGCCTGGTTCAGAAGAGGCTCTCCAAGGGGCTCGGCCACTCCTCCAGGTGCCTCTTCACCCTCCTCGTCTACTACCTCTACGGCGCCGTCTCCGACCTCGAAGTGGACCTGTGCGGACTCTTCGGCGACGGCGCCGGCCGCCGCCGCGTGAGCGCCGGGAAGGTCCTGACGGCCGGTGACGAGAGGATGGTCGGCAGCGCGCTGAAGCAGCTGGACAGGGTCCTCGGGGTTCTCAAGCTCGTGTGGGAGACGGCTGGGGAGAAGAGGGCGGCGCTCGACCTGCGAGGCCACATCTGGTGGGTGGGCGCCGAGCCCAGGTCTCTGATGTACAGGGGGAACTGGTTCTTCATACACGACCTCAAGCTCTGAGGAGCGAGCGGGTACCCATTGCCATGGTACGTATGGTGGGTTTGATCCAATCCTCGATGGAATGAAACCCCATCCCAGGTCTCTGAGTGTTCTTGAACGATCGGTTTGGTTTACCCGTTGCAGATGGGGAAATCGAATTTCTTTCTATGCACAGACTCGGATCGTTCGCAGTGACAAGGGGAAAAAAATGACACACAGAAATCGTTCGATTAAACCGGAACGACGATGATTTCCAGCAATCGACAACCAGAAATGGGGGCGATCAAAGTACATTTCTTTCTGTCGATTCAGAGCGATTCGCCGGAGTTCTGAGCGACCCAGTCGGCGGCCGACCTCGCCAGGGCATCCACGGGGTCGATGCATCTCTTCTGGAGGGGATCGTCCCGTGGAAGGAGCCCGCGCAGGTCGTCGGAAGCGAGGACGATCGTGTTCACCGCGCCTACCAGAAGAACTTGCAGAGCTATCCTCAGCAGGGTTCTCGCGCCCTGCATGTCCTTCCTCCTCAGAGCTTCCACCGCGGGCAGCACCGTGTGCTCCATGGTTGCCTTGTCCGGCAAGACGACCTCGAGTCCCTGAAGAAGCAAAACCCTAATCAGCAGCCGCTACAAATCCCCACCGCAGCAGACCTCAGAGAGAGAGAAAGAGAGAGAGGATGGACCAGGCTCTGAAGTTTCTCCTGGTACAAGGTGGCGGCGAAGGTCGCATTAGAGGCGAGAATCCCAATCCGGACATTGCTTCCGGCTTCGACGGGTCTCAGTTTCGCCGCCATGACTTGCTTGGCGACGCAGTCGCCCACATGGAGGAAGGGGACGGAGCAGCCATCGGAGATCTCGCGGTGCCAGTAATGGCAGATTTGGCAGGGCATGACTATGCACCTCGCCCCGGAGCTCTCCAGGAAGAGCCGCTTGCAGCGGAGATTTTCCACCAGCCGAGCGCCGTCTTGCTGGAAGAAGCTGCTGCTGCTGCTGCTCTCTGCGCCTTCTCCATGTGGGGAGGAGGAAGAAGACGAAGAGGAAGACGCAGACGAGCTCCTCCATCCTCCCTTCTTCTTCGAGGGAAAATCTCTGAACGGGGTCGGGTCCCTGCAGACGATGAAGGGGGGCGCCCCCTCCCCTTCCTCACCGCCGCACCCGGCGGCGAGTTTCTCCAAGAAATTGAGGGTGGCGGCGGCAGACACTCCGCCGATGACGCCCACTGCGTCCGCTCGGCTTAACGCAGGAGGGATGAACCCGCTGCTCATGGGAGAGGACGCCGGATCCCCATTGCTGAACTCCGGAGCTCCGTCGTTCCTGCCCACCTGCAAGAAGAAGGGAGACGATTTTGCAGAGGCGGTGGCGCCGCCGGGCAGCCGCTGACGGCGAGCCCTACCCCTGTTGACGACGTCCAAAAGTCGCAGGGAGGGGAAACTCAGGGATTGGGAAAACATTGCCGCGGTTCATTCAGCGCAGAGAAGGAGAAGAAGAAGAAGAAGAAGAAGAAGATGTGCAAATCCCTCCCCCCAGACTGTGACCCCTCATCCGGCAACACCTCCAGCCCTCGCGAATCCCGCCATGCCCACTGACCAGGGCAAGCTCCAGATCCCAATCGCCTCCCTTCTAGGGTTTTACCCTGCAACAAGAACGCCGCCGAAGACGCTAACCAGAGGAATGAACCCAGTCGTCACCTCTACAACACATTTCCATTGGTCTTCTGAGTTTTCCTCTGTTTTTATCCCGTTGACAGCCCATCCTCCGCCGCCGCCGCCCCAACGGGCGGGGGCGGCCCCTGGAAGCACCGTTTGGCAGCGGATACTTCCCCAGAATCGATTTCGCTCCAAACGGGCGAATCATCACGTGAGTCGGTCGGCGGGAAAATAAAGTTATCGGAACCTGAAATCGACATTAAACGCGTCTCCGAAATGGCCGATTCCCCGGTTCCGGACCCACCTGAGGCCCGTTTACCTCCGTTATCCGATTATTCGGATTCACTAGTGGCCTGTTTATGTCGTCCGACTCCCAATGTGGGCTCCACGACAATGATGGGCCGTTAACGTTTTCCCCTTTCGCTATCTGGAAGAGGGTCCACTTCGATTAGGGTGGTGTCGGAAAAGCAGGGCCCAACACCTGGCCCATATAACATGCACTGAGTCGGGCCCACTAACGCAACAAAACGCCGTAGATTCTTCTCGACACGTGTCTTGTGTATGAGGGGGGTAGCATCTCTCCGAGATCGTTGGAGAACGAGCGCCGGCGACCTCTGGTTTTCTTCTTCAGGGGAGCTTTGCTTCTACACGCGATGGAGCCGCCACGATGGGCGGGGCTTCCGGCTTCCACATTCGTCCTGTTCTTCCTGCTTTTCGTGATGCAGCTCGTGTGCCCCTTCCGGATCGCCTCCTCTCGACTGTGAGCCCTCTTTTCTCACCTATTTCTCTGTATAGCTCGAGTGATCTTGGATGCTTCTCGACCTCGTCCATACTTAGGGACTTCGTTTCCCTCTCCCTGACCATTCCGGATTTCGTGTGTTGTTCTAGGGTGGATTGGGCCAGTAATGTGTGATTTCGTCGGAACTTCCGTTTCATCTGCCTATGGGATCTCTTATAGATTAGATTTCGTGTATCGCCCGAGGATGTCCGCTTTCCCGGGGCATCTTCATCGAAGAGAGTAAGATTAAGGCATATTGGTCATAGGAACTGTCGTAAGGTACTCGATGGAGGCGGATCGGGGAGTTCTGGCCCGTCATCTTGGTGATGACTGTACTCTTAGTTTTCCCTTCCTTCCTTCCTAGATCTGCATATGAAAACTTTTCGTTGATTTTCCTTTGTTTCATGATCTTGTTGTATCCCTATTGTGGTAACATTTTATCCAAGTATACATCGTATGTGCCTTTTGGACGGATCTCCTGTTATAAGCTGTCGTGGCAGCATTCGAGGGTTCGTTTCAGGAACAGATGCCTGTCGTAAAACTCTGGAAAATATTCGTATACATCATGCGATATAGGTTTGATGAGATTAATGAGACAAAGGATGGTGATATAGGCTAGGCTCATGCTGAGATTTTATCTTGTGCGCTGAAGTCATTGTTGTTGGAATCCTAGCTCTTGTTCTACTTGCAGCATTCTAAGAAGACGAGACAGATTGCCAGTGGATAATGGAACTTTCTGATAGATCCAATGGTCGAAGAAACAGGTTTCTGGATCGTTTCATACGTGCCCCGAATCCATTTGGGACCTGTTGATGAAAAAATAAGAGAGAAAAAGAGGTTGCCTCCTATCTATTTGGCAAGGTTCTCTGGTCAACGCTCACGGGCAATCAATTTATCAAAGAAATATCTGTTTTATGAATCAAAAACTGTTTGATTTTCGGAGACTAACACAGACCACCTGCGAATTGGGTTTCGCAGAGTCCCTCCACCGGCGATAACCTTAGGCGTGCCCACTTACATGGATATTTTATCATGTTTGCTGATTTAAAACAAAGATGAGTCCACGCTAATCTGGCCATCATAACTCGCTTGAGCTTTCTCTGTGGCCTTAGTTTCCTTCATGACTCAACTTTGGTGGGGTTTCATTTCGCAAATCTGTTTTATCATCATTTTTTTTATTTTGATTTTAGTAGTCTAACACCCACCGCCTGGAAATTTGTTTCTGTGAAGTCTCACACAGACAGATGATAGTCTTAGGCCTATTCCACATATTTACCTTTATCTTGACACCACCCGATATATCTCCACAGGATGGAATTGAAATCTGATGAAGATAGGAAACGGCCTTTCTTGCAAGCAAATCATTCTACTCGTCCTGGTGGACCTGATCCGAGCAAAGTGGTCCAGCTCTCAGCCCATCCCAGGTGAGTACTTCTGGGGATTTGTCAACTGTTACAGTTGTTATTTCCTTAATTACAATCTCGTGTTGAATTCACTAAAGAGTGGGCGTAAATCAGCAAGACGGTTTGATCTCTATCCTTCTCAGAGTTTGCTTGAGTTCTCAGCTTCTTTGACCACAGGGTTTACTTATATGAAGGTTTTCTCTCTGACGAGGAGTGCGACCACCTTATTTCACTGGTAAATTCTTCCACCCTGATTCATGATCTTGTTACATGTGATGACGACCGTCACTCAAGGGTTTATGCCTTCAATGCAGGCGCGTGGGAGGCTGGAGAAGTCAATGGTGGTGGGTGAAATCGCAAGAAAGCCTACATCGGGCCAAATCCGTGCTAGTTCTGGAATGTTCTTGCCTAGGGGCAAGGTATACTATTCTATGATAAGGAGGAACCAAAAAAAAAAAAAACTGACCCATATTGAGAATTGGAATCTCTCTCTCTCTCTCTTTCTTTCTTTCTTTTTTCCTGAAGGACGAGATTGTCAAAAGGATTGAGGGAAGGATCTCGACCTGGACTTTTCTCCCAGCAGGTTTTCTCAACTTCTCGTTGAATTTCAGCGTTGACCATTTGATCCATTCTTGCTCACCACTCTGCTTGTGCTGTAGAAAACGGAGAGAACATGCAGATACTGCATTACGGAGTCAACGAGACCTGTGAGCCGCACTCTGACACCTCGATCGATCCCTCCAACCTGGCATTGGGCGGGAACCGTGCGGTCATCGTCTTGATGTATCTGTCGAATGTTGTTCATGGCGGGGAGATCATCTTCTCCTCGTCGGAGGTGAGCAGACCCTTCCTCCCCCCTGCAAGCTACTCCCAGCGGCCTCTGCGAATTGAAAGACATCTGGATCTCTTCTGCAGATGAAGGATGCTCGAGTGAAGGATGGTGGTGAGCGGTCGACCTGTGCATTGACCGGGCACGCCGTGAAGCCCGTCAAGGGGAACGCCCTCCTCTTCTTCAATCTCCTCCCTGACGGCGCACCGGACAAAGGTAGCTTCCTTGGCGGTTGCATGGTGCTCGAGGGGGAGAAGTGGTTGGCCGCAAAAGGGATCCATGTGAAGAGGACTGCTACTGTCACTGCTACTGTCACTGGCGGCGGAGGCGGCGGCGGCCGGGGCGAGGGGTGCACGGACGAGGACGACAACTGCTCTTCCTGGGCGGCTGCCGGGGAGTGCCAGCGGAATCCTGTGTTCATGCTGGGGACGCCAGACTATTACGGCTGCTGTAGGAAGAGCTGTGGAAGCTGCTAGCAGGGTGGGGGGGGGGGGATCACCATCTTCTCACAGAAAATGAGATGGGGGGACCTCACTGGTCGCTGATTGACCGACGAACTTCTTGTGACATGTCAAGCACACCTAAATATATTAAAATTTTGATCTTTCTTTTGTATAAAACAAAGGGTACCCAGTAGGCTGGCCCGGCTCGGCTTCCAAATATTAAGCTTGGGCACAGAGGAACTTTGGTGTGGAAGGGGGCTTCATCGAGAGCTGATGATCGGACCATGCCCGGGCCCTGATATGCATTTGGGTGCGTAGAGGGGTTCTGGGGTCGTTATTCGACAGCGGAGGGGCAGCAGCAGACTTGGCCTCCCTCTGCTTTTCGCTCCCACTCTACGCGGTAGGTTCCAGTGCTCCGGTCGCACATATGGCGGGGCTGCTGAGGAGGTTGGGGAGGGCTTCCGCTCTCGCCGTGCTCGGCGGCGCTTTCGGGGAGCAGCACAGGTGCGGCGCTGGGGGCGCTGGGGCCCGTCGGTTGCCCCTGGGGGCGGTCGCAGCAGTCTCCGGCGGGGTCGCGTTCCTGTATACCTGGAGCTCTCCCGTCACGGTGAGCTCATTTCTTTCTGAGGGATCTGATCTACCCGTGGGAACTCGTTTTAGAGGCGGGTCTGCACGCGATCTCGGCTGTGCTGCCTTGCCGGAGATGAACTGCTGCTCCTTCTCGTCCGAGGCTTGCATTTTCGCCTCGTTGGCTCCTCCCGTTTGTCCGTCCTTTGTGTCGTCGTCCTGTGTTCTTCTATCGTCCGATATCTGGTGATCCTGGTTTTGGTTGGATTTCGATAGGTTTTGACCTGACATCAGATCATTCCCTTCATGGTTGACCGGGGTTAAAAATAGTCTGGGAGGTAGGTTGTGGTCTGTAGCTAGCTTTGGACTGGGTTTCTAATGGCCTCAATCCTCTTCCCTCATCGCGATGGAATGACTATTCATTTCTCTATCGCCTCTACAGAGACGAGCTCTCTCTCTCTCTCTCTCTCTCTCTCTACGTGTTCATGTGGGATTGTCATACATTCATCTAGAAGTCTGTTTTGATCTGCATTTAGTTGGTTTTCTGGGAAAAGATGCAGTGCGCTATGGGATGGGCTGTAGAGGATCCCATCATCGTGTCTGTCTTCTGTTTATCTCCAGCAAGTGTTTTCAATTGATGCATTGTCCCCAGCATGCTGTCAGTTTCTCTGTCTGGTAGAGGGATCATCCCATTCTCTTGACCTTCGATTGCTTGCTTTGCCAAATTTCACTCTCCCCCGCCCCCTCCCCATTTCTTCTCGTGATTTTAGTGTTTGTGTCCAGTAACAACTGAAATCGCATCAGCTGATACTGTAACCCCTGCTAACAGTGTCATCTTGAAGAGGAAAAACAAGAAGCTTCAGAAAAAGTTGGTGAGATTCACACTCTTTTCTTTTCAGCTGTTTTTTACTTGGCGAATGGAGCACCGAGGTTCCCTGTGGGGATTTCATGTGTTATTTCTAGCTGATGTTAGGCATCCGATGTTTCACTGGGATCATATTTTCCAACGAATTTACCAACGAAATATGTTCCATACATCGTATTTTGCTTATTCTCTGATGCACATAAGAAAAAACTATAGCATTAATAATGTAGGTTTGAAAATCATAAAAATCATAACATGTTGTCCGTCTGGTTGCTGTGCAACTGGAAGCACCTTTAGTGTCTTTTTCTATGCAGGGTATGAGAATTTGTCAACGTGGAAAACTGGAACTGTACAAAATTAGTTTTCTTTACACAATTTTTAAAATTAATGGTGTTAATTTCTGTCAATCTATCACGTAATCGAAAGGGGCAACAGTGTTTGGCCGCCCCTATTATTTTATCATGGTCCTTGCATATCTTTTTCTTGCCAAATATTCTGAAATTGCACCCAAAAAAAGTAATAATAAACATGGCCTCCAGTTGAGAATCAAAATCCATAAATCTGTAACAAATAAACGTGTCACAGATTTGTGGTTTCCCATTTCTGTAAACGCTTGGTTTAGTGAACCATTGTTGATACCTCTTTATGTTACTTCCCAGAGGCCCCCACCTTCTTCCCTCTTTTGGCAGTTTTTTGTTAAAAATATAAGGAGAAGAGATGCCGCAATGAAATTGCCAGAGATTAATTCTGGGAAATCTCAAAACAGAACCGCAGTTTAGATTTCTGACCAAAATTGTCTTATATTTTCTCATAAAAAATATTTACCAATAAATTTCAAAGGTCTAACTCGAGTCACTTATGTTTGCTTTTGCTTGATTTTCCTATCTAAAACATGAAGATTTTTATCGTCTATCTTTTATTTTGTTTTGAGATTTAGTTATTCAAGTGATTGAAAAGTTTGCACTCTGCTTCAGCACTTAGTCCAGATAAATGGACGGAATTTAAACTCCATGAAACTGCTAGGGTCAGCCACAACTCTCATTTATTCAGGTAAATCTGTTATTATTGCTCTCCATTTGTTGCCTGCTGAGATTTCTAGTCCACACGTCTCTTTCTCTACTTTTATTTGTAAAGCATATTATGATTTTTTCAGCCCATGCTATAAAATACTTTGCCGTTGACTGATGAACTCCCTCTTTGCTCAACTTACCTGCCCATCTTTTTCCAATTCCATAATGAGATTAGTTGTATTAATCTTGACTTGAACACGATCTCTCAACGTATATAACTGGACGATTAAGACATCATTACCAGGTTTGTCAGAAAATGACAAGAGGAGTATGTAGTGCTGCTATCTATGTATGTATATATATAGGTGTATAACATCTACTTTTTGGTCTGATTTCTCAACTAACCTTGGATGCTTTCAATCCTAGGTTTACATTTGATCATGAAGCCAAATTGGGTCTCCATGTTGCATCATGTATTCTTACGAGGTATTTTATTTTATTTTATTTGTTAACTTCCCTTATCATCCAGTTCAATGAACTTATTTGGCTACACCTGCGAATTGGGATAGTTGGTTCTAGCTCCTCATTCAGTTGTTACTTAGATTGAATATGAATCTAAATATGATATACATTGGGAATCCTAAGTGGCAATGGTTATTGCAGGGCTCCCCTAGGAGAAGATGCAGAAGGGAAAAAGAAATATGTCATCCGGCCGTGAGTTGTTAATCTGCATCTCCTGACATTTTCATGTTTATCACATTATAAATATTACGGTATCAGCTTTCAATGGGCATTGAAAAAGATACCACTGTTGAATGGAGAACTTTGTACATTGCATAACTGATTTCCATTTGCGTCCAGCGTAGAGGGTATTTTTCTTTCTGCATTATAGCCTTTACTGTCTAAACGTAATTTACGGTTTAAATCCACATACCTATCTTGCCAAATAGCAGATAACACATGATCATTTTTATGTATGACTAATGGTCAGCTTGTTAGAACATTTATGATTTTATGTATGACTAATGGTCAGCTTGTTATAACATTTATGATTTTATGTATGACTAATGGTCAGCTTGTTATAACATTTATGATTTTATGTATGACTAATGGTCAGCTTGTTATAACATTTATGATTTTATGTCTTTTCTTTCAGGTATACTCCTATCTCAGACATTGAATCTAGAGGATACTTTGATCTCTTAATCAAGGTAAAAAAGTAAGGGTTGATTAATTTATTTGTTAAAATTTCATCAAGTTAGTGACGATATGTATACGCATGATATTTTTGTGTTTACATTCAAACTTAAAGAGCACCTTATGTTGTTGGTTTGTGAAAAGAGACTGTCATGAACACCCCCAACTCGGTCTCATACTTGTGTTGCTGAATGCATTTTCAATCTTGTAGGTTTATCCCGAAGGAAAAATGAGCCAGCACATTGCAGGATTGAAGCCTGGAGATGTACTGGAAGTTAAAGGGTAAGTCATGCCATCAAACTTCCCCAGTGAGAAGAACATGCACATGTATAACTGAACCAATATCATATCCTGCTTGTATCTTTCAGGCCTATCGAAAAGTTCAGATATAGCCCAAATATGAAAAAGCAGATTGGCATGGTATGCTGCTCATCATAATAGTTAATGTTATTAATATGATTCTAATCGCACCTTGTGAAAGTCTTAGGATTTTCTTAGCTATTTGTCTCTATTAATGCTTTTTTCCTAACTAAGAAACATGTTTACATAAATATTTCCGTAGTCTATTGCTTCTTTTTTTTTTTGCTATAACAGTGTTCCATGACTGGCAAAACAATTCATAATCCCATCTGCGACTATTTTGCATAATAACAAGGATCGTCTCATAAATATGTTGACACTCATATTCTTTATGAATTATTTATTTATTGATTATAATAAAAGGCACCTCTAGTGACATAACCGTGTCCATGTTGGGATCAATCTCTCATTTTTTTTCCTGTAAAATTTACTCCTTCTTTATCGCTGCATCAAACGTTCTTTAGCTCAAGGATAAGGCATTTGCTACATTGTCATAAAAAACCCTTAATACTTACTTTAAGATCTCATTCTCTCTCCCGGGGATTAGTCAAATCACTAATAATTCACGCGTCAATTGATGCCTGTGATAATTTTTAAAAAAAATGTGAAGCCATTTTGTAAAATATTTGATTGTCATTCACTTATTTGATCTCACCAAAGAGAACTTTGACCTAATTTGTAAATTCTTGTATTTACCATAACTTCTGGCTATCTGACTGGTTAGTGCATGCGCTTGTGTCTTGGATACTATGCGAAAGTATCGCATGCCAGGGCCTGCATTAGGCAGTGTGCGTACTCGAGACATCATTTAATGGGGCAGATGGTTATGACTACTGCATATTTTATCTGTCCGCTTTCAAGAAGGCCCTTCAAGCACAAGCGCAGAGAATCTTGAGGGGTTTCGGTAACCAGCAAAGTGCTAGTGAAAATCGCTGATTTTCTTAGCTGAAAAGCCCATGACTTGGATGGCATGGATGAGGAGGGCTTGCTTTCTGCCAAGACTAGCTTTTACAAATTAGGTTTTCGGACAAGGTGTTTGTACACCTTGTCTCAATGCTGAGCACTGGGGAGGCTGTGTACTTTGAAAGTATCTCTAATGTTTAACTGGAGTTGAACAGTTTTTGTTTTTTCTTGGTGATTTTTTTTTTTTTGGGTTACTTATTCCCAGTACTTGATTTTATAAGATGATTCTTGTTTCTTTTCCCTGCCTGCCCAAGATTGCTGGTGGCACAGGTATCACACCAATGCTGCAAATCATCATGGAGATCGTCAAGAATCCAGATGACAACACACAGGTACACATTGATAATATGACGATCCATTCCATGTTATCAGTCACTAGCTTCAATGGTTAAATAAGCATGCAGAAGGGAGTACATCGTCCCAATTTTTGCTTGTATTGAACCGACTCTGTACATTTCTTCCTACAATATTTATGCGCTGGCCCTATCTTGCTGCTTGAAGGTGTACTTTTTTCTTTTTTGGGCACCTTTTCCAACCAAGCTCGTTCAAAATCCATGGATCATGCTTGAAAAGATATTGACCGAAGTTTCACCTCAGATTAGCTTATCTTGAATATTTTAACAAATCACTGCTGACTCGTCTGCTTAAGCTTCTTTCTGCTGATGGGTCAACGTCAACGTCAACGTCAACGTCAACGCATCATCCCCTTTTCAGGTGGCGCTTCTGTACGCCAACGTATCTCCCGATGACATATTGCTGAAAGGAAAGCTCGATCAGCTCGCAGCCGCCCATCCAAACGTCAAGGCAACCACACCATCCTCAGAGCACCAGAGTCTCTGCGTCCATCTCGTAATCCCATCTTTTCATCTCTCTTTCTGGGCCTGGAAACGTGCAGGTCTTTTACACCGTCGATAATCCCTCCAAAGCTTGGAGAGGAGGCGCGGGTTACATATCCAAGGACATGATCTTGAAGGGGCTGCCCGCACCGGGTGAAGACACGATGATCCTTGTGAGCTTCTTCTGCAACCCGTTCTCCAGCCCTTTTGTCTTCTGGTATGGAAGCTTTTGTCTTCTGGTTCATTTCTCTCCCATGGCTGCGCAGGTGTGCGGCCCTCCGGGGATGATGAAGCATGTGTCCGGGGAGAAGGCCAAGGACTGGACTCAGGGGGAGGTGAGGGGCAGGCACTGGGCTGCCAACTGCCTTGTTTCACTGAGATCCTCCTCTGTGCTTTGTGCTCCGTGCTCTGTACTCACCACATGCTCATTCTCCTGGTTTATCTGCAGCTCTCGGGACTGCTCAAAGAAACCGGGTACACGGAAGGAATGGTGTTCAAGTTTTGATGGAGATGAGGGCGGGTCAGGGACTCTCTCTCTCTCTCTCTCTCCCTCTCCCCATCTTTTAAGCTCGAGAGAGCATTGAAAAGGAGCATGGGCGGAATAAGGAGCATGACTTTGGGCGTGGCAGCTCACCGGAACATGTAAAAAAAACCGATCTTTGTCGCTTCAGGTATCTGCCAACCCATCAGATGGTTTGGTGGCAATCACCTCAGTTTAGTGTCATTTATCGTAAGAATATATGTTATTTCAAAATATATTAAATTACATTATAATAATTATGACTTTGGAGACGTGTAATAATTACTTCCGCCAACGTGTTCGGATTATTTAAATGAAATAAAGTGGGTGTAACTTTTATTCAAATTAACAGATATAAAATTAAAAATGCTAACTATGCGCATCAGGGCAAGCCCCCCCATTTACGGAAAAGGGCGATAACGGGCCGTCAGGGGCTGGGTCCTGCTATATGGGCCGATCTGGTCCATACCACGGGATTGAGCAGGCCCATTAAGACGGTAAAATAAGACTGGCCCATAAGGCCCATGTTAGGATGAGCCAGCCCCTCTCGTTCGGCCGGGGATCGTCGCTGATGAAGATGATATCCGCCGTCCAATTCGTGTTTCTTGGGGTTCACGATTTGCCCGCCGGGGCTCGGGCAAGTGGGAGAAGCCCTCAAATACGGCTAAACTTCGCCGCCATCGCCTCCATCGCAGCAGTAGATCGGCATAGGGAGGGAGGGGAGTGCTCGCGCCGAGGCGGGTGACATGGAGGACACCAGGTTAGAGCCTGCTGCGTCGTCGACGGCTTGTGCAGCCCCGGCGATGGTGGACGTCGGGGAGGCTGACGACTGGAGCAAGGAGCTGGACGACGCCCCCGCCACAGCCCGGGACGTGTCCGCCGATGAGGCCTCGGCCTCTTGGCCCACTGCTTCCCAAGGTCGGTCCCAGGATGATCTTTGGAACGTATTTTCTCTCTATGTTTCTCCGTGAGGGTCTATGCTCGTCGAATGGATCGATTGGTTCTGCTGATTCGCGTGCATTTCGATGTTGTCGCCGAGAGGATTGCGATTGGAAGCTTAGGTGAAAGGTCCTATTTTTCGTTGAAATTGATGCTTCTTTGTCGGTGTTTTCCACAGCTAATGAGGGTCAAGTTTCGTACAGGAGAGTTGTGCGTGAGTTTTTCGTTTACTGCGACAAGTCTTTGGTTTTCGTGTTTTAGAATTGACCGCAACTCTAGTGGTTTTCCGTCTAATTTTCATTTCTTCCACTAATAAAAACTTATGCTGAATTGTACCATAATTTGGCTCACTTTTAAGGTGATAAAATGCATGACCTGCGTTATTCTTTCATCATAGTGATATCAAGTTTTTATCACGTCGGTCAATATTTCCTACTCTAATGTTGCGCTGTGGTTTTTTTCCAGATGATACAAACGAACTCAGGTCAGACCTCCAATCACTGCAACTGGAATCTAATGGTAAAATCATGTCGATTCAACTGACATATATGTAGGCCTTTAGTATTTCATTCTATTAAAGAGATGAGTCTGTCATATTCAGTGTGGATGACTGTTAACATGGTCTCTTGTATTTGCCCAATTCAGTGAGTCAACATGTTGAAGTGGATGTGCTAAAAGATGAGGTATTGATTGAGAGTGAAGTGGCAAAGAAGCGGCATCTTAATGTTGTTTTCATTGGCCATGTTGGTAAGTTACTTAGTCTATTTCACTTGTCCTTGTATATTGTGTTATCGCTGAATCCTTGTGAACCAGTTCTTGTTAATTGGTAGTTATTATAAGAGATTATCATGTGCACCCTACAGTTTTTGTATCGCTTTGTTGCCCCAACATTTCTCCTTTTTCGTAGCAACTGCATGTATGTAAACTTTAATAAATTATTGTGATCGTGAGTTTTTTGGGGATGGTTATGTTTTTGTATTCAAATAGCCCAATGTAAAATGAAACAACATTGGTGTGTGTGTCAACGGAAGACAGTATTATGTTGTATGGTAATTTAGTCTTATACTTGCAGTCCTGCAATTGTGCTTTATCTGTTTTTTTTCATTTTCTTCTGATACTTCGTACTGCTGTTTTGCTCTTCGGTATATTTGTTTAGTGCTCTGATGTATTTTGACAATGAGTGCATTGCGAACTTCCACAAAGTGGTTGATGTCTAAAGGGGAGAGGGGTGAAATCCTTTTCTCATCTCCCCCACCAAAAGCCTTGACCATGGATCTCACCCAACCCAATATTCATTAGCAGTTAAGACACATCACTCTCCTAATTTGTGTCATAGCTTTTATACTGATGTGGATAATCCGTCAGGTCAGACCATGACGTTCAATTCTCTATAGGGCTTGAAACGTGGTCCTCTAGTTTTTTTAAGTGTTTCACGATGATATCGGTGGTACATTAGTTCCTTAGAGTGTTTCAGGATGATATCGGTCGTTCTGATTAAATGAAATCAATTTTTTCAGTGTCTATGCTGCATCAAAATCTTTTCATGTCATTTGCTGCTGCCACGTGACTGTCCATTCAAGCTCCAGGAGCAGCTTCTGGCCTTGCCACCGAATGAATAAACGGATAGCCTGATTTTTGGAGCTCCCTTTTCTGGTTCTTATTCTTCCAGTTTATATCAATTTCAAATTGCGAAAGTGAGGATGGTCTTCACCAAGTTCATTCATATCTCTAGGATATTGCTTAGATGAATTTTTTTTAGCCTCATTGATGACTTACTTATATATTAAAATATTTTAATAGTTAATAGATAAGTTGTACCACCCACTTTTGAAAAAAACTTCAAGTTTGTTCCTTTGATTTTCTCCCTCGGTTTTTTAAGGTCAGCCAAGAACTAGGATTGGTTTCATGATTACTGGCTACAAATACGACCTTCTGATTCTCTTTATAAATTCATATTTTTTGTACCTGTTAAGATGACATTTTGAGAAGGTTTTGGTATTTTTCATCATTCCTGCACATTGCAAGTATTTACTTGTTCTCTTCTTTGATACATTTCGATTGCCTCTGGCAGATGCTGGTAAGTCAACAATTGGTGGACAGATACTACTCCTTAGTGGTCAAGTTGACGATAGGACTATTCAGAAATACGAGAAGGAAGCAAAAGATAAAAGCCGAGAAAGCTGGTACATTTGTCAATAGAATTTTCAGAGCCGTGATTGATGTTACTTTTAGTGCACCATTGGACATTATTTCCCCTTTTATTCGTGTCATTCTGTATCACGTATTTCATTGAATTCAACTGGAGAGAATATGCTGCTTTTCAAATGTATATTCATAGCTAAGAGAAACCGAGATCACGATATAGTGAGGTGCTATCTGAATGATAATCAATTATCTATTTCATCATTTCCTGGTCAGGTACCACAAGTACACATGCATTTCTTTTCTCTGGTTATGTATTCATGCATCTTTCATTGAATTATCATGCATGTTGTTCCCCTGTAAACATCTGAGTTGATGCTATGCAAGTTTTATGTTTAGACTCGGGATGAGCTAACAGTGATCTTTCTCATAGCCTGTGGGAAGCTTATTTTTTCGTTATGGAGGAAAATTCTCATTTTGTTGGATTCTCTTTGATTGATTTGCTTGTGTTTGTTTGTCTTCTAGGTACATGGCTTATATCATGGACACAAATGAGGAAGAACGTGTAAAGGTATGCAATTTATTCTGCTCGAATATTTTCTTACATTTCCTTTTGCTGTACTAGTTTTTTTTTTTACTGACGTCCACATTCAAAAATATGTGAAAAACTGAAATTTAATAATTGGGGGTCTATTATTGTCCTTTCTTATCGTGTCGCTTTTATGAATGATAGAACTTTTGCAAACTTTTTGACATCTTGCACAGCCAAAGTTCTCTTCTCTCTCCATCTCCCCTTCATTTCTCATTACTCAAAATTTAACTGACAGATTTTTTGTTTTATCTATGGTAATTTTCTATTTATTCTCTTTTGCGGTGGGTGCATCCATGTAGGGAATAACGGTGGAGGTTGGCAGAGCTCGTTTTGAAACGGATAATACAAGATTCACAATTCTTGACGCTCCTGTAAGCTCATCTTTCCTCTAACTGTTTACGTTTCTCTCTGAATCAGGTATTTAGCCAGTTGCTTGTTAGTGTGCGTTGTGTTGTTGTTCATGCTTACTGATCAGCATTATATTTCGAATATTGCCCACCGCTGTGTGTATCCTCTAGTTCCTTGATAAATCTCCTTTAGTCACAGGATCTTTGCTGGTTTTATATCTATATTTGGCTGCCCGTTCTGGCTTGTAGACTCTTGGCACATCATCAAGGTGAGGAGGCTCCTTTTGTTGTGAAACATGGGAGAGACTAACTAGTGAGTTTAGTGAAAGCACTGGCTTTTTCATCTCTCCCAGCAAGTACGTGAACATATAGGAGTACGCCAGTCCATCCTGTCACGGAGATTTGATGAATGCATAAACATGATTACTGTTTTCCTAGTCTTCCTATCTTAACACCTCCACCATTTGTTTTGTCATGAGGTGCTTCTGTAGTAAGTGATCCATCAATATACCTTATCGTTCATTGATACTATGATTACTTCTTGATTGTAGAGAATCTCCACGTTCCAGTAGGGAAGGAATAAAATCACATAGTGAAAGATTGGTCAAGGAGAGTCTCAAGGGTGCCTGATTGAACAAATAAGCCAAGAACGAAGAAAGTCTAGGCAAACCATCCATCTGTCATATCAAGTTATAATTATATCCTGGGGTAGCCCAAAAAGACACAAGTACCCAAGTCCTCTACAATTTGTGTATGTTGCGTAGAAAGAATTGCCCAATGTAGTCTTGCAGCTAGTCTTAGTTAGGAGGCTTGTTTTATACGTGACGAGGAATATTCTTTAGAAGTATAGCACGAATATTGTTTATAATTGTTTCTTTCCGCTAAGTAGCCCACTTAGAAGGAATGATAAGCTCCCACCATTCTGGTACGGAGTTTAAAGGACATGCGGACTCAAGGTAGATCGCCCATTACTCTGTATCTTGCAGATCTTTCCCTGCATAAGGTACTGCCTCATACAGCCCTCTGTTGGGATAGTGCACATTAGAGACTGTCTACTCTGACATTAATCTCTTATGAATGCTTTCCCTCATGATGTTTAATAGCGGTTGGACGTCAGGAGAGGGGGAAATATAAGATGAAAAACGGTTCAGAAGGCTGATGGTCATTAGTCTTGTTTTCCATGGTTAAGGAAGATGTAGTACTGTTTCATTCTTGTTGACTTTGTCTTCATCCTGTTTCTAAACTTATTTTTTATACGGAATCATTTCTCATAAACGTTTTTTTTTTAATGTTTGTGTCCGCTTAGTGTTCTTAGAAGCATTAGATATAATATATTTTCATAATGTCTATGTGTGTGTGTTGTATGACGTTGTCATCTGATTCTGTCTTCTCAACATGATTTTTTACATTTTGTTCACTTGGTTTACGTGGATATTCCTTCAGGGTCACAAAAGCTATGTTCCGAACATGATTAGTGGTGCATCTCAGGCTGATATCGGTGTTCTTGTGAGTGTCTCTGATTATGGCATTTGGTTGAATATGTTGTTCCCTAAATGGTTGTGACTCTAGGGCTTTTTGTATGCATGCTAGGTGATTTCTTCACGTAAAGGTGAGTTTGAAACTGGATTTGAAAAGGGGGGACAGACACGAGAGCACGTTCAACTTGCAAAGACTTTGGGAGTAACAAAGCTGATCGTAGTAGTCAACAAAATGGATGAGCAAACAGTCAAATGGTCAAAACAAAGGTGGTTAAGCGGCACTCAATCATTTCGTTTAGTAGCAACAGCCTCTTGTTTGGAAGGATTCCTTATAATTTTTCTTTCTGTTTAGATATGATGAAATTGAATCGAAGATGATACCATTTCTAAGATCATCCGGTTACAATGTAAAGAAAGGTAAAATATTGTCACTTAGATATAGTTTTATCTTCTTCTTGTTGTCTAGAAAAATTGACTTCATTTATAAATGGCCACTGTGGATTGCCTGTCTTTTGTTTCTGTTAGAAAAGTCAAGTTAATCTGCTTAGCTTTCTGTTAGAAGTATCCTTGTTGGTCTTGGAAAACCAATTTGGTTCTTTATCATAGCTTGATTCGCATCACCTGCTTCGTAAATACGTTTCTATCTTATTTTTATGATTGTGTGAATCATTTTTTTGGGTGTTAACTACTTTCGACGTTATGTATTATATTTTATTCTATAGGCATTTGTTTGGGGCACAGTTTTTGTATAGGATTTCGCTTGTTCTTAGGCTGATACTCCTCAACGAGTGTGTATCAGATGCTACAACGGGTGCGATGTTGCCTTCTTGATTTGTGAAGTTTATAAGTCATTATTTGTACGCAGATGCTATGATTCTGGGGTAAGTGACGTGCTTGGTTACTTTTAAAATGTTGAAAGTATTGAAGTGATTGTTAGCTTCAAAATCGATTTATATGATCCTATATCTCTGGCGAAACGCTTGACAGATTTTAGTGGGAGATGTAGTATACAGTGTTTCTGCACTTTTTATTTTTTATTTTTTTTGGAAATCTGTTTGAGTTCGAGGTTGTGTCATGCCTCTTTCTATTTCTCTCTGGTGTTCTGATTTTTGTTCTCCACTTGCTTGCTCGCAGATGTTCAGTTTCTTCCAATTTCAGGCTTGTTGGGTTACAACATTAAGACCAGAATGGATCCAAAGGCCTGTCCATGGTGGAGTGGTCCATGTTTGTTTGAGGTCCTCGATTCTGTCGAAGTTCCCCTTCGAGATCCTAAAGGACCTGTTAGGTTGATATCTGACGTTCATTTAATTTACATTTTTGAACTGTTTGAAAATGACACGTCCTCTAGAAAAATACTAGTTTTTTTTACGTGATTATGTTTTTTAACATTTCTGATGAATTGTTTATGTTAACTTTACAAGCAGTGATTTCTATATAAATCACATGACAGAAAACTTTGGAACGATATTTTCCAATACGACCGATTTCCTTTGTTTGGGCGGAATGTTCCGAATGCCTGCCATTGTTATCGATGTATACACCTTGGCTGACAGAGAATTCTCGACATGTTGGTGACAGGGTGCCAGTTATCGACAAATTTAAAGACATGGGAACGATAGTAATGGGCAAAATAGAAGCTGGAACTGTATACGAGGGGAATAGCTTGCTTGTGATGCCTAATAAGGTAAGTTATCCGCTAAGGCGAATTCGCCCGCCCAATATGTTTCCACCATCTTTGAATCATCAAGCTCATAACACATGTATACTTTTGTATGTTGTTCCACAGGTTGATGTGAAAGTTCTGGCTGTGTTTTGTGACGACGTTAAGGTGAATTCAGCTGGGCCTGGCGAAAATGTCAAGGTTAAATTGGCAGGCATCAATGATGAAGACATATCGCCTGGTTTTGTTCTTTCAAGCCCTGGTAATCAATCAATTCCTCTGGACAATCTTACTCTCAAGTGAATGCAATGTTCTTTTCAGATTTTTAGAAGATGCTTCTTGCAGATGGATCTTCATCTTATTCCCCCCTAAACTCTGGCAATCGGGCTCTGGCAAAATAAATAAATAAATAAATTGATGCTAGCTCTGGGTTTTCCATGCAATTCAGGGAATGCGAATCGAATAGAACAGTTCTTCTATGTTTTTTCTCTAGATGGGATCCTTTTATGCGGAATTTTTAAAACCGAGAGGCTTCCTGCTTTTACGCAGTCGTCCCGGTGCCTGCAGTGACCGAGTTCGATGCCCAGTTGCAGATCCTGGAGCTACTTGACAATGTATGAGAAGTGCTCTGATTCCCTCCCCCCTCCCCCCTCCCCCGTTTCTTGAATTACCCCCTCCATTTCGTCGTGCTTGTTATTCCGATATCTTCTTAAAGAAATAAGTTTTTATTGATTATTGATTATTTATTTTATTTATTTGATGCATCAGGCGATCTTCACCGCTGGCTATAAGGCAGTGTTGCACATCCACTCAATCGTCGAGGAATGTGAGATCGTCGATCTCCTGGAGGAGATCGATCTGAAGAAAAAGAAGGACGCCGACCCGAAGAAGAAACCCAAGAGAAAACCCCTCTTTGTGAAGAACGGCGCCGTCGTTGTGTGCCGTGTCCAGGTACAGTCGGGGAACATGTTCTTGTTCCTTTTTAAGCTAAGCTCTTGTTCTCATATACTTTGGCCATGATCTTCGCCCTGTTCTTAGGTCACCAACCTGATCTGCGTCGAGAAATTCTCAGATTTCGCCCAGCTCGGGAGATTCACTCTCCGCACAGAAGGTATTCTTTCAAAGTCTCTACATGGGGTTGGGTGGAGGGGCCATATTCGATCCCGGGTTTCGGTCTCCTTCCCACTCTGATGGAGGGGAGCAATCAATCCTTGCAGGGAAGACGATCGCAGTTGGCAAGGTCGTGGCCCTTCCGGCCGCCGGAAGCACCGCGTTCTCTGCTTGAAGAGCTTCTGCGAAGGAATTAATCGGTGGGTGCCGCCGAGTTCCTCTCATGCATCGCCCCCTGCCTTATTTCTTGATCCGCTAAGCCCAAAGATGCTTCCTTTGTCATTCCATTTGGCAGCTGTAGAGGAGGCCGTGTTCATCTAGAATCACATATGGCGAGGTGGGCGACAGGCGATTCTTCAGAGGGATGAGCGTCTTACAGGCCGCGTCGACTGTGCGAGTGTCGGCTGCAGTGGTTGTTGCCCGTTTTCAATGTGTGGATCTCATTTAGACGGCTCGCTGTGAGGGCCAGAGAGAAGAGGGGTCAAGAGGGAAAGTTTTCTCCATGGGAGGCGACTCAGAGCATGCGTAACTTGTGGCTTTTCGTGTCGACGACGATGTCTTTATTTATCTGCGGATGTTTGCATCCCAGTGGCTTATAGGCCGATCCGCCTGCTGTTCTTCTATTTCTTCCCCACGAGCTCGCCTGCAATGCGGGGTCAGGTTCTTCTCGATCGTGTTCGATGGGTCTCTCGGAAAGCAAGAACAATATTTTGAGGAGGGGGGGGCGCAGTAAGAACTTCTGAATGAAACCGAAGAACAGAGGCGAACAGGAATCTGATATCTGATGGCCTTCACTTGAGCTTGGACTTGGCCGAGCTCTGCAATGGCGTGGCGATGGGGCGAGGCTGATTCCTCCTGGTGACCTTCTTCACGTCGTATCTTATGGAGGAGAAGGCGCACACCAGGGCGACCAAAATCGTAGGGTAGACGTAGAGAGCCGCGGCAGGGTCCGTATTCTGGGGCTTACCCAGGAAGCCCTCCTTGAGCAGGCCCCAGACTACGAGGAGAACTCCGAACAGGGTCATCCTCCCCGGCTTCAGAAGCCCCACGACGGCGCCCGCCACAGAGAAGTAGCTCCCTGCGAGCACCTGGCGGAAACGGCAGAGGAAGGATGAGGGACAAAGAACTACGAAAACCCTCGTCTTGGAGGAGGGAAGAAGGAGGTGGCATTGGGTAGCGGCAGAGAAGGAACCTCGAGGCGCTGCAGATCGGGTGCTGGGGAAGAATTCTTCACTTCTGTCAGGTTGTAGATCTGCAGCACGTCGTCCCAGCCGGGAACGGCCATGTTGGAGACTAGGCCGCTGACGAGAGCTCCAGGGTAGAGAAGGGCCTTCACCAGAGCCGGTGGGAAGATCTCGTTCGCCAGTAACTGGGAGCAAGTCACTTCCATCGGGGTTTTACACATCCCTGACCTGCATGGTATTCTAGAGAGAGAGAGAGAGAGAGAGAGTTAGAAAACCACAGTAATGCATAGAAAAAGAAGCTACTCAAAGCATATTAATTTGATGATGCCCAAGCAAGCACCGGAAAGAATGGTTACTCCTGTGTCTTTTCCGGCAACGATGTGCAGCGGCCTTCGCGAACCATGCTTCGTACTGGTTGAACTAGCGTTCATCGACAAGATCAAGGTTCTAAGATCGGACACCTGATTTACACACCACCCATCTCCCAGATAGTGCAGCGTGCGGAGAAAAAAAAAGCAAAAGGAGGGCAGCCTACGGAGGACAAAACTTGTAGGCATTCGGCTTAGTTCCATGCTCGTCTCTTAGAAAATATTAAGATATGAACAGGTAGGAGTCCCTGCGAGCGGATTAAGAACAAGAACCCACAGCTCAAGCCAAGGAATATAATCACGAAGTGTGGGACATGGTGACGGAGGAGTAAGGTATTTCTTGGAACGTGAGAACCCATCATCAGGTTAAAATGGCCGGATAAGATGAAAAAAATTATACTTCTTCCTTCCTAGGACCACGCATCATCTGGGTTTTCCATGGTGAGCCGCCGAAGCTTTATTCACATCAGCTTCTTCCCCCCATGAAAGTGAAGCCCCAAGGTCTCTGACGCTTGGGAGGAAATTCAGCCCCGGCAGAATTTACGATCCTAAAAGGTGTCTCCTTTAAGCCGGAAATAATCACCCTCCTCCAACCAAGCTAATATGAAGAAGACCATCGGTCGTGGAAGAACAAGGATTTCTAAAACATCACGAAAGAAGAGCAGGATTCCTGGAACGGTGAGTGGCTTCTTGTCCCACCCATCCAACCCGCGTCGAGTTGAAGCAACGGACCTACAGGGTTTGCCAGAGCCCCCTGATTGAGATTCACCATAAGCTCCAGTGAAATGCGTGTTGTCCCCTTCAAACAAGTATTCGGACAAACATCTTCCTGAGCAAAACTAGGTTGCGAAGGGGGGGGGGGGGTGGGTGAAGCGATATCCACACAGAAGGCAGAAGACCAGCGGCGGTCAGAAGAGGGTTTCTGAAGTCCGACGGCGAAGGAGCCAGATTTACAGTGCCCGGGGATGGAGAAGATGGAAGATCAGGAGGGACGAAGGCCGCGGAAAAAGGGGACAGGCAGTGTTCTTACCTGAAGAGCGGGATCTGCAGGATGATGAGGAAGAAGTAGACGCGGGCAGCGACCGACGAGATCTTCGCGCTTGTCCAACCCATCGCCTCCCTCCCTTTCTCCTCCTCGCTCAGTCCCGGGGAAGCCGAAAATGGTCCTGCGAGCGAAGAAGCGATAGAGAGAGAGAGAGAGAGAGAGAGAGAGAGAGAGAGAGAGAGAGAGAAGAGTGGGGTTTGGGGACAACAGTTCTCAGATGGGCTAGGGCTTTTCGTGGGCCATCCTTCATAATGGGCCGTATCACTGTCTGGTACGGGCATTTATGAGCCTTTATTATTAATGGCCTTATTTAAGGCCCATAAGTCGTATCGGGCCAGTAGCACTTTCGGGCTTAGCCCAGACTGTTTGGTGCGAGGGCGAGAAGGAAGAGGAGGAGGCCGTCCTCGAGATGGTGTCCCACGCTGCGCTCTTCCCGGCGACTAACCTCCCCTGCGAGAAGGTACTGCAGAATGAGTTTCGTTTCTGATCTGAATTCTATCGTAAGGCAGATCCAGAAGCTTCAGATCTGTCCCTGGTTTCAAAAACCTTGGATATCAAATTCTCCTGGTTTTCTTCATGATCTGGAGCGGTTTTCCGATCTATGTAAGCTACCTCCGTTCCCAGATCTCTTGTTCGGACCAGACGACGCGGGGGGTGCAAGGATTCCCCATCAATCTCTTTGCCGCCGAGACCGCCGCTGAAAGCCATTATCCCAGGCTGTGGATGATCGTCTTCCCAAAGGAGTGGTCGCCGGCGCTCCAGGACATCAACATTCTGCTCCAAGACTACCTGCACCCGACTGATTCGAGTTTTTTCCCCTTTTTCGTCCCCTGAAGCAGTTGATCTGCGCATTTTCCGCCGTCGAAGACGAAGCCAAGGTTTCCCAACGCCGTCGTCATCCTCGTAGATGATGTGCAGACTGAGAGTTGGTCTCTGATGATGTGCAGGTTCTGGCTTGAGTCGCCGCGGGGGATGAGCGTGGACTGTGAGCAAAAGTCGTCTGCCTGAACGGACGGAGAGAGATGACCGCCGAACAGCCGTCCGAATTGGCCATCGCCGAGGTGGATGTTGCCGGCAACCTTGGTCCAGGCGACTCCATCTGGCGGCTGCTCCCATCGCCGGATCACGCCGCGGTGGATGACGGCGGCGACAGGGACACGGCGGAGACGAAGGGGACGCGGCAAGCTCTGGTAGGGACGGCGCTCAGTCGCCGGCATTGACGAAGGCCCCGTTAGACCACCGCCGGGTTTGAGGATGGGAATTGACTTCTTCCGTTCAGTCGTTAATTATTGAATCAGACGTCTCCGCTCGCTTTCTCGTTAACTATTGATATTACCAAAAGACCCTTCGCCCCTGTTTCTCACTCGCTTCCGTTCTGGCTTATCGTCGACCGAGTCCTTTAAATACGAGCGAACGGCGCGTACTGGGGTGGATTTTGTGCGATAATTTCCTCTGCTTCCTCCCGTCGAAGGCTCTGGAAGGAGAAGGGGGAGAGAGAGAGGAGGAAGAGCGGCCTGTATTGGTTGGGGGGGTGTGTGTGTGTTTGTGAAGAAGGAATGGCGGCCCCGAGCCTTCAGAGATCTGGGGAGACCTTCAGGAGATCGGGATCGTCGGGGCTGGTGTGGGAGGACAGGCTGCTAGTGGAGGAGGGGATCCAGGCGAAGAGCAGGGAGGAGGGAGCGGAGGCCGGAGGCGGGAACGGCAGGCAGATGGAGCGGAGCAGATCCAACGGCGGGAACCGCCCGTACCGGGCCATCAAGGTCTCCCCGGCCGTCGATCCGCCTTCTCCCAAGGTCTCCGGCTGCGGCTTCTGCGGGATCTTCGGGAATTCCGGCGGTGCCCCGCAGAAATCCAACCCCCGGAGGCGGTAGAGGCGGCTGTGCTGCGGTGCCTTCTCTCCTCTTCTGCTTGGCAACGGCGGGGGCAACAGTCGATTGAGTTCTACCTTCATGTCAGGTGGAAGAATTGAAGCCTAGAGACACAAGTAGGAGCGCCTCGTATGCCCCTCACACATGTATGATCGTCTCCGTGCTCTTGTTCGATTGCTGGTGTGTCGGTGTTCTGCGTGCGAGATGTCACCGCCAAGCTTCTGTGAATTATCAGACATCAGACTGTTTCCCCCTGTCGATTCTTCTTCTTCTTCTTCTTCCTCTTCTCTCCGGAGGTGTATATTAATTATTTACACAATTTTGATTAGGTTTCCTTCTGTGCTTCGGTTTCGGTCATCGCGCGCAGAGGGCTCTCGCAACGGTGATCGGTCGATCTGATTTATTTTCTTCCTCCCTCTCCTCCCCTTTCTTCCCTCCTCCTCCATCGGTCGATGCATAGTTTACTACTCTTCGTCCCGAGAATCTTGGGAAAGGTATCGAAAGAGAAGAAGAAGAACAGCACCTTCCGACGCCTCCCACTGTACATCTCCTTTCCGCCGCTGACGAGGAACTGGTCTTGAATCTTCGACGCCCTTTCCCGTCCGCCTCTCCACCGGCTGGTTGGTCGACGAAGGCCACCACGGAGAGGCATCTAAAGCCGACGGGCCCCCCCTCAGATAATAAGACTATCGCGCAACTGGTCCTTTGTTTGTGGTTTATGGCGTTTTCTCGACGGCAACAGGCGGCGCCACCAACAGAACGGTCGACGACCCCCGTCCCCGGTCATTTCTATCTATCTCATCCACGTGGCATCTCCTGAAACTCGCCTTATGCTACCTAATTTTCTTCCCCATATCTTTATTATATATTTTTTTTCAATTTCCATTTTCTTCGTACATTTATATTTATAGCTATTTATTAGGCGGAATTGATATATCCTCGTTCTCGGGCTGCTGGACTTTCAGATGCGGCGCACCCGAACTGGCGTGGGAACGTGCGAAAGGAGAAGAGGCGCAGATAAGACAAGGCACAGCCGTGTTGACGAGGGGGCAAGCTCCTAGTTGGCACCCGAACTCTGTCTGACACGCAAGCCGACCAAGTTTGACCAGCGCCCATACTATTGAACTCGGCTCACACGTCTGCGGCCCATTATTAATACACGTCTGAAGCCCAAGCCCGGATTGGGCCCGGGAAGTTATCCGTCTTACGTGGATGGACATGCAAGGAAACTCGAGCTTCAAGGGTAACAACGGAGCAATGCCACCACGTGTTCGGGACGAGCTCCATACGTGCCGCAAAGTACTGGAATGGAACCGAGTGCGGCTCGCCCTCGAGAGGCGGGGAACAAAATTGGCCGCACCTCCCTCTCTCTCTCTCTCTCTGTTTCCCCGCTCAAACTCGTCAACGTTCCAGTCGTCTCCTCGATCGAAATGGGTGCTGCAGATGACGATGGATGTAGCTTGTTTCCACCGACGCCCGTCCTTGTGAGCTAGGGGCTGTCCTCTCTCTCCCTCCCTCCCTCTCTCTCTCTCTCTCTCTCTCTCTCTCTCTCTCTCTCTGCATCTTTGCCTGTGTGTGAGTCTCCCGCCGGCGCTGCGAGACCCACCAGACGTCGTCGTTCATGTCATCCTCTTCGATCGAAATGGGCACCACCGGGGACGACAGTGGTGGCCGGCTTCCGCCGATGCCTATCCTCCTGAGCTGGTTCTCTGCGCTGTGCCACTCCGTTTTCCTCCTGGTTTTATCCTTCCGTTGGGTTCTCAAGCGACCCACGGGGGGGATCCCTGAAGCAAGATGTAAACCTTCGCACCACAAGATTGCCCTCTCCGCTTGCCTTGGGATGGCTCTTCTCCACACCCTATTCTGCGCGCTCCAGTTCTTCTGGTATATCCACGTCTGGCGGCCAGACAATGCCGCCGTCTCCTCGGACATGGCCGCGAGGGCTGTTGCTTGGTCTGCAGCATCTGCTTATCTGCAGTGGGGGTTCCGCTCGTCCCGGGAGAAGGGCTTCCCGGGATTGCTCAAGCTCTGGTGGGCATTCTTCCTTGCTCTCTCTTGCTGCTGCCTCGTCGTCCACGTCTCCCCCGGAGGAGGACGTCGGGCTCTGGAAACCCAGATGTGGCCATCCGACGCTGCGTCGGTATTCGTCGGAATGTCGCTGATCTACGTTGGGTTTTCTGGGAAGAGGACTGAGGAGCCTCACCCCGTGGAGGACGATAGCTCTCTGCAACACCCCCTGCTGGACGGCACTAGGGTTACCGGGGGCCCATCAGATGGGGAAAGCGGTGGGGAGAGGATCGGCGGCGCCTTCTTCGACGCGGCAAACTTCCCAAGTAAGCTCACCTTCTCTTGGGTCGGCTTCCTTCTTTCTTTAGGAAGATCGAGGGCACTGGACCTAGACGACGTTCCAGAGCTGGGGGACAATGATAACGCCAACCGAGTCTTCTCCTATTTCCGCCGCAAGCTTGAATCACGCCGCAGGAACCATACCGTCGATACTCTCCAACTGTCAAAGGTGCTGATTCTTTCGGTGTGGAAGGACATCGCGTTGGCCGCAACCTTCGCGCTCATATGCACCATAGCAGAGTACGTGGGGCCTTACTTGATCGACGGCTTCGTTCAGTACCTCGACGGCCGGCGAGAAATCACCGCGAGGGGATACGCCCTGGTCTCGGTCTTCTTCCTCGCGAAGGTGGTCGAGTGCCTTTCTCAGCGGCACTGGTTCTTCCGGACTCAAGTGTTCGGCATGAAAGCCCAGTCGGCGCTTGTCGCCATCATCTACAAGAAGGGGCTCTCCCTGTCGGTCTCGTCCAGGCAGGACAGCGGGGGAGAGATAGTCAACTTCATGAGCGTCGACGCGGAGAGGGTCGGGGAGTTCAGCTGGTACATGATGGAATTGTTCCTCGTCCCCGTCCAGGTCGGGCTGGCGCTGGTCGTCCTCTACAAGAGCCTGCAGCTGGCTTCTCTGGTTGCTCTGGCGGCGACCATCTTCGTCATGGGAATCAACATCCCTTTCGCTAAACTGGAGCAAGGGTTCCAAGAGAAGATGATGGAGTCCAAGGACAGGCGGATGAAGGCGACTTCTGAGGCGCTGAAGAACATGAGAATTCTCAAGCTGCATGCCTGGGAGATGTCCTTCCTGGCCAGGATACTCGATCTGAGAAAGGATGAAGCGGGCTGGCTGAAGAAATATGTGTACACCGACGTCGTGGTGACCATTGTCTACTGGGCTGCGCCCATATTCATCGCCGTCGTCACGTTCTTGGCCTGCATACTCATGGGGATACCCCTGGAATCAGGGAAGGTGCTGTCCACAATCGCCACTTTTGGGATCTTGAAAGATCCCATTTATAACCTCCCCGAGACTATTTCTCTACTCTCTCAGACCAAGATCTCCCTCGACAGAATCTCAGGCTACCTTTCTCTCGAGGAGCTGCAGCCTGACAATGTGGAGGAGATTCCAAAGCAGAACACCCAGCTGGCTGTTGAGATCATCCATGGAGCTTTCTCTTGGGATCCTGCTTCTGAGAAGCCCACCCTGGAGGATCTAAACGTGCAAATTTCCCATGGAACGAAGGTCGCTGTCTGTGGAACCGTTGGGTGTGGCAAGTCTAGCCTGATCTCTGCCATCTTGGGTGAAATCCCTAAAGTTTCTGGGGTAATTAAGGTGAGTGGCTCCAGGGCATACGTTGCTCAGTCTCCGTGGATACAGAGCGGCACCATAGAAGGGAACATACTCTTCGGGAACAAGATGGACAGAGAGAATTACGAGCGTGTCCTTGATGCATGCTCTCTGAAGAAAGACTTGGAGGCCCTTCCATTCGGCGACCAGACAATTATCGGGGAGCGGGGTATCAATTTGAGCGGCGGGCAGAAGCAGAGGGTGCAGATTGCCCGAGCATTGTATCAGGATGCCGACATGTATCTCTTGGATGATCCTTTTAGTGCGGTTGATTCACACACAGGGACCCATCTCTTCAAGGTGATCCTTTTCTCTTCTCGGTTTTTCATACCATGAAGCTTTTTTTTTTTTTTTGGTCTCTTCAAACCATGTCAAATTCTACGGCATCTACAAGATAGCGGAGATTTATGGTACAAACAAAGATATATCGCAAGATGAAGCATTTTTCATGGTAGCCTCCTTAACATTGCAGGAGTGCTTGATGGGGCTTCTGGGCACGAAGACAGTCATCTTTGTCACACACCAAATGGAGTTTCTTTCAGCGGCTGATCTCATCCTGGTTAGTTTGCTTTTCGACCTTTCCACCCCGATCTCGTTTTCCTGTCATTCACACCAGGTGAGAGATACTTGTTCTGTCTGATAGGTGATGAGAGAAGGAGGGATTACTCAGGCTGGGAGGTACACGGATGTTTTTGTCTCTGGAACTGACTTCATGGAGCTGGTCGAGGCTCACACACAGTCACTGTCGGCCCTTCCTTCTGTGAAGGCCCCTTTGCCAGGCTCTGCCGAAACCAGCAATGGAAGCTCAGGTGACACCGCGGAGGACAGCTTGGATTTCAGGCTTACGAGCAAATCAAAGCCACAGAGGGAGAATTCAGGGAAACAGGAGCAAGGGCAGAGGCAGCCGTTTATTCAGGAGGAAGAGCGGGAGAGAGGAGGAGTTGGTCTTTCAGTCTATTGGAAATACATCACGGCATTGCACAGAGGAGCCCTTGTGCCGCTAATACTGCTGTGCCAGGCTCTCTTCCAGGTCTTTCAGATCGGTAGCAACTACTGGATGACTACGGCAGCTCCTGTGACGAAGGATGCGAGGCATCCAGTGAAAGCCTCCGTCCTTATACTCGTCTACGTCCTCTTGTCTCTTGGAAGCTCGGCCTTTGTTTCCATGAGAGCCCTCCTCCTCGGTGTGGCTGGATACAAGACGTCGACTCTGATATTCAACGAGATGCATGGGTCAATCTTCCGGGCCCCCATGGCCTTCTTTGATGCCACTCCCAGCAGTCGCATCCTCAACCGGGTAATCCGAACTCCTGCTTTATAGACCTGATTCTGTGAACGCGCCATGGAATTGATTCAGCCCCGGTGCTTCCAACCCCAGGCATCGGTTGACCAGAGCTCTGTGGACCTGTCGGTTCCTGCCCACATGGGGATGTCTGCCTTCGCAGCAATCCAACTGCTGGGGATAGTAGCTGTCATGTCTCAGGTTGCCTGGCAGGTTTTCATCGTATTCATCCCGGTGGCCGCCGTGTGTGTTTGGTATCAGGTAATGTCTTCTTTCCTGCAGGCCATTCTTATTGGACGAGACTATTCTACGCCATGAATACGCTCTCCCTGAACGAGTTTCAACCCTGTTCTCGTGCCCATGATGGATCTAATCATGCTTCCAGCAATACTACATAGCCGCTGCCAGAGATCTGACCAGACTGGTGGGTGTCCTGAATGCGCCGATCATACAGCACTTTGGGGAATCAGTGTCAGGCTCGACGACCATCAGGTGCCATGGGCAGGCGTCGAGATTCATGAGTAGAAACCTCCAGCTGATAAATGCCTATCTGCGACCCAAATTCTACAATGCCGGCGCAATGGAGTGGTTGTGCTTTCGCCTGGACATGCTGTCATCCGTGACCTTTGCATCTTCTCTGATTTTCTTGATATCCATGCCAGTGGGAGTCATTGACCCCGGTGACGACAGTGATTTTTGTTCATTTTCTTCTAGTTTTCTGCATGCCTCCATCTCACCTCATCTTTTTCTGAAGGCATTGGGGGCCTGGCGGTGACTTACGGGCTTAATCTCAACACGCTGCTCGCGTGGGCCGTCTGGAATGTCTGCAATCTTGAGAACAAGATCATATCTGTGGAGAGAATACTCCAGTACTCGTGCACCCCGAGTGAGGCCCCTCTTGTGATCGAGAAGAGCCGGCCAGGGCCGCATTGGCCGGACCACGGAGAAGTTCGGGTCTGCGACTTGCAGGTAGATCCGTTGGCAGTCCTTCGCTACCCAAAAGGTCAGGTGGCGCATTTGTCTTGTTCATGGCCTGGTTGATTTGGTGCGTGCAGCTGCGCTACGCTCCTCATTTGCCGCTCGTCTTGAGGGGCGTCTCCTGCACTTTTCCGGGGGGATCAAAGACTGGAGTCGTCGGAAGGACTGGGAGTGGCAAGTCAACCCTCATACAGGCCCTGTTCCGCATGGTTGACCCAGCCGGCGGTAGAATCTTAATCGACGGTGTGGACATTTGCACAATAGGGTTGCACGACCTGCGATCCCGGCTGAGCATAATCCCTCAAGATCCCGCCATGTTCGAAGGCACTCTGCGGACTAACATCGACCCGCTCGGGCAGTATTCTGATGTCCAGATCTGGGAGGTACGCTCCATCGTCGCCGATTTGTCCGATTTGTGCCTCCAATGGCGCCCACTGAAGCCGCATGTTGATTCTGAAGGCTGTGGACAAGTGCCAGCTCGGAGAAGAGGTCAGGAGGAGCGAGGAGAGGCTCGACACTCCCGGTCTGGTCTCTCTGCTGCCGTTCGCATTCCCATTCCATTATTGTGATCCAAGTTCTTAAGACATGCCGAGCCATGCATTCTTCTTCTAGTTCTTTCAGACGGACTCATCCTCTGCTTTTCTCAGTGGCTGAGAACGGCGAGAATTGGAGCGTGGGTCAGCGGCAGCTAGTGTGTTTGGGCAGGGTTCTACTGAGGAGGAGCAAGATCCTTGTTCTCGATGAAGCCACAGCCTCTGTAGACACTGCAACCGACGCGTTGATCCAGAGGACCCTGAGGCAGCATTTCTCGGAATCGACCGTCATCACCATCGCCCACCGCGTGGGCTCCATCTTGGACAGCGACCTGGTCCTCCTCCTCGACAGCGGTAGGTCGCCTACCTTGCTCCAAATCACAATCATTCTAAGAACCCATCTCCCGAAACCCTCTGAAAGTTTCCTCGTTTTCTGTTGTTCTTGGAGCACCGTCAGGGCTCATCGTTGAGTTTGACTCACCGAGCAAGCTGCTAGAAGACAGATCGTCTTCCTTTGCGAAGCTCGTCGAAGAGTACACTGCGAGGATGGCCTGAATGAGCGAGGACCAAGGAGAGGGTCACTCTCCGCTGGGGCGTCGGAGTCAACGGCTTTTGGTTACGGTGGCTGTTCCACTGCGGCATTGAAGGCCAGCCACGGTGAGGAAGCAACGTATGTACGGACGAAGCAAAGAGTTTTTGTTCAGATTTGATCTCATGGACGGTGGGTTGGGTAGGTGTGTGTCAGATAGCAAGAGAGAAAGAGAGTGAGAATGGCCCCACTCCTTGATGAGATTTTTCTTGGCTTTGAAGTGAAGCGTGGAAGGTATGTCCGAATTAATGAGTTCTCTGCAGCTGGCGGCGCCCACCCAGCTGCTCAGGAGCAGAGTCTTGACAGGCTGCACGTGAAGAACGCCCAAGAAGACGGGGCATTGGTCGATCGGCGGCAGCGGGGCACCGCCCGCCGCCGCCGGGGGGTCATCTCGAATCAGAGCGAAGCCGATTTATATGGGCAACTGGGCTCTCGTAGGGTGGCTGCTGAGCCAAGGGACCCTCATCGGCAGTGGAGCGCTGTCCGCCCTGGTCGGATGCTGGGAGGCCATCTTCTGCGTTTCTCCGTGGTTGACTCTGCCGCCAGGATGCTCCTGAACGAACATTTTAAAGTATATCATGTGCCATGCAGGGATGCAATGGAATATAGGGTTACTTGATCTAGTTCCACACTTGTCGGAGTGGGGAGTGACGGAGCAGGAGAGGTGCCAGCTGTCGGACAGATTCTTTCTCCTGAAGCCACCGACGGGATCTGCTCGAATTTTTCCACTTGCGTGCACGAACCATTTCAGAAACTCGCTTCAGTCAACAGGGGGGTACGAGATGCACGCTGTCTCGATTGGCCTTTTTTCACGGGGTCAACAGTTTATGAATGGTGGATTAACTAGGAGCTGACTGTGGCAGTGAGACCCTATGTTTCCCTTTTCTTTGCGGAACAGCTAAGTGACAGTGTTTGCGCAGCAAGTCGGCGAGAAGAGGCAGGTGACCGCAAGGATGCCTTCCAACTGGCAGTGATGCAAGAACATTAAATAAATGTGGGCAATTACCACCCCGCGAAGTGCACCGAAGAAGGGATTAAATGGCAGACAAAATGCAAATGCGATTGTATGAGAGGCAGGGAGCGGAGTAGGAGATGCGATGGAGCCGGGGGGCAGCTGAAGCAGTCTTCCGTCGTCCAGGCCCTGTTCTTGCTTCCATTTTCGCCACCCAGAGGTCGATCTGAACGAGCGGAGAAAGATCCTGAGAAGCTATGGAGGCCAACGGAGGAATGGTTGCCGGTTCTCACCGGAGGAACGAGCTGGTGATGATCCGGCACGACGGAGAAGGCGGGGTGAGAAATCCTTCCTGTATCCTTACCATAGCATCCTCTTCCTCTTTTTCCCGTCGATTCCTCTTAGTCGGATCTGCCGTCTCCCGCTGGTCCCCGGCTCTTCATGTTCTTCCGTCTCTCCGGATGATCTGCCTTGTTTTTCGGTTGGATGGGTGAAATGGTTGAATCTCCGCCTTCTTCGGGGGCTCATCCCCCGTCTCCCCCATCTTGTCCAATACAGTCGACCGCTGATTCATTGGGCATTGTCTCGTTTCCCACTAGGGTTCCTGAGCATCTGAACTTACAGGTAGCCACCCATGCGGCTTTCCAGCTGTGTAGGAGCGAGCCGCCTCAGTTCGGCTTCCTGTTTTTTGACCCGATCTTTCCAAGGCGATCATCCTTTCTTCTCAGCTGATCTGCTCCTTGCTCGTCCTTGCATTCTGTGTGGCAGTCGCGAAAGCCGACATTTTCATCGACCAAACCTCTTCTCGTCTGCTTCCTCCATAATCATCTTCTTCTTGCCTCCTTAAGATCGTACCCCGGGATAACTTACCTGTCGAATCCTCGCAATCTGCAGCCCAAGACGCTGAAGAACATGAACAACCAGGTTTGCCAGATATGCGGGGACTCCGTGGGCCTCTCAGTTGCCGGCGAAGTGTTCGTGGCTTGCGACGAGTGCGCATTCCCCGTCTGCAGGCCCTGCTACGAGTACGAGAGGAAGGAGGGCAACGGATCCTGCCCTCAGTGCAAGACCAGGTACAAGAGGCTCAAAGGTCTGCAATCCTCACCATCTCGGGGAATTATCTACGGATACCCAAAGCCCCGAAAGCTCGAATTTGAGGTTTCTCCATATAATCTCTCACGGTTTTGTTCTGCTTCACCCTGTGTGCAACACAGGGAGCGCCAGGGTGGAGGGAGACGAGGAAGAGGAGGACGTTGACGACCTCGATAACGAGCTCAACTATGCCGACGACCAGGAGAAGTCGGGGAACCCACAGAGATTGCTGGGAGAGGACGACCTCCCCCCATCTTCCATAAGGCGGGATTTTCAGCAACCCCATCTCATCCTCCCCAGTGCCGGTCAATCGGTATGGTGAAGGGAACCCATGCATCCGTTCATGCCTCTGTTCATTTTGGATTCTCTCTTCGTTGGGTGCGCAGGGCTCTGTCGTAGTTTCCTCAGTTGATCCGAAACGGAGGAAAAACTGGGCAGCCCGACATATCAGATCGTATAATATCCCCATGATTCCGAACCAAGAAATCTGGATCGACCCACCCTGCTTTCCAATCATCGGAAGCTAGACACCATTGTTTCTCTTTCTGAGATATCATTGAGCTTCTCTGGTGTCTGATGAAAATTCTTCAGTTGCTGCTTTCCGACCAGCTTCGTGCTCAAATTCTTTGCAGGTTTCAGGCGAGATTCCTATCGCTACGCCGGATCGCCAGTCGAAGCGTAGTCATTCGCTTCCTCACGTCGATCCCAACATGCCAGGTGGTTCGGAAAACCTTTCTCGATTTCGTACGAAGGATAGAAAACGGTCAACCCTCAGGATCTTTCCTCTTGAACCGTCCTGACCAAAATGGGTTCCATGCCGACAGTTCCGGTGAGAACCGTGGATCCTACCAAGGACTTGAACTCGTACGGCATAGGAAACGTCGACTGGAAGGAGAGAGTAGAGGCTTGGAAGCAAAAGCAAGAGAAGAACGTAAGTGCGATGATGGCCACGGCTGGCAAATACACAGAAGGCAAAGGAGATGCAGAAGGAACCGGCTCAAATGGTGAAGAGCTACAAATGTATCTCTCTCTCTCTCTCTCTCTCTCTCTCTCTCTCTCTCTCTCTCTCACACACACACACACACACACACACACACACACACTCACACAAACAGACAGACAAATTTGGCAGAGGAAAACGGTTTGGAATAAAACATCGATCGCCATTGTTGTTGCAGGGCTGACGATTCTCGTCTTCCATTGAGTCGGGTCGTGCCCATTCGGTCGAATCAGCTCAACCTCTACAGGGTGGTGATCGTTCTTCGGCTCATAATCTTGGGCTTCTTCTTCCAGTACCGTGCTACCCATCCTGTGAAAGATGCGTACGCGTTGTGGCTGGTCTCTGTCATATGTGAGATCTGGTTCGCTCTCTCTTGGCTCCTGGATCAGTTTCCCAAATGGTACCCTATCAACCGGGAGACCTATCTCGACAGGCTCGCGCTCAGGTTGGTCGTAATTGAAACTCCTTCCGACCACCCTCGTCAGATTTCTTCATCTCGAGGAAACCCTGGCTTGTTGATGCAGAGTAGCTCACAGGGCTTCTCTCTGGTCTCGCAGGTACGACAGGGATGGGGAGCCGTCGCAGTTGTCTCCCATTGACGTCTTTGTGAGCACTGTGGATCCCCTGAAAGAGCCGCCTCTTATAACGGCGAACACCGTGCTCTCCATCCTCGCCGTGGACTACCCGGTGGACAAGGTTTCGTGCTACGTCTCCGACGATGGGTCAGCGATGCTGACCTTCGAAGCGCTCTCCGAGACCTCGGAGTTCGCGAGGAAGTGGGTGCCCTTCTGCAAGAAACACCAGATAGAACCCAGAGCGCCCGAGTTCTACTTCGCCCAGAAGATTGATTATTTGAAGGACAAGATCCAGCCCTCCTTTGTGAAGGAGCGGCGAGCAATGAAGGTGTGGGAAGCCAAATGCGAGTCTTCTGCCCTATTTTTTTCTGTCACGGGGACTGGTAGGTGACACTTCCTGGGTTTTTTGTTCCCAGAGGGAGTACGAGGAGTTCAAGGTCCGGATCAACGCCCTCGTTGCAAAAGCGCAGAAGACCCCCGATGAAGGATGGACGATGCAGGACGGCACCCCCTGGCCCGGGAACAACCCTCGCGACCATCCCGGAATGATCCAGGTAGGTGGACGGATGGACCCTTTTCGCCGTTCCAGCCGATGACTTTCCCATCTCGTCTACTCCTGCTTTATCGTCTCTCTTACATCCTGGTCCTGCAGGTCTTTCTGGGCCACAGCGGAGGCCTGGACACGGACGGCAACGAGCTACCGCGGCTCGTCTACGTCTCTCGTGAGAAACGACCGGGTTTCCAGCATCATAAGAAAGCCGGCGCCATGAACGCACTGGTCTGCTTTCCTACCATTCTCTGCCCTTGTTCGTTTTCGATGCACATGGCATATGCTTCGTCTGGTTATCATTTTCAATGCCCATAGCATGCGGCTCCTCTGAGCTTCCTTGGGTCTCATCAGATCCGGGTATCGGCTGTTCTGACGAACGGAGCCTACCTTCTGAACGTGGACTGCGATCACTACTTCAATAACAGCAAGGCCCTCAAGGAAGCGATGTGCTTCATGATGGATCCCGCGCTGGGGAGGAAGACCTGCTACGTCCAGTTCCCGCAGAGATTCGACGGCATCGACTTGCACGATCGATACGCCAACCGCAACATTGTGTTCTTCGATGTGAGGACCGATCCGATTCAACCCCCTCCCCGGAAAAACAAAGGCAATGAGATTGTTTTGCTCCTCGGGTCTCCTCACTGTTTTCCTTCTTCTTCTTCTTCTTCTTCTTGCTGGCAGATCAATTTGAAGGGGCTTGATGGCATCCAGGGCCCAGTCTACGTGGGCACTGGGTGCTGCTTCAACCGGCAGGCCCTGTACGGGTACCATCCAGTCCTAACGGAGGCCGAATTGGAGCCCAACATCATAGTCAAGAGCTGCTGCGGGAAGAGGAAGAAGAAGGGCGACAAGGCGTACATGGGCAAGAAGCGTGGGTTGAAGAGAACGGAGTCCTCGGCGCCGATCTTCAGCTTGGACGACATCGAAGAAGGCGTGGAAGGTAAGGAATTCGTCATGGGATCTGCGACGATTTTCACCAGAAGACTGATTGAGAAGCAGGAGAAAGACTCCGATCTTCCTGTTCATCTCCCGGTTCGTCTGCGGGCTTACGAAGAACTGTGCGGTGCATGCAGGCTTCGAGGACGAGAGGACGCTGCTCATCTCTCAGAAGAGCTTGGAGAAGCGATTCGGTCAGTCGCCCATCTTCATCGCGTCGACGTTCATGGAGCAGGGCGGCCTCCCTCCGTCCACCAATCCTGCGTTGCTGCTGAAGGAGGCGATCCACGTCATAAGCTGCGGCTATGAAGACAAGACCGAGTGGGGGAAGGAGGTGAGCCAAGATCGTCTCTTTCTCTCTCTTGCTCTTCTCTCTCTCCAAGGCAGGTATCTGGGCTCTTCTTGCGAGCTCTCGCTGTGGGGCTGATGGAGCGAGCCGACGTGTGCCATCTTGCAGATCGGGTGGATCTATGGTTCCGTCACGGAGGATATCTTGACTGGATTCAAGATGCACGCGCGAGGATGGATATCGATATATTGCATGCCTCCTCGTCCTGCCTTCAAGGGTTCGGCACCGATCAATCTGTCGGATCGGCTGAACCAGGTGCTCCGGTGGGCATTGGGGTCGATCGAGATCCTGTTGAGCAGGCATTGCCCAATCTGGTATGGTTACAGCGGGAGGCTGAAGCTCCTGGAGAGGTTGGCCTACATCAACACCATCGTCTACCCCATCACGTCCATCCCGCTGCTCATCTACTGCGTGCTTCCGGCCATCTGCTTGCTCACCAACAAGTTTATCATCCCAGAGGTGAGCTCCACTCGAAGGGCAAATGGGTCTAACCCATCCTCTCTCTCCATCCCTCTCTGCTGAAGGTCACTGCCTCTCTGATCTCGTGCGCTGTTTCTCTCTCTCCTTTGCAGATTAGCAACTACGCCGGCATCTGGTTTATCCTCCTCTTCGCCTCCATTTTCGCCACCGGGATCTTGGAGCTCCGGTGGAGCGGCGTCGGAATCGAGGATTGGTGGAGGAACGAGCAGTTCTGGGTCATCGGGGGGACATCGGCCCACCTCTTCGCCGTGTTCCAGGGGCTGCTGAAGGTGCTGGCGGGGATCGACACCAACTTCACCGTCACCTCCAAGGCCTCCGATGAGGACGGCGAATTCTCAGAGCTCTACGTCTTCAAGTGGACCACCCTCCTCATCCCCCCCACGACGGTCCTCATCGTGAACTTTGTGGGGATCGTCGCCGGCGTCTCCTACGCCATCAACAGCGGCTACCAGTCCTGGGGACCCCTCTTCGGGAAGCTCTTCTTCTCCATCTGGGTCATCCTCCACCTCTACCCTTTCCTCAAGGGTCTCCTGGGCCGCCAGAATCGCACCCCCACCATCGTCATCGTCTGGTCGATCCTCCTCGCCTCCATCTTCTCCTTGCTGTGGGTGCGCATCGACCCCTTCACCTCGCCCACCCAGAAAGCCGTCGCACAGGGACAATGTGGCATTAACTGCTGACTGATCACCCATCTCTCCCCTCGGAGGAAGACCGCCACCACACCAGCCAGCGACTGCCGGTGCACTTGTAAATAGTGACGGACAGCTGCCGCAGGGACGAGAGAAGACAGTTCATTAGAAGAAGACGGATCAGGAGTGCCTTCTTCCCTTACTTCATCCCCTTATTATTTATTAAATAATTCACGGTGTGTGTTTTCTTCTGGAATGTGATGAATAATTGGTGATATATCGATTGCTTGTGGGTAATATCGATGTCAACTTGCGAGAAGAGTTGAAGAGAAAAGAAGAATCAAGAATAGAAGAGAGTGATCATATGATCGTGAAGGAGAAACAGAAAATGAAAGATTGTATTGATAAAATTGTGAAAGTGATGTGTAGATCTAAGTGGTAGTTATAACGTAGATTGGGGTTGCGGCCAGATTGTCGTTTATAACGTAGATTCAGGAAAGTGCAACGATTTGTAAAGGACCACTGTTGATCGGTGTTGTGGACCCTAAGCTCTGATTAGTCTTCATAAGGCTCATTCTTGTTGAGGCAGCTCAGACTGCAACAGTTTCTTTAGAAACCATTATACATATGGTCATATCCTTCACCCCCCCCCCTCCCCCCCCCCCTCTCAATCTCAAGGTAGGAGCCACATTGAGCTTGCCCTTTAAGTCAAGAAATCGTACCTTTGGTAATACCTTTGTTAGTAAGTTTGCAACTTGATCTTTGCTCAAGGTGAATGAAATTTGAAGTTAATTCTTCATAACCTTTCCTCTCACACAAAGTGAAAATCAATCTCAATGTGTTTCATATGTGCATGAAAAATTAAATTCTTAGCCAAATAGGTGGCTCCAATGTTGTCACACCATACCAGTAGTTTGTTTGGGTTGGAATCTAATTTACTACAAAAGAGTAAAATAAGTGATGATCTTTGTAGTAAAGAGATGTGTTATTATTAGTTCTTGTAAGATTGATGGCACATAAGTAGTTAGTGAGTCAGGTAATTCATAATTTGAATATTTTACCCAACTCACATAGGTAATGAGATGTGTTAATATTCAAATTATGTATAAATGACAACTATAATTTGAAGATTTTGGATGCACAAATCCTTCTTTAGTTGTTCCATGTATACATTTGCTTCAAGTTGATTATGAAGGAATATATTAGATACATCCAACTATTGAATGAGTCGACGGTTATTCATAAAAATTGTAATTAGTTTGATTGTTGTGATTTTTACGATGAAAATAAAGGTTTCTTTAACGTTAATACCATATTGCTGCTTGAATCCTTTAATAAGTAATTGAGCTTTAAATCTATCAATTGTACCATCTGAATTTTATTTAATTCAATACACCCATCTGCACCCAATAATATTTTGTTGTGGAACTAATGACCATGTCATGTTGTTTAATAGTACTTTATACAAGTGACCGATTCAACTAGTGTGGATTCTGTAGTGAGAAATAGATGATAACTTACTATATGATTGGCTTCATATTAAGATTCAATTTTTATATGTAAATCATAAAGCTCTTCGACCGTTCTGAATTCTGATGAAGGTGGCGAGCAGTCATTATGATAGTGAGTAGTAGTTGCTATATCTTGTACATCTACCAAAGCATCATGTTGGATATTGATAATTTGATCCTAATTGGCTGAATTATTGTGTGAGGTAATGAAGAATTGATTTTTTGGTTGTTCATTATTTAATTTTTGACAATTTTGATATACTACTGCATCATCCCTTGGTGGTGAATGTTGTAGAGAATTATCATGAACAACCTTGTGAATGTTCTAATTATTTCAAGGACATGAATAATGTTTTTAAAATGTAATGGGTAAGAAGCTATATTAATTTTTAGTAATCTTTGTGATTTTATTTTCAAACCTGCACCATTGTTGATGTGGAACTTGTCAAGTTCATTGTAGAATGAGGATTCTACAAAACCTATTGTATCTGGGAAAACATGATGTTTTGCTCTATTATCTGAATACCAAGATGCAGAGACATGGACATGTTCAACATTCTACTGATATGGATTGTACATTGCATTGAATGCTTGCGGATTTGCATATTGGTTCTGGCTTTGATATCCACCAGCAAAGTTTCTATTAAACTCTCTCATAGTTGACATACTCAGTGGCCGACGTGATGACATAGTTGTCAGTGTGATGATCTTTGATGATATCTTCCCGTTCCTCTATCATATTGAGATCAACCTCTATAGTTGACATAATTTTGTGGTCTTCTTCTTAGCCTATATGTACTGTCTCTATTTTCGCATGAAATATTATGAGTAAAGAAGACCGATGGGGATTCTTGATATATTTCTTGTGTTTTCAAGAACTGTGCCATAATAGTATCATGAGTAGTAAGTTGATTCATCAATTTCGTCTATTGTCATTGACTCTGTTTTTGATGTCATCATCAATACAAATCTTTAGTAACTAAGTCCTAGACCTCTCAAAATTGTAATAAAAATCTCATGTTCATCAACTATTTTTTCTGCTGAAGCAAGTTCATTAGTCACATTCTTGACGGATTGAACATATTCTTGAGGTGAAAGATTTTCTCGCTAAATTTGATGTAGATTTTTAGTTAATTCAAGAATTCTTGATTTGTTGCTGGATGCAAAACTACCAGCAAGAATATCCCAAACTTCTTAAGAAGTGTTATAGCCGATGACTTTTGACAACACATGCTTACTAACTAAAGAACAGATCTATGGCAAAACGAATTGATCATCATGATACCAAGTTATATACTTTGGATCTGAAATTGATTCACCTTCACTATTGATGATTATAGGTGGTGGTGCCGTTATCGATCCATCAATCAAATACATCATTCAGCTTTTGAGGATTGACAGCAGCTGGGTTTTCCATAAAATATAAAATCTTGAATTCAGCTTTATGGAAAGAAGGGACGCTACCTTTGTTGCTAGCGCCATCTCTTCGAATTTCATGTGCAAACCTCGCTCTAACACCACGTGGGAAGAGTAGAAGAGAAAAGAAAGAAGAATAAAAAATATAAGAGAGCGATCATATGATCGTGAAGGTGAAACAGAAAATGAGAGATTGTATTGATAAAATTATGTAAGTGATGTGTAGATCTAGGTATTATTTATAGTGTAGATTGGGGTTGCGGCAAGATTGCCGTTTATTTTTACAAACTAATTCAGGAAAGTGCAACTGTTTGTAAAGGGCCGTTGTTGATTGGGCCTTGGTGTCGTGGACCATAAGCTCAATCTACAGCTCTCGGGATGAGTGATGAAGGTCTTGGGAATTGATTTGGCCTCCTGTCAGGTGTAGAAAATGACCACCTCGTTTTCTGTAGAAAAAGTAGGTGTAGATGCCGGCAGGGGGCCAAGCAAGGCGGAGCTGTAGCAGTTCCTCCGCTGCCGAATTGACGATCTGCGTTGTCGTTCCTCGTCGCCGGGGACGAACAAATTCTTCTGCCGAGTGCGATGTGGGCCCGGAGGATCGGAGAGTGACAAGACAACGTCCTTTTCTTGCGTGCTTTCTTCATGGTGGATCCCTCTCCCTCTCCCCTCTCTTACCGGCAGATTTGACCGTCTCCTCTTGTAAGTATCACGAAGGAGATTGATTAGCTGGAGACAAGCTGCTCTAAGAGATATCTGAAGAAGGGGCTTGGTTGTTCTCTGACAAAACAGCGGAGGAAATCGGTGGTCAGCTGTTCTTGGAAGAACACCAAGAGAGATCGACGACCGCTGAGAGGTGAGGAACTGATAGTCAAAGAGTGCACGGCGGTGAAAATAACATTGGCTGAATTCTTGAAAACGATCTGAATCAATATTCATCATAACAGAGTTTATTTATCATCGTTATGGTTGGTTATTATTGCTGGTTGTCATTTTTCTGTTACTTGTATACATCCGAATTTACAACGGAAACGATGTCTGCCCACCGCCCGACATAATCTATTTACTGAATGATGCCATCGCCGACCCTCACGCGTTGGTGAATCATAGGCATTGGAATGACGAAGAAGTAGCCGCTAAAACACGGAAATATCTTCTGCCTCCGCCGATTCTCTTTCTCTCTCTCTCTCTCCGTCTCTGTCTCTCTTTGTCTCTCTGTCTCTCTCTGTCTCTGTCTCTGTCTCTCTCTCTCTCTCTCTTGGTGGGGCGGATAATATCTGTTGGATCGAATCAACACAAGGAAGCGACACTTTGGATGAACCATACCTGGAAGAAGAAAGAACAGAATCAAACTCACTGCAATTCCGAGTTCAGCCAATTTCTCCCAGCATGATCGAGCGAGTGAGCGAGCGAGAGAGAGAGAGAGAGAGAGAGAGAGAGACCACGTGAATAACAGTAAACCATGCAAGAACCATGCAACTTCAAATGAGGATACAAGTATGCCCCTCCCTCAACCCTCAACATATCATAAGAGAAAACGACGGCGTCCTTTCCCACTCACTCCGTCCACTAAGTGGGCCTTTAGGCCCAGCTGCGGATATGAGCCATAATATCCTTGCTGAGGACAAGGGTGTGACACCTGGCATCGCCTGACGGCGCCACCGGTGGAACCAGACGAAATTCAGACAGTGATCGGTGGTGATCTCTCCAGTTGGCGGCGGTGCATAACAACATAGAAGGCAGGATCTCTCTTCATCTACAAACGAGACGCATAGGAGTCGCCCTCGACGTACACAGGGTAGGCGTCGCCCAAGTGGCCGGCGGCGGAGGGAAGGCACTGCGGCGATTGCTGCGGCGGCGGATGAAGGAGGCTGGCGGTGGCGGTGGTGCGTTTGCAGACCCAGATGGGCTCACTGCCGGGGAGAGGGACGACGGGGAGGGCGTCGCAGTTGCAGATCTCGATCATGGAACCGTCGGGGTCGTGGAAGAAGAGCTGGTCGACGGAGATGCCACCCTCCTCGACGGTCCTCTGGACGAAGCGGATCCCCATCTCCCCCAGCTTCTCCTCCACCGCCGCCATGCTCTCGCACTGCGCACCGCGGAAGAGAGTGAGTGAGTGACGCCGGCGAGGGAATCGGAGGAACCTCTCTCAGCGCGCAGCGGGGCAGTCGTACCTGGAAGGAGATGTGGTCATCCTTGGGGTTGATCTCTCGCCTCTCCGGAATGCTCGCCGGATCCTCCGACTGCAGCAGGTGGATTCCGATGCCGTAGTTGAACAGCCTGCGGATTCGTTTATTCCCACGAAGCTAATCAACGGCCGTGCAACATAATGAATGAATGGCTCACGGATATGGATGGTGAGCAAAGAGGAGATGGCAGGAGCCCTCCTCGGCGCTTCGCCGAGCGTCGGGACGTACCATGCGCCCTCGAATTTCAAGGACTGGGGACGCCGGATGGGGATGAAGCCGAGGACGTTCTGGTAGAAGTCGAGCGACTTCTCCACCGATCTGCAGACGACGGATATGTGATTGAGGGATGACAGTCTCAGTGAGCCCCCGGCTCTTGTGCTCTCCATCTCTCTCACCTCCTGCCCTTTTGTGCAGCCAGCAACACCGGAGTTCCTTCCTAGTACGGAACAAGGGTAGACCCAGACGATGCTCTGTATCAGAGAGCGAGAGAGAGAGAGATGGACGGCAAATGGGAATGTGTGCTCTGGACAGTCGGGGGAAGGGGGGATACCTTTATGTAAGGTGCGGAAGTCTCACAGCTGGTGCCACCGCCCCCCGGATATAGATATCGACGCCACGTCGATCCGACGAGGAGGCTCTAACCTGCAGCGGCATTGCTGATCTGTCCGTCCCCTCAGTCACCCCGTTGACCTCACGGGCTTCGTTGTAAGTCTTCCGGGGGACGTCCATGTCCTTCGAGCGTCCGATGGAGAGAGAAAAACCAGAGAAAATATGTCCCCTTTTTTTAGCTCGAGCGGGAGGATGGGGTGTCCATTCATGTTGGTCGGCCCTTAAAGAGCCAACCGCGTCGCCATCAAGCATAGCGAGATTAGCAGGATTTGTACGCATGCAGCTTACGGCTGCACTAATTAATCACGCGGTTGCGTTGGCGTCGACTCGTCCTCGTGGCGTTTCCTGGTAACTAAACGGTCTCCGGTGCCGGCATCCCACGTATGCGGGTTGCCAATTAGGGCACTAATCATGTGGGCCCAACCGAAGATCGCCGTAATGCCTGCAAGGGGGCGCCGTGATGTCGGCTCACCTAGTGAATGGGTCAATGTCGATCGACACGCGATCTCGCGGCTCATGCAGTTTATGCAGCCTCTTCGCCAGATCATGGGAATTCCTCACCAACCTCATCGGGTGATCCATCTATTCTCCCTCTCTCTCTCTCTCTCTCTCTCTCTCTCTCTCTCTCTGAGTAGATGACAGATGTAGAGTTGCGAAACGAGAGGAATCATGCACATGGCCCGCGTGGGGAAATACATAGCAGCCTCCCACGCCCGCTACAGTCTGCAGCTAGGCTGGCAGGTGGTCACATGACCAAGATGAGAAGTTGTCTGGCCGCATGGGGAGCCTCGAGTTGTTCCAACAACCCCCCGGGGTCAACAGAGCCGGTGAAGAGAACTCGGGTCTCTTCGTCGCGTACACTTCCCCCACCGACAAATGGTCAAGTCTTCCCTTCGTAGGGTGATAAATATCTGGGGGTTGACATATTTTATCGGCAGAAATCACCGAGAGAAGCAACCGACGCTGACTCCTGCCGCCGATTCAGTCCAAACAGACCTACTCCGACAACGACGCGCTGGGAAATACGAGCGCGCGCCCATGTTATACGTGGCTCTTCTTATATGCACACTCCCACGCCTGCTATGTATAATATAATCTAATGCCCGTTAGTTGCCGTCTCTCTCTCTCTCTCTAAATCGATGGGCGCGCGTACCGGCGGTTTTCAGTCGCAGGGGCTCGAACAGGACTTGCCTGCCCGTATCCAGCCCACCTCTTGATCTGCGCATCGATCAGAAACTTGCCCACGATTTGATCTGGGGCTCAAATCCCCACTCGTAAATATCGGCATAGTGCGGCATGTCCGGCAGGCGGGCTACATCTCATCATCGGCCTACTCTGGTAAAAGAAAAGACGCAGCAGAAGAAGCGAGAGGCAAGAAGGCGAGAGCGAGGAACAAGCTGGGAAGGGAAGTTTCGTCGAACCCACCCACCCAACCCACAACGCACCAACGACGGATTAAATGCAGGGAACTCTGAGAACCAATGAGGAACTCTGAGTGGAAGGCCTCAGAATCTGGATCCCCTCCTAGAGCCGTCGGAGGACTGGTCCGACCTCTCCGCCAGGTAGTGCTCGAGCATGTCGTCTTCATCTGCACTCCACACCGATCGCACAAGCAAAGTAGTCAGAGGGAGAGACCCGTGGGATGCTAAAACCCATGAGGAGGAGCGCGGAGATAGATTGACCGCCAACCAAAAAACAAAAGGGCTGGGAGACCCACCCTCGAAGTCGTCCTCGAAGTCAACATCTTCCTCCTCTTCCTCCTCGGACCCTTCTGCGACGGCCACCGCGCCTTTCTGGAGCAAGGTAAGAAAAAAACAAACAGATGAGCGCATTCATCCGCCCGCGTAAATATTTAATAAGCGCTCAAAAGATCCGGCTAGATCAGGAAGAGATTCCATCGCAGGAAAGGGTGGGGGGATGGGTGGGCGGGCAGGGACATCTCAACCAACCAGCTCGAGATGCAGCAAACCGACAAAGACGTCCACACCGAGTTATCAGAGGGGAGCAAGGAGATTACCGTCGCCGCTCTTCCACTCTCGAACCACTGTCTGCCCGTGAGCCTCTTCTCCTTGGGTGCTACCAGGGCGGACTCCGGCATCAACCTGGAAACGGAGCGCAACCCTTTCAGCTGGGTGGGAGGGAACGATCCTCAAAAATATGCCGCATAGCATACAGGGCCTAAACTTTTGCTATATTAAGAAACCTCATGATGCCTCATGGCATACAGACGCTCGGCGGCCCTTACTTGGCTCTCTCAAGCGCCAATTCGGCTTCATATCGCTCCCTCCATGCCATGAACGTTTCCACGGTGACAGGCTCGCCATGCGGGATAATTATCTGAGATGGGGGACAGGGGCACCGTTAGCGAGGGGTGAAATACGAGAAAGCACACGCCTTTTTTCAACACCCATCAAGCGACCATGAAGACTAGCACAGACATACCAGCACATCACGATCTCATATGTTTACCATCCAAGATACATCTCTCAGGCAAGGAAAATAACAGAGTGGTAGGCATGAAGACGAGGATTAACTCATTATTACTCAATACAACATTTTTCGATCGGTGCTTCAAAAACTAAGCAATTAAATCATGGAAAAATTTAACGGAGAAGATGTATCAGAACAAATGGACCAAAAAAAAAAAAGTTCAGAGGATGGGGCCATACATCTTCTTTAGCCGAATCATCTTCATCATCATCCTCGACAGTCTCATCTTGTCCAAATTTTTCTGTCAGCCACTCCTTAGCAGAAGTAACAAGAGTGTAGACCATAGCCATCCCAAGATTCTCTGATGCCTGCAGGGCTTAGGTAAGCATTTAGAAATGCCGGACAAAAAATATTTGACCATATGAAAGTAAGAGAGATTTATCCACCTTTTATTTCAATATTTACAGAGTATGAGATAGAAAACTACAAGATCACTTACACCCAACATTGAATTTCAGTGAATAAGGCACCCTACAGAAAGCTCGAGGAGACAGCTAAGGTTACGAATCGACAAGGTGATCAAAGTGAACACTTCTCCTACACCTGCTCTCCTGCTCTCCTGCTCTCCTGCTCTCCTGCTCTCCTGCTCTCCTGTATATATCCGCCTTACCCTTTTACGCTGACCTGTAAGCTAACAATGCCCAGAAAAAAATAATCTGAAGTTCAAATAGACTCAAAAGATTTTGAGTCTCGAGAGGATTAAATTATAGGCTGATCCCATTTCGTGCCATCTCAGAGTGACAGTGCACCACAGTCCAAGAGAATCGGCCAAGAAAACATTTACACGTTTTAAGCTGCAATGTTTTCCAAAGTGGGTCGGTGCATATAGATTTTATTTTTTTTCCAGAGGGAAATGCACATGTATACGTTCCGTATGTTTATTTCCGAAAAAAATGAAGAAGGAATCATCTATCCGCACAGAGAGTACGTACAACGCTCTTACTGAGATAAGAGCACATATTCCCCGTTGGTAAACAACTAATTCTCACTATTCATCAAGAACTTTCCAAATAATCCAAAACTCGTAGCATCCACAGTCAGAGATTCTAATGGAATACATGCCCAATAGGCCTACTCTCATCTTAGTGCGGTAATGAACAATATTGAATATGCGACCATTAACGCCATATTAGATCTCATGGTATATTAGTTCCTCCTCTCTCCATATGCAAATGGGTGAGTAGGGGGATAACGAATTATAATCTAATTTTTTCTTCTATTTATAACATAGTACCAGAGTTTAGGGATAGAATTTCGCAAGTTTGTCAAGTTGCTGTTGATGTTGCTACTACTAGCCTCAAGCTCTCCATTTTCTGAGGGCGATGACGGCAACCACACCTAGACCTGTATACCTCGACTGATACTATGTCGCTAATAATTTCTTCCTCTCTCTCGATCTCCGGTGTCTCTTTCATTGTCGGAACCTTGCACGGGAAGCTGTTATTGCTTGGCTGTTATAAGATACCGATTAGGAAACCACAAGACATGCATGGTTGCAATTTTAATGCGCATCATCGCAGGAAGCTGCAACTACATAGCACAAGCGTCACGAGCCGCCACAAGAGACCACAACTTCACAATCCAAGTGCATGCAATGACCATCACGATACATGATATTGCAGGTCCGACCGAATCCGCCAAATCTCCAATTTAACCAATGTCTAACATCTTCCTTGTAAGTCATCTTCTTCAAGAAACAAAAAGGGAGAAAATTGTACCATGGAACCCTTCTCAACTCCAGCCTTTAATGCTTCAGCACCAACACCGTCGTCTGCTATTCCATGTTCAATGTTAGCCTATACTGCACCAGTTTCTCCGGTATCAGATAATCCAGCATCTATGTCAAACTATACAGTTTTGGCTTCAGTTTTACATCTCGTAACCCGGTTCTGTCACCAGCCTCTACTTTTCAGTTAGTAATTCTGACATCTCCTCCAACTTTAATGATTGTTTCTAACATTCTGGCTATTATATTTCAGCTTGAACACTAATATCTCTTCTACTCTGAGGTTTGCAACTCCAGCTTCAGCTCTGGCATATAATGCCTCAACTTCAGCTTAGACTTTAGCTCTAACATTTATGCCTTGTTTTGTGCATACTTTACAAAGTAACGACCTAGGTGTTTTAGGTATGGAAAAGAAAAACTCGATATAATTAATTACTCTAGCTTGACGGAGTGCTAAAGAGTCAATTAGAATATGAACCCAACAGGCCTAATCTCTTGTTAGTGGGATAGTGCATCATTTAGAATTTGGGCCCAATAAGCCTATATTACGTCTCAACTTGTACTGGTCCCAGCTCTCTACATTTAGATAGGAGTGGAGGAGGCTACGAATTTTAACCTAATTTTCTCCTCTTTCTACAACACCAAATAAACAGTCTAACAAATCTATCAAACACTAGAAAATGGAGAACTTGGGTGAATACCTCTTGCTGAAGTTTTTCTTTTAGTTTAGCAAGATCTTCCTGTTTAAGTCCTCGTATACTGCACAGATATAGTCACTAGCAGATCAGGGGGGAATTCTCTAGTCAATTCGTCATAGGAAAATGACTTAAAAATACTTAAATTGAAGCTCAAAAACTTTTACATAATGGGCTTACCTTTTAAGATTAAGAAGAGGTGGTTCATCTGGATAATTTGTGGTGTGTGAGAAAATCAATGCAAGTTGAGCTGCAGAAGAAAATTGAGCGAAGTATGGGGTCACACTTGCACTAGTATTCTGAGACTACGTGCAAAAAAGTTATAAACTTTCCCAGTAAATCTGACGATAGACCATTGGACCATTGCACTGGGAATCTGCGAGTTAACTCCATAGGAGAAAGACCTATTATGTATCTTCATTAGGTAAAACTTCACATCTGTGTTTTATGTCCGTAAGTAGAAATAAGTAGAAATAGCACGGGTCATTTTAAAATCGCTGATGTTGCCAACACAAAGAAAAAATCAAGTTATAGGGGACAGTGGAGATCAATCAACGTAGCCAATGAACCTATGACTTCAAATATATGGGTGAATCTATGAATCTATGACTAATCACATTAATTAGGAGATAAGTTTGCAAGATCGTCCCCTTGTCCTCTCGTGTATGGAGTTTACAGTATTTTTACAAGGTAAAAAGTACAAGATTGAACAAGAAAGAAGAGCTAATAATAAAACCATACTTGGCTTCAGGTGATTTTTCAAACAAATAAGTAGGATCATACCAATCGGATTTCACTTAAAACACTTAAGTAAATTAAGATTGCTAAAACAACATTTTTTTAGACCTCTGTTACTTTAAGAAGGTTTACTCCACTTAGAGGATAACAAGGTCTGATAACACTCGTGCGTACACAAAATCGCCCAATGTGTTCTTATAAATGTTCATCATGAACTAGCTAGAACAAATTATTTTGATAACTTTGTATGATCATAAAACACTCATGCCTTCTTATAGTCGTAAGTACCAACAGTCAAAATGAGATTATGGTCTGTATCACTGGAGAAACCTAAAAATAGATTAAAAAATTATTTGAAAAATATTTGGAAGTTTCTTGTAATTATTTTCATGTGATAATTGCTCTAAAATGCCAAACTCTTTCAATGGGCAGAGAAAAGTGATAACTAACCCAACCAATCACTTTAATTGACCCATTTCTTATAATCTGACAAAATCAACAGTATATGTTGGAATTAGAAGCAGGAAAGATTAACGCATTATGGACAGTGATCTCTTGGAGAATGAAGAATAGACACCATGTAGAAAGTTGACCCAATAGCAACTTGCACATCCTAAAAGAACAAGGGGGAACTCCCCTTGGATCCAGTCAAAAGACCCAGTTGATCATATCGACGGGCACAGTAACACAAAGTCAATCTATAACTCCTTAGCATCCCAATCTGAGATTGAGCAGAGTTTGTGCTTGGAAAGAATAAAAAAGTTTCAGAAAGAAGACGTGTTAGATGACACATCCTCGATTTGTTGAGTAGACAGCTTGTTTTAGGTCTGTAGATTTTTTTTTTCAAAGTAGCCAATTCCAAATTGATCCAAAAACTCCAGTGTTGTGATATGTACTAACCTTCCCCTTCTCCTTCTGTATATTAGAGTAATAAAAATAAAGCCATGGTTTTGTTATTTTTTCACTTTGTATATCATTTAGTTTTATTGTCCCCAATTCAGAATGATATGGCGAATGGTCAAAATACTAAACTTCATAATCAAGTTTTGATAGAACTCAGAATTGGAAGCTATGCTTGCCCTACAATAAGATAGACACCAAAGTCTTGAATAAGTTAAACGAACAGACCTCTAATGTGATTCACCTCCTCATCATCTTCATCCTGTTCATCAAAATAAATGAATAATTAGCAAATTTAATATATATATATATGTAATAGGCATTACATTTCATCCAATCAATCATAAACTTTATATGATTGATCTAGGACCACCGAGAATCTGTCTTTTCTCCTAGAGCAGAAGATAATTGGAAACAAAAGGGTAACTTAAGCCACAAAACACACGGAAAAAGTTGATGAGGGATGAAAAGAGTGCTTAAGGCTAAAATCAAGTTGATGCGACTTTAATTTTTTTTTTATTCACACCATGCTCTATCCAATCCCAGATTTATCAGGATGGATTACGATTTGATTATATGTCGCATATAGATAAAATGAGCAAGACACGGGGAGGAATGACTTCTGTCTTTTTCATTTTTGACAGTCATAAGGATCAACAAATGAGAGCGAAATAACAATAATCACCTGAGGAGACAGCAATATTTGGAAACAACGACCATCTGTACCCAAGCCACTCTCCCTCGAGTCTATTTCTGGCAGATGATCCAGTCAACAGCATAGTCAACGATTCTGACGACTTGCTTGAATATAATTGACTGAAGAATCAAAATACTTGGAACATTACGACTTCATAACAAACACAAACCTGAGAACTCATCCATAAGAATGGCTTCCAGCGCTTCAATTTCCATCTCCTGCTCTGCTGTATAATCTACAATAAAACAATTTACCAGAGAAGCATCACAACTTGAAGAAAGTGATTCACACGCATCAATAATAGAATGAAATTTGAATGTTTTAAAATTTGGAAAAATGAATTAAACTTATCCTCGTGTTATCTTTCAGTACGAACATGACAGTGCATAACTTCATTCAGGACTTTACGAACTGTCAGCACAAAGAGTTCCAGATATCGCAACTCCGAAAAAGAAAGTTTCCAGCAACTCTGAGAATTTGATCTGTTTTTGTTTTAAAAAACTGATAGGATCTAGCCATGTACGTACCGAAAGTAGTTTTTGCATTGAAATAACTAACGGACAGGCAATCAGAAACGAAAAGAAGCACCAGGTCTGTTAATAATCCAAAAGTAATTAATGTGCTCATTGCGGCACCGGAGAATACATACAGAGATTCTGATCTTGTTTTCCGGTGATGAGAAATTTTAATTAAAGTCAATGTATGAATGAAGAAAGATAATTACAGACGAGCATGTTTGCAGACACGGTCAAAGTGAATGGCTCAAATAACGTCAAAGTAGTTTCATCAGACATCCCAGGTGAATTATGCAGATTAGACAATATCTAGTGGAATTTTTATGATAATATCAGGAATAAAAAAATTATTTGCAGAATGCAAACCAGACTGAGCCATGACAACAAGAGGAGATTATAAGCGGGAGATGAGGATCAGAACCACCAGGATCCTTCCTGTCAATCACTGAAAATTTATAAAAATGATTACAACATCAGTACATCACTGTCATCCGGAAAACGGTTGACAGGGCAACGGACCAATGTTCTGCCAAAAAAAATGGAAAAAATCTCAAAGAAACCTTTCTGGCGTGCAAAGAAGAACAAGAACTTCAGCACTGGCTAGCGGAGCTAGAGGAAAACTCGGGGCGGCGGCAACCGGCGCGTGGAGCGCGAGTGCCCGGCGGGGGCAGGAAACCTAAGGGCGAAGGGCCGTCGTGCGCTGCCTCCTCTGCCGATGGACTAGGAAAAGACACAAATACCCCCGAAAAATATAAAATGAGGACCTGTTTCGGTGGCCTCATCTGCCCCTCCCTCTCAGGAGGCCTTCCCTCTGGATTATACGTGGCGTCTTTATACATTCCCACGTACCCGACCCCATGAGCACTAACCGACCCAGGCAGTGAACCAACCATTTCCGAATAATTATGCACGTGGGCGAACGAACGGCGGAGATGACGCGGGATGATCTTTGTGCCCTCCATTTCTCGTCAGTGGTTATTTGGGTAATTTATTGTATAATAATTAGGAGGGACTCATTATCGATCTTTTTTATTCGAACACGACGTGCCCAAGATTTTTATTTAAATACACAAATATATATATATATTATTTTTATTTTATTTTTTGCGAAGGCTGCCGTGAAGGCGCTTCTCGGGCATAGCAGACGCTCCGGGGCCTGGAAAATATGGGAGCGAATAACAACAATATTTATTGTTTGGGTGAAAAAAATCTGAGAAATATAAAATGGGAGATGCGTAGATCTACTCTCTCTCTCTCTCTCTCTCCTCAGCCGCGTATTGGGAGGGAGGGGGCCCACTTTATCCTCAAAGCGGAGCATATTCCGGGGATAGGGAGGAATATTCGGTTCTATCCCCCCGCTGGGTGGCGGGTCCGAGTGGCTGGTCAGCCTCCCGATTCGATACGACATAAGAGGCTGGGCCGGGCTGGGCCTCGCGTGCATCTCATTGAGGTGGGCCAGGCCCAATTGCTCGGGGACTTATGCCCAACCAGCATCGGAATTTATGCAAAAGGGCCCAGCCGCCTTTTCCTCCGTTTGTTTGACTGGGATTCTTTTCGATTCGATTCCCGGGAAGCGAAGAACCGGGGATTAATTAACCAGCGTTAATTAATTAAGCGCGGGATTTTCCGCGTCAACGGCTGCGACAGCGCCGCTGTTCCCCCCCACGTTGGTAAGATCTCGGATTTTGAGGGCTTTGATGCGCCGCCGACCTCCTGATTGATGTGGGCGGGTGGGTGGGCGGTGCCGCCTAAGGGTCTGCTGGCAGTTGGGTTTCCATCCTTCCTTCCTTTCCCCTCCCCCCTCCCCTTCTCCACTCATCTCTTAACACTGCGAGAGAGACGGACCCGCCGCCAGCAAGCCCCCGCCTTTCTTTTCTCTCTCCTCTCCCTCTCTCCCTCTCTCTCTGCCGCCGTCCCTCTGCTCCTTCCCTCTACGGCATTACTCTCCTTCTAGAGGACCGGGCAAGGATTTGGCCGCTGAGGAGGAGAGGGACCTACCTGTAAGGCTGCATCTATCTCGCACCCAAACTCCCGATAACACTTCATCCTCGTGTGCCACTCGGCGCCCGCCCCTCCAACTGTCCTTCTTCCGCGGCCGGGGGCGAGAGCCTCGTCCGGGTCGCAAACCCCCGTTCTGTTTGCTGCATCTACTCCCCTTCCGTCTATCTCTCTCCAATCGGTTACCCAGGATCCTCTCCCTCCCTGTTTTCTTCCCCTCCTATAGCGGTAGCGGATTCCCCGTGGAAGCCTCTCTCCTGGCATTTCCGGAACCGCTCGGGGCTCCTTGGTCAGGGGAATTCTGCCGATCACCGAATCCTTAGAGGCGTGTTTGTTTCTGTTTCCGGGAACCTGGTGGAGCAGAAATCCGCCGCCGCCGCCCCCCTCCCGCCCTTTCTGCATCTGCTACTCAAACATCAGTTCTCTGTGAAAACAGCCATTTTCTAATTTAAAGGCCCCCTTTTTATCTCGTTCGGTCTGCCCGAGGTAGTTCCGCCCTTTGCACCACCTTTCCGAGTTGGGCTCTTTTGGAGGGGTTGCCCTTGCCTCCAAACCCTAGTCTCCCCGAAGAATGATCCTTGGGGTTCCCAGGAAATCATCGTAGAGAGCGTCCGGACCCCCGCGAACGGATTCTGATGGCTGGCAGAAGTTTGGAGGCCGTCGAGAACAAGAAGAGGGGCCTCTTCGGTATTCCGGAGGTGGGGTTGCAGTGGAAACAGGAGGAGTGCTTCCACCCAGGGGGATTGTTCGCGAGCGTCGGGCAGGTGGGAATGGGATTCGGCATGTCCTCCAATCCCCCAACCTCCAAGGAGAAGGGCCTGAAGATTCCCTACACCGATTTATATGTCAAGTACGTGTCGCCGGAGTTTAGATACCGGCCGGTGGGGACATTAGTGGAAGCAGGGGAGTTGGCGGAAGACGGGCATGAATCACAGAGGAAGTCGCAGAGGAAAGGCGGGCTCAAGTTCAAGTTCACGGTCGCAAACGCCTCCCTGAGAAGGCTAATCAGCGGAGCCATCGCCGGGGCGATTTCGCGAACCACGGTGGCGCCCTTGGAGACAATAAGAACGCATCTCATGGTGGGCAGCGGCGGCGACACCATGACCGAAGTGTTCCACAACATAATGACGCATGAAGGGTGGACGGGCTTGTTTCGGGGTAATCTGGTGAACGTCATCAGGGTCGCCCCGGGCAGGGCAATAGAGGTGAGAAAGCAAGACCATCATAAAAATTACCTGCTTCGTAGGCCTTTTGCATTTCGACTTCATTTGCTTTTTTCGTTGTCGTTTTTGATCGCCCCCACCTGCTCAGAAGGGTTTTTCTTCTCAAAAGAGAAGAGAAATTACCCGATGCGAAGAACATGAATTTAATTATCGTGATCACTGACGAAGGTAGTGTGTCCTCCTGTGGGCTTGTATTTTCTGCATGGATGTTTTTCTTCGCTGAATCTTCTCTAATCTCTGGAACTTCTCTCTCTGTTCAGCTTTTTGTTTCTTCTTTAATATTTTATCACTGTTTTTCTGTAATTCCCAGTATGGGAGAGTGAATATGGGAACTTTTTTTCTCCTGAAACCGATGGTTATGGGGACTAAGGTCGCCAGTTTCAATCATCTCTTGGAACAGCTGAAGCTGTTCTTGACATAAGCAGTGAACACCTACTTTCAGAAGAAAAAAAAACGGAGGTTATCATTTTCTTGGTGCGTCAAGGACGCAAGACAGATACAGCCCCTGCTGTTGTGGAGTGGAGACATGACTAGAGCTTTGATGCGTTTCATATGTGTGATTATTTTGACACCAATGTACCAGTAAGCTTGGCTGGTTCCACCCCACGCTGACATTTTTGCAGCACTTGCCGCTTTCCCTCACCTGCGTGTTTCACTTCCTTTCTTATTAGTCAAGGTTTTGCGACTTGAAGCCCATGGTTAGGATATCAAGATTGGTAATGTCAGGGCGCGCTCTGCTCAATTCATGGCTCCCCAAGAAAGTGGGATGTCTTGACACCGACGCCAGTCTTCCTTCTGTGTCATTGCTGAGCTAGTATGGATGTAGCTCAGTGTAAGCTTACGTATCACCACAAGTCCTGACATGTTAGCTCGAGGAGTCTCGCTTCATCGGCCTGTATCCTGTGGATGATAGAATACAGGCATCAAATTAGGTAAAGTTATCCTGGGACGAGTAACTTCATTGATGATCATTTCAGTGGAGCAAGGAAGGTATGTGGGGTTGTTACTTGTTCTGGCGGATCAGATTGCCTTGGTTTTCTTCGCTTTATCTCTCCTATACGTGTTGGAACGGTGAGAGGTGACTGCAGCTCCCATGCTGTGGTCAACACCTGTCGGTTGCTCCTATGGCCACTGGCGCTATTGCGCCCACCAATTGGCAAACGAGGTGATACAGAAGGCTGACTTCTTGAATGAGATGAAAGAATAACGGGTTGGAGCATAATTGTGTCGAGCATCATCCGCTACTCATTCTGTCTTTGAGGATTTTGACTGAATGAGTGAAACTAACCTGTTGTTGAAATGGCTTACCTGGTTACGCTGGGGCTCTTATTGATCGCGAAAGAAAACTAATTATCCACTTAATCGGACCCAAATAAAATTTCGTGTCGTAGTACACTTTTCATAAAGAAATATAAAAATTCGGAGCATTTGACTTTTTTTAATATTTCGATTTGCATTTGAGAAACTATGGAACCCACATTCGTGTAATTTATGCCTGTTTATAGCACCTTGCCATTTAGTCAATTTAGATGTTCTAAGGTGAATGGGCAGATCATTTTTGTGACTAGTTTACGTTCATCTGCCTTGTGTTTTCATTCCTTGAGCTGTGATAGCAACACTCGTGGGTCTAATTGTTCTCTACTTGCCCAAGGCTCACCATAATTGCTTAAAAAAATCATTGCTTGCAGTTGTTTGCTTTCGAGACGGGCAAGAAGTTTCTGACCCCTGATCCTGGGGAGCAGCCCAAGATCCCCCTGCCTCCTTCGCTGGTTGCTGGAGCCATGGCTGGAGTCTGCTCAACATTGTGTATATACCCTCTGGAACTGCTCAAGACTCGGCTAACCATTGAGGTACTCCTTCGAGCAGGATCGAACAACACTCATCAATAAGATTTATATGCCGTCTACTTGGAGGGGTAGGTTAAGGATGATTTCCCCGTGTGATTTTATCTATTGCAGAGAGATGTGTACGACAATCTTCTGCACGCATTCATCAAAATTGTGAGAGAAGAAGGGCCTGGGGAGCTGTACAGAGGGCTCACCCCGAGTGTGATAGGAGTGATACCGTATGCCGCCACCAATTACTTTGCTTATGACGCCCTGAGGAAGGCCTACAAGAGGATTTCCAAGGAGGAGGACATCGGCAACCTTGCGACCCTTCTGATCGGGTCGGCGGCCGGCGCCATTGCGAGCAGCGCGACCTTCCCACTGGAGGTGGCTCGGAAGCACATGCAAGTAGGTGCTGTGGGAGGCAGGCAGGTCTACAAGAACATGCTTCATGCCCTCGTATGCATATTCCAGCAAGACGGCGTTGGGGGGCTCTACAGGGGCTTGGGACCGAGCTGCATTAAGTTGGTCCCTGCTGCGGGGATTTCATTCATGTGCTACGAGGCATGCAAGAAAATATTGACAGAGAAGGAAGATGACATCTGATATTTTTGACTGAGGGTGCTCGAGACCTAGTTCATGCCCAAACAACCCCCCCCCCACCCTGGACCCCTATCTTCCTCTTGGAGGGGAGCAAAGGGAATCAATTGGATTCGCCTGAGCCTGGTAACACACGTAGAGGATGATGAGCCAAAGTGAGCTTCAAGGTGGTCAGACAGCCGCAAGTTCTTCTGCCATTGCTCCTTCTTCTTTTTCCTTTTTCAGATTTGGTGACGATAATGACTTGATATCAGATAGGATTTGCATAATTGTGGTTGAAATTCACTATTTAGACGGAAGGGGGAAATGATTTGATCATGTGAGTAAGAAATCTCTGATTGATCTTTCATAAACATTCAGAAAGCATCTGTTCTCTACGGGTTTCTACAGCAACCCTCTCTCCCCCTCCTTCCCCTTCTCGGCATTGGCAGCTGAGTTATCAGAGGAACTCATATTCCTGCATGCAATCTTCCCATTCGAATGCTTGTTCCGGGCGGGCACGCTCTCGGATGCTGCAGCCTCTGCTTCATTCCTATTTCCAGCGAGGGTGGGTGCAAGCAGGTTGTCCCGGCAGGAGGGGCGAGATAGCCATGGACTAATTAATAATCTTGGGCGGCGCCTTGCGGGGAAGATGGATGGATCTCAAATTCCCCCGACGCTGGAACTGGACAGGCGAACCAGGTCCATGAGGATCAAGAACAACGACTCCAGCGACACATGTCCCAGAAATCTTCTACGCTCAGGATAGCCGCTGAGGGTGTCGGAGTGGGCCTTATCTTTGACAATCGCCCTGCCGTTGTCCGCCACCAACCACCACGAGATGCAGCCAAGCACATCCTCCGGGTCTAAGTGGGCCACCAATCTGAGCTTCTCAGACTGACCCAGCTCCAGGCACAGGGACAAGAAATCCGTACTGGACTTCATCCCTACCACCAAAGCCTCATCATGGAGCCAGCTAATGACCTGGACTGCAACCTACCATGAAAGAATCAATGAATCTATCAGCGACCCATTGCTTGACGGCCAAAAAGAGGGAATCGAGTCACGATCCTTTAAAAAATCCATTAAGACAAGCATACACACATGGCGAAGATAAGTTCAATCTGTTCTACAACCAGGTACAGAGAGGCGCATACGAACAGAAAACATGAAACAGTAGATGACAGACAACCTCCCCCCAGAAAAATTCCTGTATCATTTAAGAGGGCTAGGAAACACATAATCAGGCCTAGGGATCCAAGTTTGTCATCCATTGCAAGGCAAAAGACTGAAGGAAAAAACAAGCACGGACCATTCTATCTCATCATTTACTGAAAGAAAAAACAAAAAAATATCTACATCGAAATGACCATGAGCATGGTGATGGACTCTCGTGAGTAATCATCAATCCACACGCCTATTAGGCTCAACTGAACACCCAGGCTGCGCAAAGTGCAAAAGGGATTCATTTGGTATTTGAATTTTTCATCTTATCGTCCTCTCATTTAAAATATTTCTTTTTCTTTCTCGTCCACCGTTTTCTTAAATTGTTAACTGGGATGAGAATGCCATTACAGCTCATCCATGAAGATAATCAAATCTTTCGAGAATAGATGTCGGGAAAAAATAATAGTAGCTGATTAATTGCACATTTCAAGATTGGGTAGCCATTACATCCACAAGTTTCCCAACATTGTTGCAAACATATAAGTTTCATACAGGATGCACGGCGTTCCCTCGCCCATTATCAACGGACGAGAGAACTGAATACATTTTGTGACTTTTTTGTATACATCTTATCCTACAACTTTGAAGAGAGTGAGTTCTAAGAACATAATCTATCATCGCTTCTTCCCAATCTTTGGGTTTTTTCGACCATAAAGTTTCTAACATTGCATTTTGCTTGCTGCTTCTCACATCTGTTGGCAGTGTCGCCTGGATTTCAGTCATAGTTTCGAGGCAGAAACAAAATCGTTGTTAAGACATCCATCCAGACCTTATTCCAGAAATAACTTTCCGGATAACATTTTGGGCCACACAATAGACCGTCTAAGCCTCGCCTACACTGCATCACGTGTAAGTGCCGCATCCAGCAGAATCTTGCCCCGTCACCCTCTTGCCCACACCTCCCTTCCACTCTGACTCGTGCACCCTGTACAGTTTCCATCACCTTAAACGCTTGTGCGGGGTTTCCCGCTGTCCTCACCTCCTCCCCCTTTGTTCTGCACTTTCATTCACATCCTTGCACTTGGCCTCTATGCAGTAGCTGATCAAGACTAGCCTACCCACACCTCCCTTCCACTCTGAGTCGTGCACCCTATACAGTTTCCATCGCCTTTAACGCCTGTGAAATGGTGCAGACATAAAGCGGGGTTTACACCTGTCCTCTCCTCCTCCCTCTTTGTTCTGCACTTTCATGCGCATCCCTGCACTTTGGCCTCTATGCAGTAGCTAATCAATAGCTGACCACCTGTTTGTATTCCCTCTCCCTACCCACTACCCAACTAGGCCAACAAATGTTTTCTCACTCCTTCACAACCCTTGTTTTGATTTAAGATGCAACTCAGTCAATCAATTTCTGTTTTCCGCGCCAATTAAGTTTATGTTTTGTTTCCAAAATCATTCAAATCCTCAGAATTTCAGTTATGACTGCTTGAGATGGTGATATTCAAATTGAACAGTTGGTTTAAAGCGGTTGAGCCTACAATCTAAACCTACTCTGTTTGCATTCTGTACATCTGGTGAAAGCTCCTTGTCATTTAATAGCCTAGAAAAATGTATTCCATGGATCTTAGAAGACCTATTCGGCAGGCAGAGGCCTAAATATTCCTCAGAGAAACGAAATGAATGCCAGTCTAGTCTCCACTTCTCCAACACTGACTGGACAAAATTTGTTATCAAGGAAGCCTCGAACATGGCAAAACATTAATCTACTAAAGTACTACCTGAAACAGGCCACCTGGTGCCAGACACATTTTATTACGTTCCTTGACATAAGGTTTTATTCCTCGCAATGAGATAAGATTGTGACGAAAATATGGCCTGCAATGATGAATAGGCTACATTGCTAATTCTTTAGTAAAAGAGAGATCATTTAAGAAGCTATAAGCATGAAGTCTCCACCATGCGTCACTAGTTTTTTTAGGTTGAAAAAGGCAAATATTTTGAGTTGATCAAACTAACTTCAACGAAAATAGTCCAAAACAACTATGAAAGATTAGTTCTAGATATTCCATGATCAAGTACAATAAATATGCGAATTTTATTTAAGAGAAATCAATCTCCAGCGATGGAAGAGCCCGGACAAAAATAAGCTTCTTTGCCATCCAAAAAATGCATTACAATTAGTAGATTTCTGAGCTACATCAGAAGACTTATGATAAAAAATCTGTAAAGTGCACTGTTGTTCCCATCGATGAAATAAGATGACAGGAGAGGTTTTAAAAGTGACATGTTTCATGTTACCTGCTGCAATAGAATCACTGGAAGATCCACGATGTCACAACTGTAACAGTTAAGCAAAGACATGTCCATGGAATCCCTCTTGAACGAGCCAATAGTGTTTGGTATGCCTTCACCGCTAATACTGATGGATTCATCATTAACAGCCACTTTGGTGTGAAACTGCAGTCCAGCTTCGCTTTTGGACTCTTGAGTTCCTAAATGCTTTGCTCGTTTAGCAGAATAAACAATTGACAGAGGAACCTTCATATTTATGGACCATGACGATGTCCGAGAGTGCCAGGTAGGATGGGTTAATAGATGCAGATATGGAACCCTTTCAACCTGTGGAGATCAAACGAAATCAAATTGAAATGTAAGCACAATATTCAACAGTATCCCTTATCAGACATAATACTAAGTGAAAAATTACCAGATTTTCCAGTACGGAGAACACTTTCTTGGAAAAGACTCTATGAGCTATTGTTGCACAAAAATAACCCAGCAAGCCAATCCCTTCACCTAGAGACTGAGCAGATGCTCGATTTTTTATGGCAGGAGAATGTCCCTCTTTGGCTCTTAAAAATACATTTTCATGGAGAATACATCGCAAATAAATTTCAAAACAAATTGGGTTAGGAAGTTTCATCATCTCCTTTCCAAATGAATCCTGCTTCTCATTTATCATCATTAGCTCCGAGGAATCAGAATGTGAAACGCCAGATTCTCGGTTGCAAGTTCCATCAGAGGAAGCAGTTTGATTGCTACCTTCTTTTCCAGAAGACCTTAGGCACAGGTAAACAGAAGCTTCTTGACCTATTCCCAACTGCAAATAGTCTTCCCGCATCCCGGTAACATTAACGCCAAATGGTGAGTCAACAGTCTCACGATTGACCAAATCAAAGACCTGAAGCAAAAAACAGAGAAGCCTCTCAGAACTGGGATAGGGATCACTAACAACAACAAGAGATTGTACCTGTTCTTCAAATATTGCCTGATGAATTTCACGCAGAACTGAGTGTGTCCCCTGAACAGATTCATCAACAGCTGCCTCCGTTAGAGGATCAATCTTATCATCCTCGGAACGACTATCATCTCTTTTGCTGATATAAGATTTCTGCATTCGACACTTGATATCTTCCCCGGAGAATGGGGCAAACCCAAAATGTAGGGAGCGACATGATTTCGGAGGTAATTGCAAAGCCAACATGCCTGTGGGGTCATGATCAATTCGAACTGTAGACAACAAAGATGGACGAGAAAACACCGTGGGATCTGATAATGAACTATCATGTAGATCAATTGTGAAGCCTTCATTTCCAGGAGCACTCTGCCGCTGCCGTTTTACTTTCCAGTTCTGCTGTAATCTATTGGCTTGTAAGAAGAAGCACGGATGGAATGACCTTGAAACATCTCAACGTTAATTATATTATAAGAATCCACTCACCGAATCAGAGAGCCATAGAATCTTGCCTCCCTCACTACTTGTTTCTCGAGAGCTTGTGAAGACTGTTTAAAATACTTACCCAGATGCTGCAGACGAAACAATATCGTTATCAAGAAGCCTCGACCAATAATGAAGGACAAACTTGCAAGTTTGGCCAAAAAATGTACGGATTGTAGATAACCTTCCCATAAGCAAAGGGAATAAATAACTTGAAAGAAATGTTCTTCAGCAACACGGTGAGCAGAGGAATATCTCGTGGGATTTTGTGCACAAGATGTGGGCTTATGATGTACAATTGGAATATAGCATTAATGAATAAAAGAGAATATGAACATTTCACCCGCAACCGTTGAAGCTTCGTTGCTGCAGAGACAGAAAGATCTGAAAGCAATTCATTTGGCAATTGTTTTGGCCTTGTCATTCCAGCTACTGCCACTGCATCATTTGCCTCGACCTACATCATGTTAAAATTAGTGAATAACGGCTGTACCATCCAGATCAAGGGCACTCAATGATGTTAATATTGCATGAATGTACATCATAGGAAGGCTTATTTATTGAGCGAGGATCTGAAACTAAGGCATTGATGAGCATAGTAAAGAAGAGGAAAATCAGAAAAAACAAAACCCTCATCATCATCCATTGTCTGTTGTAATTGGCATCTGACTCAAAGTCAAACCCCTATAGGATCAGGATAAGCTTTTTGAGCCAGACTCATTAACTGCTGAAATGCAGCGAAACAGGCACCACATACGTAATCAATGGTAAGACAATCAGATCACGGATCATTGGGACAAAGTGGTGGGGGGGCGCAGTAAAACCCCAAGTGTCACGCTCGGATGATATAAATAGTCCAGAGTTTGGTCAAGAGGACAAGAACCAGGCATTTCATGCAGTGAATAAAAAATGTTACACCATATTGGGAACAAATTGTTTCAAAATTCCCCGGGAAGTCGACGAGAACGTTGACCACTGCAAACCTAATCCTTTCCGAGAGCTTGCTACCGACCATTCTACCAGACAGGAAAGCAAAGTACAGAAGAAGTCTCCTTGAACCACCATGGGTCTGACAAAATGCTTTGCTAAATCACTGCTAATTACGGCAAAGGAAAAATATTAACCAAGCTATGAGGATCGGATTTAAGCTTCATAAGGCTTAGTTCTTTGCAGTCTTGGGGAGTTATACCGTAAATTTGAGCAACCATAACCAATACCTACCGTGTTTATCAAGTCGATGATGACGGAGAGTTCTTGACTGGCGAGGTGTAGGTTCTCCACCAGTCCCTGCCACGGCCAGGGAGGCGCCGCTGCCACTGCCGCCCCTTCCCTGGGACTCTTCTTCTTCGCCTTCTTGGCGTCCTTCTCCACTACCCACGAGAAATCTATTCGCCGGATTAAGTCCAGTCGCTTCTCGTCCGTCCCGATCTCCCTGGCGATTCAAGAGAAGCGGAGAAAAGGAAGAAAAAAATAAGTGAAATCACCAAAAACATTGAAACCACAAGGAACGACTCTCAGCGCGGGAGGATAGAAAATCCTTACGGGGGGAACCGCTCGACGCCTGCCTCGTCCGTGGACTCAACCCTCTTGAGCGGAAGCTTGTCGAGGTGGATCTCCATTCTTGCTTCCCCCATTTCCTCACACTGCGGTGGGCGCGGCGCCGTTAGTGAGGAGCCGAGCGGGAACAAAACAGGCCCACCGCCCTTCCACGCCTTGATCGCTCTCCCCTGCGAGCTCCGCCCGCGCTCGTCCCCCCAATACGAGACAGCCGGGGAGCCGGGAGCCGGGTAAACCCGAACCGTTGTCCCGCGATGGAGAGAGTCGGATCGGATCCTCTGACCTGCCGCCACGCCGTCAATCCGAGAGGCCAAGGCCGAAAACCGCTTTGACCGAGTAAGCGGATTTCGGTGCAATATCTCTATAACATGCTATGGGCTTTTGAGATCTCTCCTCCATTCCACGAGCCCTCTCGTTGTTAAATATAGAATCACAATAATAGCAGAAATTCAATTTCTAGATATCAGAGAGAGCAAATAGAAGAGAAATCATGGCGTGCATCCTAGCAGAGAGAGAGAGAGAGAGAGAGAGAGAGAGAGCTCAGGTTTTAGGCACTTTGCAGGAACACCTTCATGGTTTCAAGGGCTTGTTCTCCCATCATCGGTCGCCTTCCTTCATTCTAGGCTAGGAAGAGAATGTCCATTGCAAGAGCCTCCATGGATTCTCGCCATCCATTGCGTTTGTCCATAACCCGACTATGCTGGCCCTCCGTCTCACACACAGTTACTTGTACTACCTCCGGCAATTCTTCTAAGCATTGGAATCATGGCTTGGGCTATTTGCTCCTCTAGATGAGTGACCCGCTGCCTTCAATCTCACTCTTTCTAACCAACCATTACAAGGGCCTGCCTCTGCTTTGATATCACTTTGTGGTAAGGTAGACTTGAAGTGTACTTGCTGTTGTTACTTGTGTCAACCTTGACTATCACTATCACTTTACTGAATGTAAAATTATCATCTGGCTTAGGGCTATTACAACCTTTAAACATAAATACAAGAGAGAGGGGAAGATCTATTCCTTCCCACTTTGAAAATTTTGGAGCATCCCCCTAAACTCCCCCACTTTATCCCTTAATGTATTTTTGTTCTTATTATTTGTCTATCATCCTAATGCTTCACTTGGGTTGTTCCAACAACCATTAAAGTCTTTTTTTTCATGGGGTCTAACTCTTCATGCACATCCTATGTGTTGGCTACAATGTCACACTTATATTAGAAACCGAAAGAGTTTAAAATTGGTCAAATTTAATTCTATGCACAGCTTCTCTTCTTTTTTTAAATTCCTTCCTTCCCATTTCTTAGTTCTTGAAAACAATTAATGAAAGATGTAAACAATTTTATAGTGGTTTTATCTCACTGACCTCTTCCACTCTCTAAGAATACCTCATCCTCTAGGTCCCCTAAGCACATAGTACTTGTTCACTAATTACACGGGCTCAGCTCCCACTGAGTTTCTCCTTAAATTCTCTCTTGATTCATGGCTCTAAAATGTCTTGCTGCCGATTATAGAGTTTATCCCCCTTGAGTAATAAGTCATGCTTATCACAAGTTTGACCATAAAAAATATAAAATATTTCACAATGTGTGGCAATTATGGAAAATAAGAGAGTTCATGTGTTCACAAATTTTGAAGAGAAAGATCATTGGTTGTTCTTAATCCCTTGATCTTCTTCCTATGTTGAAGCTCTCTGAATAATGAAGAACTCCTGTTAATTTTTGGTTGGGATGAATTTTTTTTTTTTTTTTTTGAATTGCAAGCCCAACTTGTCATCTCTATAGTTGTGACATAACCTTTGAATTTTAGTCGAAATTCTTCTCATTTTGATGCTTCAAAATGTTAGTGAAAAAGTTCAAGAGAATAGGCAATTACAAGATATTAATTTGATGATAAAGACTCAATTGATGGATCTAATTTCGATCTGATCTTTATTCTATTTCCACCTGCTCAATGCTATATTTCTAACCTATAAGATGACAGATTTAAGTTTTTCAAATGTTTTTTCTTTATAAACCAATAGTGAAACATTTAAGACGTAACAAAGAAATTGGATTTGATATATATATATATATATATATATATATGGTAGATTTTCAATATTCATTAAAACAAAGTAATGGTTTTGAACAAAAATAGTATCTAAATCAACACAAAAAATATAAGCATGATCAATCTCTTTTGAGGTTTCCTATCACCTTTTTAAAATACACAATTGAAATTTCTTATGTCATGTAATCATTGCTTCAAATTTGGGTGTCAATAATAATGTAGTTCAAATAAAAGAATCATTGTTTCGTGACACTTTCTAGGCGACTCTTGGATGTTTGATGGTGTGTGATGCCTTCTGAATGATCTTAAGCCCATCCTTGGCCCTCATTCCCTCCCCTCCAATGCTCAAGGGTGAGAGAATGGATTGATCCATCGTGGGAAGCGAAATTTCTGATTTTTTCTTTAGAAAAATCTTAGCTCTCAATTTGGTATAACGTGAAAAGTGAGAGCATAACTTATGCTAGCATAGGATTGAATCTGAATATTATGTCTAACATTATTATCATGACATCTTCATCTACACCACCTATGGAGCATTCTAAATTATACTTAGAGCTCCCTGCTTATCCAAATGAGTATAAATTGAATAGGGGAAACTTGCTTCAATGCAATGAATTTATTGAATTTGTCTTAATTGATAGAGGGAAACTGAATGATTTTTATGATCAGCCACCTGAGCAAACAAATCCCTGATTATGAGCTTAGAAGGAGGAAGACGTGATTATTAAGACAATGATTTTAGAGTACGATGGCTCTTGAAGTTAATGGAAATTATTTATTTCTCCCTACAACTAAGAATATTTGAGAAATAACGAATAATATTTTCTCAAAAAAACATGATGGAGCACAAAAACATGATGAAAGTCAATTGCTATAAAATAAGGGAAAAGATCAGTGAGAGAGTATGCACACGAATTTGAATCCTCATGGAAAGAAATTGATAGATATTATACCGATCAGAGCAAAAGATCATGAGGATGCATCTTCTTTCCAATGGTATATTAAGATAGAACTGATTTATAAATTCCTTGATGGACTCAAATAGAATCGATCTCAGATATTAAGAAGGGGAAGTGTTTCAGATTTAGAATAAATAATTCTTATAGTAAGGAATGAAGAGAGTCAGAGGAACCTCATGGTTGAACTACAAAGAGTTAATAGTTCAGCATTTGTGGTTACAGTCTCCTCTCTCCTCAGGTACTCTTATGAAAAATAACTATGATAAATTTGGCGGAAAAAAGGGGTTCGTTAAACATTTTGCATTCATAACCCTTCAATCAAAACAGAGATCCTGTGTGTGTGTGTGTGTGTGTGTGTGAGAGAGAGAGAGAGAGAGAGAGAGAGAGAGAGAGAGAGAGAGAGAGAGAGTTACTCATCCATCAAAGGTCTCATCTGCAAGCCCATGAACCAGGACATCCAATGCACGTCCTCCGCCCGCGGGTGAGTCTTGTCGGCTGACGAGAAGCGGTGGACCCCGCCCCCACCACAGTCGACCCAGCTGAACCCGACCTCCTTCCTGACCCCGCTGTCCCTCATGGCCTTCCTCACCTTGGCCACCTTCTCCCACTCCCCCATCTCAGCATAAATATTCGACAGCAAGACGTAGGTCCCCGACTCCGCTGTCGGCCCCATGCCCAGAAGCGCATCTGCCGCCCTCGCCGCCATGGCGGCGTCCCCGTGCACGCGGCATGCCCCCAGCAGGCTCTGCATTGCCGACAGCCCCGCCCCGCCTGGTATCGCTCCGACGAGCCTCTCCGCCTCCTCCAACCTTCCGGCCCTCCCCAGCATATCCACCACCGCCGAGTAATGCTCCCCGTTCGGCTCGATGCCGTGGTCGTCGACCATGGAGCTGAAGACCTGGCATCCTCGGTCCACCATCCCGCCGTGGCCGCAGGCCGTGAGGACTGCCAGAAAGGTGAGCTGATCCGGGCTGACCCCGTTCGCCGCCATTGCCTCGAACAGGTCGACCACGCCGACGTAGTTCGCATGCCTCGCCTCGGCGGAGATCATCGCCGTCCAGCTTATCAGGCTCTTCTTGGGAGCCTGGTGGAACAGCCTCCGCGCGCCATCCACGCTGCCGCGCTTCGAGTACATGTCGATGAGCGCCCCCGTCAGGTGCTCACCCTCGTCGAGGCCCATCTTCAGCGCCAGACAGTGACACCGCTGGCCGTATGTCAAACAAACTGTCTCCTCCGCCGACGCCACGGCGCTGACAACGCTCCCGAAGGTGAAGTCGTTCGGCCGGCAGCGAGAGGTCATCATCATCGAAGAGAACGCCCTCATAGCTTCTTCGCACATCCCGTTCTGGGCATAGCCGGAGATGAGGGCGTTCCAAGAGACAGCGTCTTCTGCGCTATCCATCCCGTCGAACACCCTCCTCGACGCCTCCATGGACCCCCACTTGGCGTACATGGTGACGAGGCTGTTGCAGACGTTGCGACTCCCCCGGACCCCCGCTTTGAAGCAGAACCCGTGGATCGCCTCGCCGGAGCGGGCAGAGGGCCCCGAAGCCGCCACCGCGGAGATCAAGGCGATGAAGGTGACAATATTCGGCTCCACGCCGTCCAGCAGCATCTCCTTGAAGAGCGCCAGGGCCTCGCCGGCATCGATGGAGATCATCGTCGTCCACGAGACGACGTTCCGCTCCTCCACGTCCTGGAAGACCCTCCGGGCGCAGTCCGTCGACCCACACTTGGCGTACATCGACATGAGAACGTTCGACACCGACGCGCCCTTGACGAGTCTGCTCTTCATGGCCATGCCGTGGACCTGGCGCCCCATGCGCAGGTTCCTCTCGTGCCCGCAGGCCGCGAGCGCGCTCGAGAGTGAGACGTGGTCCACCACTAGTCCTTCCCTGGTCATTGCGACGAAAACCTCCATGGCCCGAGCCCAGCGGTCCTCCTCCTGAGCGTACCCCGAAATCAGAGCATTCCAGGAAACCAGGTCCCTCTCGACCATTTCTCCGAACACCCTGTCAGCTTCTTCCAGGAGACCCGCCTTCGCATACGCCGATATCAGGGCGTTCCCGACGAAGGTATCCGACTCGAAGCCCGCCTTCACCACTTGAGAGTGGAGCTGCAGGGCAAAGCCACTGCCGCCGCCGCCGCCGCCGCCGCCGTCGTCGTCGTCGTCGAGGTCCGACGTGTAGGCGAGCGCCGTGGTGAAGGTCACGGCGTCGAAGATGACCCCCGAGCGAGCCATCGTCACCGCGAACGACAGCGCGTCCTTAGTGCAGGGGAATCCCGACAGGACGGTGTTCCAGGAGACGACGTCGCGGTGGGACATGGCGTTGAAGATCTGGAGGGCCTCACTGAATCTGCAAATCTTGCAGTAGAAGTTCATGAGGGCGTTGGAGACCGTCGTGTGCCGGCCGAGGCCGGCGGCGACGACGACGGCATGGATCTGCATCGCCGTTCTGGGGCGATCCCCGCGGACGCACGACTTGAGCGAGGCCGCCACCTCGGCGGGTTCGAGGCCATGGAAGACCGCCGCCGCCCGGAGCCGCTCCCGGAGGAGGGCGTAGAAAGGTGGCGGGGATGGCGGCGAGCTTCTGCGGGGGAAGACGCCGTGAGGGTCTCGGCCATGGCTCTCGCCCTCGGCGCAGAGAGAGGAGAACCCCGGTGGGGCGCAGCTGGCGCGGAGTTGCGATGGCCGGATGAAACAGAAGCTGTAAATTCCGCCGGGGACGGTGGAATCTGATGGAAAACCCGCCCTTGCTTCTTCCCAGTTCCTACCAAGCGTCGTAAAAAGGCGCGAAAGCCCTGCGACTAACATGTATCTTCTTTCCACAATTTCCTCTCTCTCGACACCTCTGTCGGTCTATTTAGATGCCATTAAACAGGCAGCCTTTCTGTTCCTCCGGCACCAGAGAAGAGAGAGCACTGGAAGGCATTATAAGATCTCAGTTGGCCGGCATCGGAACGGCGAGGGCTCGGTCGCCAACTCAATCCACGGCGCAGTACTACATGACGCCTCCCGAAGCGAGGTATGCGGTAGCGCGGCGCCGAATACCGCCGGGAAGGTGCAGCTCGAGGCAGCATTCGTAACACTGTCGCCGTCTACAATCGGAGCCTCTCTACCTACCTTCGACCTTCTTTTCCACATGGGATTGGTCAGGGGCTGATGCAAAATAACAGCCAGGGGAGTATTTGTTCTTAGAAGGAAACCGAGAGACTCAGCTCCCGGCGAGGATCGAACTCGCGACCTTTCGCTTACGAAGCGAACGCACTACCACTATGCTACGGAAGCAAATTTGTTATAGGACCAATAAAATAATATATTTTTTATAAAACAGTCCGCCATTCAAACCGGCCAGTCTCACCGCCGTCGCCTTCACAGGGATGAGCCAGTTCAGCCCGATCGCAATGCCGGGGAGACTGCAAGAGAGGGGATGCAGCTCGGCGGCAAGTTCAAGCTCAAGGTGAGGGCGCTCTCCCGCCACGATCATCTCGGCAGCTTCCTCCCAGCGAACGGTGGGCCGGAAGGCAGGGATGGCGGCGCCGACTCGGTCTACGACTTCGGGGAGGAGATGGCCACCTTCTTGGGTCGTGGATTCGGAACACGCCGCGAGGGAGCGGGAGGTACCTTGGTTCTCGGCGAAGATGACGCAGCCGGACTATCCGACGACGAGTTGCAGCCGTGGAAGGTTGACGAGGCTGCCGCAGCGGATTCGTCGGAGGTTGATGCCGACGATCAAGGCCCGGAGCTGGACTCTGAGGTAAACACAAAACTTATTTCCGGTGATGGATCTCCCCAGACTTCCTGGCCGTGATGTCGGCCGAACCAACCACGGAAAGCAGAGCTGTGATGTCGCCGCCTCTGCTTTTATTGTGCCACCAGATTTCGCAGAAGGTTATGAACCTAGAAGCATTGCAGAGGATCGCCAGCCGCGGTATTCCCTGGGGAGGGGGCATGCGAGCGTTAGTCTGGAAGGTCCGGTCTCCTATCCTCCCTTCTTTGGCTCTCTTCTTAGACAGATGGTTTGCTTTACTGCGTTGATAGTCAGATCTGTCGCGAGACCGGCGGTCGATTAGAGCTAGAACTAGTTCACGATTCCCGTCTCTGCCTTCTCTCTGTCGATGTTTCGGATCGACAGCTCCTTTTAGGTTATTTACCCGAAGATCGAGATTCCTGGGACGGAGCCTTAGTAGAGAAGAGGGAGGCGTACGCGAAGCTACGATCGGAACTCATCCTGAATCCTGTAAGTGTCCGAAATCCTTCCTAGTGAACATTTCTGCCGATCGCCGAATTCGCATTCGCTTAATCGTATGCTGTTGTCATCTAGACAGTCTGAATCTGGGGGCGAGCAAGGTGGTGCCGCGGATGGACCACTCGAGAGACGCGAAATTCCCGACGGAGACCACCCTCTTTGCCTGGGAGAGGACAGCATCTGGCATCGATACTTTCAGGTAAATTACCGCGATGACAACATTCATCCGATGAGGATTCGAGGCTCAAATGGGAATTAAGCGAAGACCATGCTCTGCAGGACGCCGAGATCGCTACACAGATCGACCGTGATCTTGAGCGCACCCATCCGAACAGTAGATTCTTCGCAGGGGACTCGAAATCGAGCCGCATAAACCGAGTACTCTATCCACTCTCTTGTTATCATATTTTTCACCCACATGCCCCTTACCCCTCCCCCGGCCGAGGAGACCTGGTAACTCCGCCGATGATGTGGTGGCGCCAAAACCTGACAGGAGTCGATGAGGAGCATTCTTCTTCTGTTCGCCAAGCTCAATCCTGCAGTCAGCTATGTGCAAGGGATGAACGAGGTCTTGGCCCCGCTGTTCTACGTATTCAGCTCGGATCCAGACGCCCAACAAGCCGTAAGTCTACAACACCCCTTCTCCGTTGAGGATCATTTCGAACTCCCCCCGAGTGTTACAAATCGTTACCGGCAAATGATGATTGTTTGCCCCCTCCACTCTCCTGTAGGTGCAGTCAGATGCAGAGGCAGACAGCTTCTTCTGCTTTGTGTCTCTGCTGAGCAACTCGGTGGATCACTTCTGCCCGCATCTAGACAACAGCCCCAAGGGAATCCTCTCCACTCTCGCCGACCTGTCCCAGCTTCTCAAGGCCAACGACGAGGAGCTGTGGCGTCACCTCGAGCTCTCCAACAAGGTAGGACCTGCATGCAGGGAGATAAGCGTAGTACGATGCATATCGCGTCTCATCTCTCCAGTAAAAAGCTCTCCTCCCCTACCTGCAGGTGAGGCCGCAGTTCTACGCCTTCCGGTGGATCACTCTGCTTCTGACGCAGGAATTCGGGCTCCCGGCCGTCATCCGGATATGGGATGCTCTCCTCGGTAACCCCTCTGGGGTTCAGGTACAGAGAGAGAGAGAGAGAGAGAGAGAGAGAGAGAGAAGATTCAACGGAGGGAGCGGATGACCGTTGGATTGGGGTGGTGGGTCTTGCAGGAAATGCTGCTGAGGGTTTGCTGCGCGATGTTGCTGTGCGTGAGGCGGGAGCTGCTGGAGGGCGATTTCATGGCGAATGTGAAACTCCTGCAGAGCTACCCTCGCGTGGACCTGGAGCGTCTGCTGAACGTGGCCGGGCAGGTGGTGACGCCGCAATCCCGGGGGCCCACCTGAAATCCGCCGCCCCGTTTCGGGGTTTCTCCTCGCGTCGTCAACATTTATTAGATATATAACGCACAGTCGGTTCCGGCTGACTGGCTTGTGGAAAAGTCAGATCCTTACTTCCCCGGCTGAATCTTCGAGAGCCGGTGGCCCGCGCACTGTCATTTGCGGCCCCCTCTGGTTGATGTCGACAGGATGAGGACGAGGGACAGGAGAGAGAGGGAGAGAGAGAACGAGGAGAGAGGGCGGAGGTCCACCAATTATTTACCACTTATTTTATAAAACAGCGAAGAGTCTGTAGCAGCAGCAGATCGTGTGGTCAGAGGCCAAGTCTTGGCGTCTGCACGGAGAAGAGACAAGAGGCCCGAGGGGTGAGGCAGGGGCCCTCCTCCTCCTCCTATGAAGATACCTCTCGCGCCATCGCTCCGCAGATTTTCCCTTGTCGCGATCGTCGCCACCCCCCATCAAGCCTCCTCCCTGCCTTGCCTTCTAGTCCTCCCCTCGTCCTCGTCGCCCTTTCTTGATTCGTCTTTCCCCCCCTCTCCGCGATGACCTGCTCTGTATCCTCTCACGCGGTGGCCTTGGCCACCGCCATGGCCGTCTCCGGCACCCTGATCTTCCTCGTGATCTGTCGGCAGAGACCTCCCGGGCAGTTGGCCGGCACAGATCCCCCTCCCGCCTTTCCCCGGCCGTGCATCGCCGGTACGCTGCTGCTCCTTTCCCTCTCTGTTCCTCTGGACTCCTAGCAGTAGTCTCTGTGATCTTCTTCTTCTTCTTTCCTTTCTTCACCGGAGAGGCCCCTTTCTTTTCTTTTTTGAGCCAAAACCTGCAGATCCGAAGAAGAAGAGGAGCCAGCGGAGGGCGAGCAAGACGGGGGGAAGGAGGGTCCATTTTGCGGAGCGCGTGATGGAGAGGTACATTGAAGGCCGCAGGTCCCAGTGGGAGGAGGAAGAAGACTCCCCCCCAACCGGGATGGTGGAGGTCGCGACCCCGCCGGGGATTCCACGCGTCTGCGGCGGCGACGGCGGCGGCGGCGTGTCGGAATGCAGGCACCTGGGGCGCGGAGTAATGCCGGCGAACTGGGTAGCTCTGTACAGCGGGATGCTGCGGGATCGCAACCACCGGGTCATTTGCTCTTACTGACTGACCCCTGCCCATCCCCCCGGTCCCATCGCCCCCACCCAAACCAGCGGCGTCAGCAGCTAAGTGAGATCATCATGGTTGTGAATAGAGACCAGAGTGGCGTCGAAACGCTTTCTTAATCGACAACTAGCATTTAACGGGCCAACTAATTGGAATCGATCACTCGGAAAAAAGTTTTTTTTTTCTGGGTTTTCTTGACGATTGAATGGATTCCGGTCGTTCCCGCGGCCCGCCTTGTAGTCGGTGGGCACTGCGCGGTAGAATCAGTCTGGGCAAGCCCACTTGTGGCGCCAGGTAGGGAGCCGTAACAGCCGAAGGCTGGCGCGGAGGAGACGAGGTTAGATCGTGCGCTCCCTACCGGTGTGTATACCAAGATGCGGCATGTGCGGGTTGTTGGTAGCCGGGACGATGATCAAACGTCGTCTTCCGAGCGTCTTAATCAGAGAGTAAGTGAGGGAGAGAGAGGTGGCACCATGGGGGTAAAGCGTAACGAGCAGATTCCTGAAGAAATCCAGGAGGAGAGAGAAGCGAACCCTCTAAGAGGGTCGATGCGAGAGAGGGAGATCTGGACCTTACCATTCCGCAGGCTGAACTCTTTCCCTGAGCTCCGCGCCAATCTCTGCAACTCTCTCTCCGAAGGTCCATCCGTGACTGAGACCAAGCCGGTTTGGGATGGTCGCCATGCCCCGCTCTTCGTCGTTGCTGAAAACTGAAGGAGAGGGAAAAATTCTTCCCGGGTATTCCGTCTCGCTCTCTCTCTCTCTCTCTCCCTCCCCTCCCAGGCCGCCGGAGTTTCACAACGCCTTCGAAAGAGGGAGGATACATGCACAAATATGTTTCTTGTAGCATTAATGTATAATTTTTCATATTTTCGTACGTCCTCTGTCTGGGATTAACGGATGCCCTAGAGTCTTCCTACCGTCTCCTTCTTGCCTTCGTTCGGCTCCTCCTTCTGGTACGATCTCGGCCACAACGCAGCTTCCTACGCGCGCCCCTTCCCTTTGCCAGGTGGATTGCGTCTTTTCTTCTGTAATTGTCGTCAAACCCTGAGGATGATGCCGTGCTTTCTCGCGAATGTCTGTTGCTTGTTCGCCTTTTGTTCTTTCGGGGGGCACCTCGTGGATGAGGAGGATGTGCTTCTCGTGATGAATCTGGTTGCTTGAAATCTCGAGTCTCAGATTGTTTTCAAAGGCGCGATGAATTTGTACTCGCAAACAGCGTCCCATCTATCAAGAGATTGCCCCCATTTCTCTCTATCCTCGTTAGAAGATAGCCAAACGTAGGCATTCCAGAGCTTGTTTTATGACTGTCGTATCGAAGATTATGATAAAATGCTTGATATTGCGTCACACATGGGCAAACATGATACTGATTCTTCCTTATTCGTTCGGTCATTTTGAAAAAAAACCCGACGATATGTGATGCCAAACACGTTGTTTCAAAGTTTTATCAGCAGGATCTGCCCCTAATTCTAATGTCTAATATAGACATATCATTCTTGACTTCTTTCTGTTTTCCGAAGTTTTTGTTGCACGGCTAATTGAGAATCGTTTCTGGGATGAGATGCCATTTTGAGAAAAAGTGGATTTTTTAGTACAACTTCGCTCGATATCTTCCTATTGGCGAGCCTGCTATTCACCCCAATCTGAAGATTCATTTTTTTTTGAGCTTGGTGGGATCATTTTATTGATACAATTCTCTCTTACCTCTTGTACTCTTGGTTCATAAAAGGCTTCTATTCCACTGATAGAGCATGATGTCAAGTAAAACATGGTTCCCCAAATTCCTTGTACTAGCTCATCTATGCCTAACTCTGGGTTACTTAATCCACGGAAAACTCCCCGTAGATTGTTTCAGAGCCTCACCGTTCTGGTCCTGCATAATTTGGTGAAAACTCCTTATGCCTAATTTTTCATTATTTCTTGGTGTACTACATAATGATCATCCTGTGAGTCGTAAATTCAAGAATGCTTCAGTGATTGCATTCGCTGAAGTTGCCATTATTGTGCTACGCTGATGCTTTTGCATCTTTTTTGTTGTCACTTATTCTTCTTCATCCTTGGACAGCCATGAAAGTAAGGTCATCTGTGAAGAAGCTCTGCCAGTTCTGCCAGACGGTCAAACGGCGTGGAAGGGTGTACATTCTGTGCACTGCCAATCCGAAGCACAAGCAGCGGCAAGGCGTGTCGACATTTGCCTATGAGGGCCCACTGCCGCCTGTGTATGCATTTGTTTTCTATTTGCTTTTTTTATTTATCATTTTCCTGTTGGCGCTGTTCATGCTTGTTTACCCACAAGACTCTGATTTTATAATGTTATCTGTTGAAATTATTCTTTATGCCATGATTATTCTTATTTGCCGAAAGGTTTCCACCACTTGTGACATATATTATTGGATCGTGCAAGCTTTTGTCTGCTGTGGCCACTCCAAATTTGGCACCCATCTTCTACTACTTGCTTGTTCTTATCAATCAGTCACTGTTAGTTATCGAATGTTGCTGAAACCATTGCCGATCATCGTGCAACCACGCAACTCGGACCACTTTGATAAATCTGATGAAGAATCCTCACCGGGGAGAGCGCCCCGAGCTTTGCCATCTCCATCCGTTCTCTCGTGTAGTGTTCATTTCCTGGAAACCGTTTCCTTGGCTGAAACATGAGACAAGTTTTGGGCTGTGCCTTTGTCCTCCGCCGATTCTCTGATCTGTGTATCCTCACCCTGTTTCTCTTTCCTGCTACTCCGAGTGGTTAGTGATGATGATGATGTTGACGACAATGGTCAGCTAGTCTGATGATGCTTTATGTTGCAGCTTGGCAGGTGCGGACGCCAAGGTCGATCCAGTGACCACGAGCAAGTGGGGAGTTGGTCTGGCATCCCTTCTGAACACCAAAAAGGACTAGCTGATGTAGAATCGGCAGGAGCGGGAGAGGCTGTGATCTCCACCCCCGACCAAAGAGCCTCTGGGGAGCGTGAGGCCACGGCCCTGGCGCTCTTGTTTCCTATTCGGGCTTTCTCTCTGTCGGAATTCTGGATTAGAGCGAGGCCATGACCGTGGTGTCGACACGGCTAAGTGAGACCTTTGAATAAATTTTGCTCGGCTTATCTACAGGACCTCGCCGATGTTTCTGAAAGAAAAAGCAAGGATGCCGCCGTTTCGTCCAGTATTTCAGTGCGTTGGGGATCAATGGGTGGGCCTGGGTTCTTATCTTGTGCCCCGAAGAAACTCCCCGGGAAGAGGATGAGTCGGTGGAAAGAAGCTAATTTGGGTTTGATTCTTGGACGCTTACTGACCTGGACCTAGGAACTGAGGACGCTTGATAGGTAGGTTACCCATCAATCACTTGGGGTGGGGGTATGAGAGAGTTACGGCGTCGGGGACGGGGAGATGGGGCCGCGCGTTAGAAGAGAGGTCTTGTTACCTCTCTAAGGAAACAAGTAACCACTCGCCGCCGCACGGTATGGGCACGACGCGCCGTACGTTAGAGGCCGTTGGAAAGTAAATACATACCCGCTCCCCACGGTGCGGCAGGCTATACGCAATTTCGAGTCATCGAGGGGGGAAACGGCCGGGGAAGGGAGCGGCGGCGGCGTGCGTGCGGCCGGGCGTGTCTCAGTCGGCCTCCGGTGGGGTGAGAGCCTCCCGTCCTCTAAATCCCAATTCGATCCCCGAATGCCTGATAACTATTCTCGGGGAGACGGCGAACTCTACCGGGCGGCGCAGTCCTTGATGTCCCCTTCTCCAACACCCCCCACCCCCAACCCCCCCGCCGTTAATCTCCCGCTCTTGCTGGTTTGGTTTGGCGACGATATTTATCTGTTTTCCATCTCTTTGGTTCGTTCTGTCCCCCATCCATCTCTTCCAATTGTGAGGTTGTGCAGACATCGACCAGATCTGGTTGGATCGTCCCCTTTGTCGTCTTTGTATCGCTCTCGTCATCATCTTCTGCTGGCCATTTATAACCCTCCAATCTCCCCCACCATCTCTATTATTAATCTTTCATAACAGCAACTCACCTGCTCTCTCCGTTCTCAGGTCAGGACCACGGAAGGTCCCTCTTGTCCAAAGGGGCGACGCCTTCTCACACTTTGGGACCCTCTTCCCGACGTCGTCCTCCTCTTTCGAGGGGCGAGGCCCCAGATCTGGTGCCGCAGGCTGTAGCGAGCCGCGATAACATGGTATTCCCGTAGTTGATAGATCGAGAGTCCAGATGTTCACCGGCGGCGGCGACAGTAGATCCATCTCTACCTGGATCAGCCAACTTCTCGCATGTATGGGGTAAGTCGGATCGGAAACCTTCTCGCTTCAGCTACTTTCATTCTATTCTTCGTTATGGCCCCCGGCATGAATTGGGAGCTTGATGAATACTATTTATTTTTCTGCGGTTCTCTTCATTTCCTGCTTTTTCGATGGCGGGGATGTTTCTTTGTCACGGCGATCTTCCGTGTTTCCCTTCAACTTTGGCCCCATCCCCCTTTTTACCTTCATAGTAAACGTCTTCGACGGGAAAAAGATTTGATTGGTTGCTCTGAAAACTTCGACTCCCCGTTGAAGCAACGGAGAAAAAAATAAATCTGATTCTGGAGGAGAGAGGAGATATACCATCCTGATATATTTCTGAATGGAGGGATCGACTTCTTATACGCTGTCAATGATCTGGTCGCGTATCCAACCGTTCGTTAGTATAAAAATAACAAAGTCTTCAATTTTTTAGTGCAGGTTGTATTGGGATGGCAACCTGATTGCCATGCTTCCTGAAACCCCAAAGTTTTTTTGAATTGCATGGCTGATGACCATGTTATTTTTTCTTTAAATGTTTGAAAAATGTTAATATATGACATTCTGACCACAATAATTGCATACCTTGCCTTGCACTCCAAGCTTACGAACATGTGAAAGCAATACCATAAATGTACTGAGGATCAAGATGGGTGGGGTTGTGTATTAGTTTTCGCATTAAGCTTGCAACGTCCCCATGAGAAAATCCGCATCCGCTGTAAATTAATTAATTAAAATTCATAATAGTTTCATTTTAGCTTTGATCTGTTGGTCTATAAAATTCGAACCTGCCGCATGCTTTCTGTGGCAAGCGAAAATTTCTTCTTGTATCCTTCTGGCGTATGGTGTTGTTTTATTTAAAGATTTTCACTTAGAATGTAGGCGTTCTCAACTTCTGTGTGGAGTTTTTTTACTGCATCTTTCAGTATTCTTCCGACAGAAATCTTGATGAGACAACTTTTCACAGTTTTCAATACATTAATAGCGCGAGCCTGCAAACTTTGGCATGTAATAGTGTTTCTCTCATGTTCGAGTCCATTGAGTGAAACTAATTTGCCAAGAATTCTTTGTTGTACTCTCTCCCTCTGCAAGGCAGAAATTATTATCCTGAGTCCCATCACTTATCCTATTTGGCTAGACGCTGTTTCAATGAAACACCGGCGTAATCCATGCCCATCAGCAAATGAAAAAGTCATCAAAATCCATCTGGTTGGAAAAGATCTTGCTTTGCGATGAATTTCAATGCCAGTCTGGACTGATGATGAATTTTTTTTATAAACATAATCCTTAGTTTCCAGAAGTTCGTAATTATCTCTGAGCTGGATAAAGGACCGTAGTCCTGCCGTGTGTTGGTTAATCATTGGACGAAAGGACCAAACTTCTGTCGAACAATTTTATGTGAAGCCTTTTTTAGAAGATGAACGCTAGTAGAATGGACCTTGTAGTAATCCTTTCCGTAGAGTTTCGAAGTAGTGGCAATACTATTCATCGTTCTCCCACGGTCTCTGCATATCACCAGGAATGCATGATATTCTTATCCTCCAGCCTGAAACTCTAAAGAAGTCGTTTGCGGTGGAAATAAGGTCGACATATTGTGCTGCATCACAAGATCCTCCAAGGATTTCTTTGTCTCGCAAAATCCAGACATCGTTTTCTTTTAGCTTCCTTGATAATTGGAAAGATGGTGCTAATCGTTAACCGGATTTGTAACAGAGCAGTGGTTGTCTTGGATGCTGTAATAAGCCCACACCAATTATTGCGGTTGACGAACCTTCGAAGGGGCTCAAAATCCGTGGACGAACAGTGAAAAAATCCAGTTTTTCTGACGATTTCTGGAGTACGAGCACCTATGAGATGGATAACAGTGGTGTCCAGTCTCAGAGGAGTATCTCTTCGATTAGCACGTCAACACAAACCCACGATATCCATGGGGGTGTCAGCACGAGCAATGCTTCCGAGTTTGTGAATCATGGTAAGTCGGAGGTAACTTTCAGTGTTCATTTGGATTGTGCTGTGTGAAAGCAAACGTGTGAATTAGGCTGTTGGCCGACAGTATTTGTATTTACACTGATGATAAAAGAGCTCTTCTCTCACTCTAATATCCTTCCTTGGGGTGTTTTCTGTATATATATAGATATATTTCAGGATAGTAGTGGAAATGTATTGTCTAAATGATGTCAGGGAGAAAATTATGGTTTAAGCATTAAAAATATGTAGTTAGGTTGAGATGTAGATGGAAATAATCACGGTGAAGTTGAAAATGGTTTCTCACTTAGATTATTCGCGCACTCGCTTTCAATGTCGAACAGAAAAAATATCATTTAAACTTTAAACTATACTGCGGAGGGACCGCCTCCTTCTTTCAGCATATGTTCCGGTGTTTTTCATGCACTCTGTTGAAAATTGGAAACAGAAAACCTACCTGAACTCTGAACATGCTATGTTTATTGGAAGAAGTTTAATGATTATGTACATCCCCTTCTACCTTGACGAGGACAACTCAAAACAAAATGTCTGAAAGATTTATGATTGCTATTTGTGTAATTATTTGTTCCCAATTTTATTGCGCAGGCGTTCTTCTGTGGAATCAAACAAGGCGGCAGTGGATAGGAAATAAAAGGCCGGAGAAGGGCGCGCAGACTATTCGAGAACCTGGATTAAGGTAGGGCCGTTTCCATGATACTTGCTTGCATGGGAAATGCGAGAGCGAAATAGAAGAGGATTATAAAAGTCAAGGTTCTCTTTCCGCACCTTTTCCCTCTGGCGCTATTGTTTGCAGGCAATCAATTTTTTTTCTTCTTGCATGCAAGTCTCTGCTACGTTGTTTTCGATCTACACTTGTGGGCATATATGTATAACAGAAATCTGCTTTTCTGCGCACGCATAGGACTCTTTTCCAATCTCGTTTTCTTTTTTGTTAAGCAGATGGTCTCTTCTAGCTTATGCAAAACCTGTTGTCTGTGCACCGTCTCGGCATCGGATGTAGACTGAGAGATGTTAGAAAATAGGTTGATCATGCCTCTGTCGGATCTTGCTAGGAAGAGTGTTTTTGATGGTACAGAAGTGCCACTGATCCCCTGCTTCGATGGTAACCTTCCAGCCACCCAGCCGATGGGTCTTGGGTGCCTCTGCCGCATTATCCCTGAGCAGGACAGTTTCGATGATCGGATTCTTTCGACACATGATCGTTTTTACTCTCTTATTTTGTTTTGGAAGCATGTATAATGAATGCTCAGCGTAGCAAGTTTTTTCCTCTTTCTCTTCTCAACCGATCAGTTGTGTAGGCTCTCTTGGTGTCTGTCGTACATACATATATGTACACGGATGCATATTTTTTGTTCGAAGGGGTCAACGCATCTTCCTTGCGATCACAGCAAGGGAACGAAACGAATTTCATGGACGTCGGGCATATGATGATAATAACTTGCTTTCTTGATTTTCTGGCTCCCCATTACATGAACAGACGGTTTGGTTTGCTCTCGGACGGATGATGATGGGCTGACCCGTTGCCTCCTCTTGCAGCTGGAATGCAACCTACGATAGTCTGCTGGGGAGTAGCAAGCCGTTCCCTCGTTCTGTGCCCCTCTCCGTACGTCATCTCCCGCGTCCCCTCCTCTCTTCTTCAGCAGGGCTGTTGCCTCCTCTCATATGGCATATTGCTTCTTCTCCTCTTCTGCTTTGCTTGCAGGAGATGGTGGACTTCCTCGTGGACGTCTGGGAGCAGGAGGGCATGTACGACTGACCGACCGATCCCCGCCCCGCCCCGAATCTATCGTCAACAAGACCCCCTCTGCCCGCCTGCGTGGAGCGTGGAGCGTGGAGAAGAAAGAGGACGGCGGGAGCCGTGGCGAATACAAGGAGGACGAGGCGAGACGGGGGACCGCTAGCCGGTTGCGCAGCTCCTCCACCGCCTTCTTCGTCTGCCGAAGCTCCCTCCCTTCTCCTCCCTTCTCCTCCCGCGCGGACGCGGAAAGTTAAAAGTCGCCGTGAGTCCGCTGGTACACTCCCAGCCAGTCAGTCAGCCGGGGGATCTCATCTCCCGCGTCGGCGCCGCCTCGGGCAGGATTGTAAAGCCGCGCCGCCGCCGGCGGCTTCTTTTTATTCTTCTTCGTCTTCTTCTTCTACATATAAGCTATCGATGATGCAAGCAAGCATGCATGCATGCATGCACGCATTCGAATGGGCTCCCCCCTCGCCTCTCAGTTTCCGATTCTCGCATCCGAGCGCTGTCCTGCTTTCGAGGGAGATGGAGGAGGCCGAGAGCGCAGACCGTAGCTCTCTGTACCTCTCTGCTTGTCGCTATTCTGAGCGCAGACCACTCCCGGAAAAGGCGAGAGATAAGGCCCCGGTGGGCCCAGTCAGCAAAACCGGAACTAAATGAGCCGCGTAGGGGAGGCCGCCCCCCCGGACAAGTCGAGACGCAAAATTTGCAAAGCTGAGGGGCTCGATGCCATTTTTCTCACTTCGAGAGGCGAAAAGGGAAAAAGGCGAAGGGGAGAGTGTGGCCGGAGGGTCTCCGTGCTTATCCTCGGCCGTCTGCCAGCCTCCACTTGACGTCCCCTTTGCCTTCCGAAGGGACGGCGGATAGATAGATTTTAATGGCGGTGGAGGCCTGAAAGACTCCTCTTTGATGCAGAGAGCTGCCTGCCGCAGCCGCCTATTCTCTCTTTTCCCCTCTCATCGGCCCTCTTTTTCCCCTCTCGGTGCCGAGAGGTGGTGGCGATCGTCCGGCGGCGGGCAGCATGCAGGCCCTCGTCAGCTGTAGAGGTAATACCGCGCAGATCCCTTCCCCCCCCTGCTTGTGCTCCGCGGATGGGGCTGTTGTTGGCCAAGAAAAAATTGCAATCGGCCGCCGAGCGGGGAGTTTTGGTTTCCCCCACCTTCCTGCTCGCCTTTCGTTCATCGTTTCCCTTCCAGCCGATGCAAAGCAAAAATAGGATCGCTCAAGAGAGCCGATTCTTCTTTTGGGATCTTCTGATTTAGGCAAATTAATGCGGAGCATGCTTCCGCGTTACGCGCAATTCATCCTCCCGTTTTCCGTTGTCTTCGGCCTCGTTTTCCCCATGTCCTCTCTCTATTTCGGAGGTCGTGCGGACTTTTCCTATCCTATATTCATTGGAACTGTCTCGTTCGCGCTCGTCCGGCTGCAAGGGATATCGTGTTGCGCTTATTTTAATCCACTGTTTTGCACGATCGACCGGTTCTAATTTATCCCGCTGTTTTACGATCGGCGGGATCCCTTCGCCTCGTTTCGTCTCATCTTCGTGGATTCCGCGTCTCTCCTTCGTGGTGATGTTTTACCCCGTCTCCTCTGCCGATTATTTTCTCCTGCTCAAGCCATGGATCTTGACCCCCCGCTTAATGTTACCCCTTTCCCCAGGTGATGACGATATCCGGCCGCGTGGAGGGCGGAAGCTCTCAGATCTCGGGGATGCGGGCATCTTTCTGTCTCTTGCTCCTCGCGTGGACGTCTTCTTCCCACCTCTCAAAAGGACCAGGGTCAGTGCGCCGTTTATCCCTCAAGACTGGGAGATGTTGGGAAGCCGGTGCAAGCAAATGTGCTCCCTGAATGCCCTCTCCGACGAGTGCCTCTTGGAGATCCTCAAACGTGTGGACGGAGACCGGGAGAGGAGCGTCGCAGCATGCGTCTCCAAGAGGTGGCTGACGCTTCTGGGCACCACGAACATATCTATGGTCCCGCTCACCGCCCCACCCTCCTCCAAGTCAGGTGCCCTTTGCGGGGAGCAGCAGCAGCCGAAGAAACGCCTCCCAGACCTAAACGAAACTGCGAAGGATGAGATTGATGAGGATGAGGAGGAAGAGCCGATTCCCCTGGAGAATTGCGACAAGCGCCCGAGCCGATGCCTGGAAGGAAAAGCAGCGACAGATGTCAGGCTGCTTGCTTTGGCTATCGGAACTGGCGGCCAAGGTGGAGTGGGAGAGCTGTCGATAAGAGCTGATGGCAGCAGCCGCCGCGTCACGGACGTAGGGCTCGGTGCGGTTGCTCGTAGTTCCCCTTCGCTCAGAGTTCTGTCCTTGTGGAACACGCCCTACATCACCGACAAGGGCCTCTCTCAGATTGCCAACCGCTGCCCCCTTCTGGAGAAGCTCGACCTCTCCAGGTGCCCCCAGATCACAGACAAGGGAATCAGTGCCATTGCTATGAACTGCGCTCGCTTGTCTTCCTTGACGATAGAATCTTGTCCCATGGTTGGGAATGACTGCCTGTGGGCCGTTGGGCATTTCTGCCCGAAGCTGAGGTCTGTTTCTCTCACGGATTTGGCGCTCGTGGGCGACAAGGGAGTTGGGAGCCTGCTGTCATCTTCTTCCTCGTCTCTGCGCAAGATTAGCCTCCGACGCCTGAGCATTACCGATCTATCTCTTGCCGTTGTGGGTCACTACGGGAAGGCGACTGTAAAGCTTATTTTTGCCGATCTTCCAAATGTGACAGAGAGGGGGCTCTGGGTCATGGGTTGTGCCCGTGGTTTGCAGCAGCTGAAGTCACTCACGATCATCTCGAGTGGAGCAACAGATCTCGGCCTTGAAGCGGTCGCAAAGGGTTGCCCATTGCTAAAGCAGTTGTCTCTCCAGAGATGCACTCACCTGTCTGATTCCGGCCTTAGAAAGCTTTCTGCTGCTGCGGCGTCCCTCGAGATCCTGCAACTCGAAGAATGCAACCTCATCACTCTTCCTGGCGTTGCTGGAGCACTCCTGACTTTCAGTGCGAGATTTAGATCCCTCTCCCTCGTCAGATGCCTGGGATTCAGAGACGTCGAGTCCTATCCGGAGTCACTACCCTTGCATTCGTCCCTCAAGTCCCTGAGCATTCGTCAGTGCCCGGGCTTTGGTAACTCTGGCCTGGCCTTTGTTGGGAAGCTGTGTAGGCAGTTGCGGCGCATCAGCTTATCGGTGCTCCCGGGGGTCTCTGACGCCGGGCTTCTCTCCCTGTCCAAGGGTTGCAAGTTGGGTTTGGTGAAGGTCAACCTCGGTGGCTGTGTGAACGTCACGGATGCTGCAGTCGCCGCCCTTGCCAAGCGCCATGGAGGGACTCTCCAGGCCCTCGACCTCGGGGGTTGCACGATGGTCACCGATGAAAGTCTGCTTGCGATCTCTGACTCCTGTTTTCTCCTTCAGGATGTCGATGTGTCAAAGAGCGCGATCACAGATGCCGGTGTCGCTGCCTTGGCATCTGGTGTGGGGCTCAACCTGCGGATCCTATCCGTATCGGGTTGCCCGGACATCTCTGCAAGGAGCCTGGTGCACTTGAGCAATCTTTGTCCGTCTCTGGTGGGCCTCAATCTTCAACTATGTGACTTGCTGACTGGCCACGACATTGCCTCATTCCAGAGTAAGATGGGGCAGTGCGATGTCCTTTCCTGAGCCAGCCCCTGGCGCGATGGGGACGGTGCCCGGAGTGCCGGAAGCTCGCTTGCTTTCTTACATACAGGTTTTGCAAGACGGCTCGCTGCCCTTCCCGGCATGCTGCCCTCCCCGGCATCAGATTTTGAGAAAGCAGCGGGCCTCTCAGCTAGGTGCTTTCTTTCTCAGATGGTCTTCCGCCTGCCCAGGCGATGTGTTTCGGTCTCTTTTTTTTTTTCGCAGGTCCTCTCGCATGGCGGGGGAAACCTGCTGTTTGTTGTTTGGCTTGCGTCGCGGTCTGGAGAGGAGTTCTTGCTGCGGCCTTCCGAGGCAGGCTTCCGCCGCGCCGTCTCTCCTTTCAATGTCCCAAGTGTCTGTTTGTGTCTGTTCCTCCGATATCACGCTCGGCTGCAGGTTTTTGTGGCGGGCCCTGGCTTCTTTTTTTCCGTGGTGGCTGGATTTTGATGCCGCTACGGTTTTTGGCCGGTGGGCTCGCCAATGGCCTTGCCAGCGTGGTCGGATGGGTTCTGGTCGTCTGTCTGCCTGTGTTTTGGATCGTGTCGTATCGTATTGTAGTTCTGTGGTCTTGTTTTTGTTGGCTGCGCACGGTTTCTTCGGCACGGAAGAGCCTGTGCGGTGACGTCGCCTTGGTTGCGTCAGCTGGCCTGCCGCGACGACCCCTGTGGTCGTTTCTTCTTGACCCCTGTGTTGTCATGGGCGCCTGCTTTGAGCTGCGCTGTGCTCCTCTCAACTTTGATATCTTGCTTACATGCAGTAAATAAAGAAGTCATCCTGTCGGTCTGGTCCACGTGGAGATTCCCTGCGCACAGCGTCCTCTCTCTGAGTCCAGTTTGACGTCGCAGTAGGTGGGAGGGGAGCGACCGGGGATTGATTCTGGACACGAGAACGCCGCTGCTCCGCTCCGTACTTAATAAATGACGGGGGCGGCAGAGAAGCGTCGTGCCAACGTGGTCGAGTGGGAATCCTTTAATTGCCCGGCTCCCGGCCTGGGGGGGCTCGACAACCTCGCTACTTTTGGCAATTATGGCGGTGCCCCCGCGTTCCTCATTATTTCCAATGGACGAGTCAACGTCGGACGGCCAACTACCGGAGGAGGGCGGCCGATCCGTCGATGGGTGCCCGTCGCGTCATCGCCATGCACGTTTCCGGAGGCCGAAAGAGGGAAGGGGGCCCTCTGGGTTGCCCACATTGATGACGAAAAGGCGCGGGTCGGGCCCCCTTCTCTTCTGCTGTCATGGTTATTACACCTCCGTCACACTGCAGGGCCTGCTGTGACCTCCGCGTCAGCCTGTGCGTAAGCTGTTACTCGCCACCAGCTGTTGCCCCGCCAGCCGACCTCCGTCAGCTGGATCCAACGAACCGGTGGTCGGCCGGCGGCGCCCGATGATCGGTACAGGGGGGGGCGGTGGGGGCGGAGGGGGGGGGGGGGGGGGGGTTTGGGAAGGGATGGCGTGGGGAGAAAGGAGCCAGAACGACGAAGACCTGACCTGGCGGGCGGAGAAGAAAAGGCGGTCTTTGAGGCGGACGGGGGGGCCGGCACCAGGCTCGGCTCCGGACATTGCACTTGGGTAGACTACGAGGAAGGCCTCCGCCGGGTTCATGCACCCGCGTGACGCCCACACTCCACGTGTCGTCCCGATGAACACTGTTTCCAGAGCTCGTTGGCTTCTACCCATTGGAGGATCGGATCGGGGGCAAGGTGGAGGAGAGCCCTCCACGGTGCAGCAGGCTGCTGCCTAGGTTTTATATTTCCCGTTTTGTCCGGCTCACCCAGGTCTCGAAAGTAGGGAGGAGGCTAAGAGTATATATAAGTAAGTTCTTCGCGTGCCCCCACTCGTCCCACTGGGAGAAGATCAGGAGGGGCGCCATTGCTCCTTCCGTGTCTCGAAAGGAAGGAAACCCTCTGCGCCTGCGGGTAGAAACGGGCCTCCCATCGTGCACCGTCCACTCTTTCTTTCTCTTCTTGGCGGCGCCGGTGATCGATCGACGGCATCCGTCATGGCGACGACCCTCAGCCGCGGAGGTTAGTAGCAGAATCATCACGATCCTCTCATCTCCTTCATCCCGAGAGAAAATTGCTCATCGAGTGGCCGGCACATCATCTCGAGCCTCGTTACCCAGTCGTCCCATGTAAATAGCATGCAAGCATTATAGATCTAAAATTCCCGCGTTTGGTTCCTAGAAACAAGGAGAAAAAAAGAAAGATTCGCGAAAAATCCTGAATGAAGGAAGGCTCATGTCCTCCCCGTTTCTCACGTCTCGGGGCGTGCTCTCTTTCATGGAGTGTTTCCTTCATGTCTGATTATTTCCGCTGTTCTCTCCATCATATCACGGAGACCGATGGCTTTTCATCTTTTCTTCAGAATGTTCTTATATGTCCATCCGTGAACATATCCACCTGTCTATCTCTCTGTGGGGCTGACGGTGAACCCTTCTTTTATCCCCGGTGTTTGCAGAAGACGGTGATATCCGTCACCATGGACGACAGTTCGGTCCAAATTTCATCGTGGATCCAAGCATCTATCAGTCGCCGACTCCGCTCGCCGACTTCTACTGGCCTCGCCTCAAGAGGCGTCGCGTCTGTGTTGCTGCTGCTGATCCGCTCATCGTCCAGGGGTACGAAAACGACGATGGCAACAACCGGCCATTCCAGCAGCGCTCGTCCCTCGACGCCCTCCCGGACGAGTGCCTCTTCGAGATCCTTCGACGTGTGGGGGGAAGGCGTGAGAGGAGCATCTCCGCATCCGTTTCCAAGAGATGGCTCATGCTTCTCGGCACCTTCTGCAGCTCCGACGAGCTGCCGGCCCCGCGTTTGAACCACCAGCTGGACCTAAGCGAGAGTGCAGAAGATGATGCGGTGAAGCTGGCCAGGTCTGCTGATGATTATGGCCGCCGCCCCAGAAAAAGCTTCGAGGGAGAGGGAGCGACAGATGTCAGGCTGCTCGCCATGGCTATTGGAGCCGGCAGCTGCGAAGAGCTGCTGATCCGGGGAAGCAAAACTTCTCGTCGAGTCACGGATGTTGGGCTCACTGCTGTTGCTCGGGGATTCCCTTCTCTGAGGGTTCTGTCGCTGTGGGACTGCCCCTCTGTCAGTGACGAGGGTTTAGTCCAGATTGCTGGCGGCTGCCCTCTACTGGAGAAGCTCGATCTCTCCAAATGCCCCCAGATATCAGATTTGGGCATCGCGGCCATCGCCCGCAGGTGCCAGAAGCTTTCCACACTGACGCTTGAATCATGCCAAGGGATTGGTGACGAGGGTCTCCAAGCCGTCGGGCGCTCTTGTCCAGATATCAGATCCATCTCCCTTGTGGACTGTCTACTTGTGGGTGACCAAGGAATAGTCGGCCTGGTCTCATCACCTTATTCCTCCACCATACAGAAGATTAAGCTCCAGCGTCTGAACATATCCGATGCGTCTCTTGCTGTTGTGGGGCTCCACGGGAAATCAGTAACCGAGCTTGTTCTTGCCGGCCTCCAGAACGTGACTGAGAGGGGGTTCTGGGTGATGGCCTCTGCAGGCGCCCTCCGGACGCTCAATTCTCTCACCATCGCCTCGTGCGACGGCCTGACAGACCTGAGCCTTGAAGCTGCTGTGAAGGGATGCTTACTCTTAAAGCATGTTTGCCTGAGAAGATGCTTCAGCCTGTCCGACGCCGGCCTCAAGGCTTTTGCCGCCGCGGCGGGCTCACTCGAGAGTCTTCAGCTCGAGGACTGCCGCCGACTCAGCCTATGCGGTGTGCTCGACGCGGTCTTATCCTGCCGCAGCTCAGACAAGCTGAGGGCCTTGTCTTTGGCCGGGTGCATGGGGGTGAAGGACGACGATGGCTGTAGTCCAGAGTCTCTCTCATCCCCCTCCTACCCATCCCTGAGATTCTTGAGCATTCGTCACTGCCGGGGCTTTGGCGACTCCGGTTTGGCCACCGTCGGGAAGCTCTGCCCTCAGCTGCGCCACATTGAGCTCTGCGGAAACGCCGAGGTGACCGAACGGGGCCTCTGTACGCTGATTGAGGATAGCGGTCTGGACCTGGTCGCGGTTAATCTCAGCGGATGTGTCAATCTGACGGACGACGCCGTCACTGCCCTCGCCAGACGCCACGGGGGGAGCCTCCGAGTCCTCAATCTCGAGAGATGCGCGAAGGTCACCGACAAGAGCCTCTCGGCCATTGCGGATTTCTGCATAGCGCTCCAGGACCTCGATGTGTCGCGATCCGCTGTGACTGACGAGGGCGTCGCCTCCCTCGCATCATCAGTGGTGCTCGATTTGCAGGTCCTCTCGCTATCTGGGTGTCCAAACATCTCCGAGAGAAGCGTTCCCCACCTGAGCAACCTCGGGCAGTCTCTGATGGGCCTCGGTCTCCAGCACTGCTACTCCATTGGCAGCCACGCCATAGCTGCGTTGCAGCACAAGATGCGGTGGTGCGACATTCTTTGTTGATAAGCGAACGTCTGCGAGGAGCCGCTGGTTATGTCTCCAGCGCAGGGCCGTGGCGGCGTTACCTCAACCTTCATCGAGAGCAACAATGAGATCGTCCCGATGGGGCTGCGACTCTTTTAGTCGAACACGGCGAGCCGTCCGTAGACGTTTATCTCTTACCATTGTCTCTCTTTTACTCTTTTTCTTGTGGGTCATTCACCACCTGGAGCGCGGGGGACACGGTGGTGTGGGCCTCATTTGTAGAGCGCGAGGCCGGCCCTCGCCAACAGTCTTTCATCGCGCATCGTTCATGCAATACAAACATACAGCCTTCGTGGCACAAGAACCAACGAAACCCGCTAATGGCCGGCGCGTGATGATGGCTTCTAACCTCGGGCCGTAAGACGGCAGCCAGCCTCCCTCGGTCGCCCGTAGAGGATGCGCCGCGGGCTCGACCTGACACGCCGGCGGCGGGAACAACTCGACTCGGCCCGAGAAACGGACGATGATGTAAGAAACGGAGCACGGTGATCGGGTGTATGAGCACCAGCTAGCCACCGTCGCATGGACCGGACGGGAGGAAGGGCCCTGCAACTGGAGCGCAGCGACAGCGGGAGGAAGAGAAACCCACCCCCTCCAACCGACCCCACCAGGGGGGGTGTTGGAGGGGCTTCTTAAATTTCACTTTTTGTTCTGCCTTGTTTCTCACGCGTTAGGCAAGCAGGCGTAGCGAACAGAGATGCCCAGATCCCTGGAATGATGGCGGTAGACTCAACTATATTCAGGATTGCGGGTAGCAACAACGGTGTCTCTGGGTCCGTCCCGCCGCGTTCGAGGACGAGCCCCCCGAACCCAATGCTGGGCGGACGAGGCTTCAGTTCTAGAGGTAAGCCTTCCCCTTCCATCTCGTTCGAGAGCCTGGGCGGACGAGGCATGTCTTCTGTGCCACCGTGGGAGGAAATAGGTGGTGTTCCCCATTGCTACTTGTTCAGCACAGCGGAGATGTTCCGGCCCCTTCACTGGGCTTCCAGATAATGTGCTCGAGTCTACTGCAGAGATTCTTGTAGAACTGCATGCGTGGTTAGCCATCAATAAGCAGAGAGTTAAGACGATATATGGCAATTTAAATTGCAATTTCACTGTAAGCAGACGAATTAGACCGAAAGGAAGCACGGCTACACGGTGTTTCTCAGAAGGGTAAGAGGCTCCGACCCTGTGATATTCGAGAGTATCGCCTGAGACCTTCCGAACGTCGATCATGAAAAGAGATGGTGCAACTTCGTAAACCTGGCGAATGATTGCTCAGTTAGGAAAATGTGCCCATTAAATTTGGAGAATTATGGACAAAATGGGTAGGCAGGTCGTAAACTTGGTGGGCATTTGAAAAACGAGTACACTGAAATTCAACCATGAATTGGAATTAAGCTACCTCCAGGACGACAGCAAACAGAGTCATCTTATTTGAGGAAACTCCTTCAAGTCTCATCTGCTGAAGAGGAATTCGTGAGTAACAGAAAGAAAAATAAAAAAAATCTGCAGCGACCGAACGCGTGAGCAAAAAGGGAAAACAGACTGCCCACTGCAGAGCATCGCAGAGTTCAGGGACAGAATTCATAGAACTTCTGTTAACCTTTCCTCCTTTGGAGAAGCCAAGATTTACATATGAGCGTTTTCGTACGGAAAATGTTAAATATCTAAAAAGAGAGATTGCCTCGAGCCTGCCGCAGCATAATCTCAGGAATGTATGCGAGAAAACACGAATGATCCATCGGGCTTTCCGTGAAGAGGCGCCTATGAAAAGAGCACCGTCAAAAACGGCCTAAATGAAAAACCTTTCAAATGCAGTATGAGAGAGTAATAAATACGTTCTTATTTGAATACACATTATATGCAGGCAAGCGAGTATACATGATACTATAAAATGAATTAAACATGTATAATGTTAATGTGAGGTTGGCCATTGCATTAATTTTGTTTTCAATCCTGCACAAAGTATTCAGTATGCTCAAAAGATTGTTGCCGTTGTCGTTGAGGCCTTTCTGTTCATAATCTAAATAGCGGTAACTAAACATTCGATTCGGTTGCTTATATGAGCACATTCTGATGAATCACTGAATAATAAAAAGAACAAAAGAAGAAAATGGATCGCTAATGAAGAGAAAGTAAACCTTAAGATGAGAAAAATAACTCTTTAAGGATTTTTTTTTAAAACTAGATGAAAAGAAAACGAAGCAGTAACCTTGTAGTTGCGTGAATGAACCTTCAGCCCCATGGATTCTGCAACAGCTTCAATACTTGATGTTATGATGCTTGCTGGTTTGCAAGACACAAAACGTGTTTGGCGTTTTACATAATCCTGCAAGGATGAGAGCAACTTTCTAACGTCCATTCTTAGGATTTTTTTTAAATATGAAAAATATCGATTGAGTTTGAAAAAGATAAGGTTACCAACTGAGAAGTTAGATTCTTTAAGTTTCAAATTGAGAGTAAACATATCCAAAATAGGCACTATCGAGAATAACATTCAAGAGTAAACATATCCCAAATAGGCACTATCTCACAAAATTAGTTTTAATGCTCATGCTGCACCTGCCGCCGGTCAAACAGAGCTGAAAGATTCAATCCCTGAGACAAGGTAATCATCTCAAAAGCATTCATTATGAGGGGACCCCCTACACTGCCTTTTTCCTGCTCGTAAACAAACTGATCCTGCAACAAAATAGTGATGAAAGATTTACGTTAGAAAAGAAGTATGCAGCACATTTGAACAGTGCCTCTGGAATTTAGGTGTCATGGAAGTGATGCTTAAGGAATATAAATTTGGATTTCGATGATAAATTCTAGAAAAATGTGAAACTGAAAGGAGCAAGTTGCATGTCTAATGAAGATAACTGAACCATAGATCTGACACAATATGCACGACCAAAGCTAAGTAACTGACCTCGATGTCATCAAAAACAGCACAGACGCTGTCCAAACTAACTTCTTCCTCTTCACAGTGTGGAATAGGAACATAAGTCTTCTTGAACCAATCATCATTTCTTATTTCCTCGATTCGGATGCGCTGCAAGCAGATGAGACCACAAGTTAACATTTCAAACCAATCAAATGAAGGTAGAAATTAATCTATCCTGAGCAAGGAATTGACAGCACATCGGCTTTCGGAAAAGGACTAAGGACCCAAGGAGAAAATAAACATTTTTTGACGTTATGGAAAAACGATAACCTCTGATGTTGGTAAGATAGAACGTACTCATGATCTTGGACCTTGTCGTAAGCTCCAAGGGATGTGAATCAGCAAAATAGAAGAAAAAATGGGAGGATAAATGATGTACCGATTGAGATATGAAAACATATGAGCATTGTTCGTGACACATTGATGGAATTTTTTCAATTAAATTTTCAGTCGACAAGGTGTCCGATGACAGGAGTGCAACAGCATCATCAAGAAGAAGACACTCATTGTTGTTAAAAGTAAAATTGCATTAAATCATACAGTCGATAAACTGATAGCGATGAAATAATCATTTTATGAACATAGTTTAGCGTCGTAATACAAGATATAATTAAACTCCCTTGACCATATAAACGGGCACACTCCGCCTCCGTTCCAGTTGGTTTTGAATTAAATAATACTTAATACGATATTAGATCAGTCTGTTTCTCTTGGACTGCACACCCATTTCCGATGGGTGACAAACCTCAAAAGCTTTCAAGTGAGTGGGGTACATGAAAACAAAATCATTTTCGAAGTAATAAGTCAATGTCATGCGATTACAGATATAAGAATATTTAACTCACTGACAGTTATTTTTCGTTGAATGATCAAATAGATTTTACATGGCACCAGAGCTGATAACTTCTCATAAACCGAATGCAACCCATTTTTTGTTGTTGACGCAGAAAAGCACACAAGTTAGCCTGGATCTGAAGAGTGTTAGAATAGTAATCTACTAGAAGTTAAAAAATAACGTCCATAATTGCTTAAATAGGCTAATTCATTGTGAATTAGTTTACATAGATAGCATAATAACTTCAACAGTATTACTTCTGGAAACCTTAAATATAAATAAAATAACATACAATAGTAAATCTACTAGTACATTAATGACAAAAAATTACTCTACACAACTTTAAATCTGGATAAAGTAAAAACATCAATGTTTTGGAGTCATGTTGAAAAATTTAAACAAAACATTTTATGTAAATTTTTCCTACGTTAATCAAATAGTCATGATTTGAGTTTAATTCGTTTTTTAGGTCTGAATGTTCGATCATGAGTTGAAGTCCGTGGACCAACGAAGAATACCCTAACACTGTGGAGTATCCCACAAGAACAATCCCATGAAACGACAGGTGGAATTGCCTTCCTCCCTGTCAAATTTCTGATTGTTTTTGCTCTTTTGGTTGTGAAAAACAGGTGTACAAACTTGTAATTGAAAGAAAATCAATCTCGCACTTTAATGCTTGAGAAATTCTTTTGGGAACTTTCATTCTCAATTGTTCTAATCAGCATACACAGAAGAATACATTCGTCTAAAAAAGTGTTTTCAATTGTATCTTTCTTCCGCAGGACCAGAATTATTAACTTGTCTGTCATGAAGAGGGGTCTTGATTCTTATTACCAGTCCACATGCCAATTGCGTCTCAGCAGCGTCTTACAACTCTCGAGAAATCTAGAATGGGCATTTTATCATAAATCAACAGGATACCCAGACATATTCATCACCCTAGGAGATTTCAGATAGCAGATAGGATATTCATGGTATATTTTTAGACAGAGTTCTTTAATTGAGACAATTGCGAAGCTCAAGGACTGAAAAATTAAGAAGAAAAACAGCAGAAGAATGTGTAGACTGGACATTACACAAAACCATAAAAGATCTCCCATTATCATCAGTATGTATGAATAAAAATAGAGTTATCTGTCAGGGAATCTTTTGTTTTCATTGCCAATAATAGCGAAGAACAAGATAAGTTTAGGAACGCAACTAAAATTTAATAGCCATACTCACGGTCTTCGGGTTCGGATCAAGTATCCTATGAATTAAGGACTCTGCTCCGGGAGAGAACCATGATGGACAGGAAAACTCCGCAGCATTGGTCTACACAATAGGTGGATGCAGGTAACCATGAGAGCATGACAACCTAGGTTCATAAATTGGGACCAAAGAGATGGTTGCTATGTTGCTGACAAAGTGAAAAGTACCTTTCTAAGTAAGGTTGGAAGATCACACTCATCAAACGGGAGATATCCGGCCATTAAAACGTAAAGAATCACCCCGCAAGACCATATATCTGCAGCAGAACCGTCATAGCCTTGATGACCAAGCACCTAAAGTGTCATTGACTTTGGTTAGTACTTTCAAGAAACAACACTTATCAAGGATGCGCGAAAGGATCAATACACAATACGACATATAATAGTGGGAGCAGCAAAAGTCAAAATAGTGAAGGATGGAATACAGGAGCCCAGCCTTTCTATGGCTCGACAAATACAAACTAATGTTATTCTCGGCATCCCAAGAAAAATTACCGGAACTACAAGGACACAGCAATGAGTACCCCACAACTCCAGCTCGCATCCTTTCTTAAAGGCTTTTAAACAGGATAAATTACATCCATTTCACGCATTAGAAACATGCATGGTCTATGGGCATCTTTTCTTGTCTATTACACTATAGTTCACTGATACTCCAATAATTTCCTCAGCATCGTGTCATGACACGAGATGACAACAAAAGATGTGACTAGTAAGTAAGAGTTGGGATGCTAGTTCACATGTAGATATGATTGTGCGGTAATAACTTCCAGAGCTATCCATTCTTACAAGAACGGGCCCATTTCCTTCCAATGCTTACTTTGGGATATAAGATTGTCAAGCATAGCTCCTGCAAGACGCTTGACTTAAGGTGAAATGCAACCAATCATAAATAGATAAAATTGAGAAAAATTAATTTACCACAGACGCCTCTAATGGAGAGAAAAATCTTCAAACTATCTAGCCTACTGCATCGTTGAGAAATCACCACAGATGGACATAAAAGTGAAATAAAAACCAGGAACCATGGAAATCTGAATAAGCTACAAGGCCGATCATGAAGAGCAGACATTACAGAGATTGTAACCTGACCATGAATTTAAAAACCCTTCTTTTTCCATAGACAATTATTTTCCTTGTTTCTTTCATCTGAATCTCCAGAACCCCCTTTTATGAAAAAAAAAGATATAATGCACAAGAGAGAGATAACTGACCAAATTAAAAAAAAATCCAAAATTTCACGTATATTCAAGAAGCATTCATGTATGTCCAAGAAATAAAATATATATAATCAGTTATTCACCTATATATTCCAGAAAAAAATTAATAATTCACGTCACTACTGATTCTGTTTGTTATGCCACATAATTCCCCATTTTATTCTTAGAAAAAGTTTAGGCACAAAATTGTGCGATGATTACATCCAGAAAACAAAAAATGGACAAGGATCACCAAAGATGGCATATCTTCATCTTCTACTTCTTCCCATTGAATATTCAAACTATATAATCAGTTGTTGAATCAAATAAAATGATTTTTATCGTTAAAAAATCTCTATTTCTTCAACAATTTATATAAATCATTCATTGAGTTTTATTAGATTGAGAAATGAAATTTTCAAACAGAAAACAACGAAAAATGCAGCAAATAAGATAAATGTAGACAATGATAAAGCGATTTTTTTTAGTCAAACTAAAGAGGTTGACTTCTCCAAAATAAGTGTTAACCCTATGAATGAAATAGAAGCCAGAAAATACATGGGCTAACCCTTGAAATAAAAAGGTTAATATCTACAAGAAAATTAGAAACCATGAAATACAGAGGCTGACACCTGTAACATAAAATGTTGACACTTGTAGAGAAAAGACGAAAAATAAATTATGATTGTCAACTGTTGATGAATGAATAGTTGATGCATAAGGTAGTTAAGTATATAGCAAAGGGCTGAGACTTGAGGTTTGACCGTGGCTATTTTTTCTGAAATTGAAAGTCGAAGCATCTACAAATAAATCCGTATTTCAGCTAAAAGAGGCAAAACCTTTTTATAACAGCTGCTAGAGGATCTCCATTTATTAATGATTAAGAAACATAAGATTCTCAAGCTTTAACAGATCAATTTTATAAATACCCAATGGATCCTTAAGTTTATGTGGTTTGAAAAGCATAAAAAGATTGAATGAATACTCTGAGCTTGTCCCAACGTTCTCATTTTTACAAGAAGAGTTATATCTAAGCCTGTTATTTATTAATCCACGTTTGTCTAAGCTTGTTATTGGGTGAGAGGTATAGTTGATACCTTGAGAACGAGAATATGATAAACATTAGATTAGATTATACCTTGGAAGAGTCAGTCTACATAGGTTTTTAGGAACTTAGGGGAAAAATCCAAAGTAACGCATGACAAGTGAAGGAGGGATATGAGTGATTAGACCACCATAACGTTCATGTCCTTTTTTATTGCGTGTAGATTTTGATACTTTACTATCATTTATTTTCAAGAACATCACTTTAATACCCATCTGTAGAGCCCAACATCAGTGATCTCTATACATCATAGCACCAGTCTCAATTGCAGTCTTTTGCTTCAATATCCAGATCTAAATGCAGAGCTCCCCAAAGGAAATGGTGAACGACTCTCCCACCTAATAAGACAAATATGAATCTAGTGCTGTTGGTCACTTCAATCATACTCATGCAATTGTTTTGGGAATTTAGCAACAATTAAAGTTTTGGTTCTTCATGAATCGCTTAAGAACTGCGAAACTTTTGGAGATATTGAATCAGCCATATTGATAAATTTTTGCATCAGGCTTATGGGTCAATTCTTATTTTTGAGTTTTCCATCACAACATTCACATTTCTCCAAGGGCACAAGTAAAGTTTTCGTATATTGGATATTTCTTCAGAAAAATTAGTTAACCCCACCAAATCTACGTTGGATAAATTTGTCCTAATACATATGCGTTTATGTGACGATTCCCCACAGATATCCTCGTGTCTTATGATTTTAGTATAATTCTGTTTGAAACATTAGTCTATGTTAGTAATTGAGCCATTGATCCGTATCACCCAGCACTCAACAATGATGGCAAGTATGCATAACATGGTTGACCATTCCCTTTAGCTGCAGAAGCTTGTCCAAAATTTGAGCTCGAAATAAGGTTCTAGGATGCACCTCAGGAGCTACATAATTCGGAGTTCCGCATGTTGTATGAAGTAGGCCAACTCCCTAAACATGATAACCAAAAACAACATAAAGAATGGTATAAAAGAGATAACCTGGAATCGCCTTAACATGCCTCATAATCTTTAGAAGGGAATTCTGCTTACTTGCTGGGGCAACGCACTGAGCCCAAAGTCTGAAACTTTCAAGTTTCCATTTGAGTCAAGAAGAAGATTCTCAGGCTGCACATTGTACATCATATTGTCACGAAAAATATCCAAAGAAAGAAAAGGCCAAAAAATCAGAAGACCAGAAATAAGCAAACCTTCAAATCTCTATGGTACACACCCTTACTGTGGCAATAGTCAACTGCATCTATAAGTTGCTGAAAGTACCGCCTGGACTCATTCTCAGTGAGTTTTCCTTGGTGGGCCTAGAGAGAAAATTGACTTTTATAAGAAAACGACATGCACTATCCCATGAATTATAACCAATCAGCGCATTGTTGTTCCCCTAGAAGATAGTGAACAGATCACACTTCTCTGATGAAATGAAATGAAGGAATACATAGCAATTATGGGACATAACAATGTCATAGTCTCCAGTGTGCGTTCCCAAGTTATAGAATTATGCATTATTAAGCACCAATGATGAGCTTCTTCATCCCTAATCAGGGTCATCTTCAGGCTCGGGTAAATTACTAAAAGCCAAAGTCAAACATATGCATTTGTCCTCCACTAGGGCTTGCAAGTTTTCAACCACCATTATAAACCTTGGAATGAACTTCTTTATGTTTCTCCACACCGGTGTGTCTAGGAAAACGGTACTTCCTACCATAACAAAGCAAGTAAGTGAACCATCTTCGAGATCAACATCAGTGGATTCATGGAAATCCATAACCTGAGCCCCAAGTAGAGGATTCAAGTTATGCCCAACATTGATAAATAGATGTTAGTCTGGTATGTTACTGAAAACTGAAAAGGTTCCCTATTTTTACATGGCCCGACAGAAGGCTGAGCTCATCTATTGTTTTCTCGAACAATTAACCACATTTCAACATCAGATATACACGTTTTGAATTTAAAAAACTTTAGACAGATAACCATGGAATCACTGGTGAAAGGTAAATAGAAAGTCCAGGGAGCGAAAAGATGATGAGTCGTCACAAATAGATCCGAAAAAGAAAGGTTTCTGTTAGAATTGAATGACATGTCTATCATACCTCGGTTTACTAGAAAAATTAAACAAAAGAGACCAATGCAAATAGCATGCGTTCAACTTAAGTTTTCATAATCATAAAAGCCTTACAATTTTATCAAACAATTCTCCACCAGTGACAAGTTCCAGAACCATGTATATTTTTGTTCGACTGGCCAAAACCTGAAGAAATCGATCCAAGCAAGATTTTAATGTTGATTGTCCACAAAGCGGAAAACTTGACTTCCAGAATAGTATCAGAACGTAGGAGTCATACCTCATTCAATCTAACTATGTATGGATGCCTGACAATCTTCATTATAGAAATTTCCCTCTTGATCTGCAATAGACTTGTAGTTAGTAGAAAGTTAGGCTGGAAATGGGAAGAACGGGGATGCAAAGTCCAGTCAGGAAGAATGCTGTCAGTAGATGGTGTATTCCTCTGGATAACGGAGTTATAGAGTGTCATCGATTGCATTTTCTCAGAAGGCATGTCGACAGTTAAGTCTAACATAGAAAACAACGTGAAAGACATGGTTGCTACACATTGCCGAAGATGTCTAACCTCAAGGCAATTAATTTTAATTGAGTTGATCCCACTTTGGGAAATGAAGCATCCCGAACGCATGGTGCTTGGCATTCGTAATTCTAGAAGGATTAAAATCCCCAAATGCCATTTGATCTGACTACATGGCGCCTTCTTTTGATTGAAATCCAAATAATCCGATACTTTGCACAAGATTGAGGGGGAGAACGAGGAGATGTGTGTCTGACAAATATGTCGACACAGACCGCCGGGTGGACCCGGTTATCGATGGGGATCTTAAGCATCCAACGTTGGGCAAGAAATGGAAGAGACAACGAGGACGAGGGGATCAATAACCGGTTCAATTATGCGTAAATTTTGGATTCTGCGTGCGGCCGCGAAACTGTCCACGACAGCAAAGGACAGAAAGGCGCGCGTGCACAAAAAATTTAAATCGGCGGGATCCGAAGTTCAGGTCCTGCGACCTACCTGATCGACCATCTTGTGCTTGAGGATAGTGGACTTGGCGAGGACCTTCATAGCGACGCTTTCCCCCGTCTCGGTGTCATGGGCGAACTTCACCTTAGCGAAGGTCCCTTCTCCGATGGTCCGGCCCACCTCGTACTTGCCCACCTTCCTCATCCCCATTCTCGTGCTGTGCCTAGCCCCGACGGCACCAAGCTCACCTAATGTCAAGTCCACGGCCGCGTCACCGCCCCGATGACACCTACGAGGGTAGCGAGCAGGACGCAAAACGGCGAGCTGTATGTCGGTGGCGTTCAGGGAGAGATTTCCGGCGCTGTAGGACCAGAGCAGGCGATGGATGGATTGGATGGACTACGGGAAGGAGTCAACCGGGAATGCCTCATGAGAGCCGGCACCCCCCTCCCGAACGGAAATTCTTTCGACACAGAAGAATTCCGAAGAAAATAGGTCAGCATAAACCCGTCGCGTCTCTTCTCTCTTTGGCGAACTTCTCCTTCCGAGGTTAATCGAGTAAATATGATATCCATTAAAATGGATAAATCAATCACCAGACCGGGGGCGAAAGTCCGCTCGACGAGTGCGTTCGTTCGTTCGGACATGGGACCATCTCGGCCGGCGAGCTGGGTTATCCTCTCCGGCGGACTTGGTATTCCCCGGATGAATATTTCCAAAACCCAGGCAGTTCTCTCGGAGGGCCCTCTTCCCGCTTCGCTCGTCGGGGGACCCAGGCTTGGACGCATTCAGAGATGCCAGATGCATGGTCGCATTCGCCCCAGCCGGAGCCGTGCGTTGTGGCAGCTCCTCAGGGGTGGGCGGGCAAAAGAAAGGTCCAACCCAAATATATAAATAGGCTCTGGCTGACCCTCTATTCCCAAATCTACATTGCCATTGTGTCCCAAGCAGACCTTATTTGATCCACCTATTCATGACCTTCTAGGTTACAAAAGAATAGTATATTACTCTCAAATAAAAGTTAAATGTAGACCTTATTTGCTCCAAGTTAATCTCTAATTCATAAGGATGATGCTTCCCATTAATTAAAAAGAAGAGCCACTATAGTTTTTCTTCTTTTACCCCTCGAGTTAGACTCACCTTATCTTATGATGTGACAGCTTGATAGCGTCAGACATGAGGGCTACTTTTAACTACTCCTTTTCTGTTTTTTTTTGTGTATTGTGATCATCGTCTTGATTGACTTACAAGGTTAATTGCCTCATATTTTAACCTCATATTGCATCTATTGTGTCTACTATGTGCATTAAACTTTTACATGCACATCGCACGCATGTTTTTACTACCTTATGTCACATAGTGTTATATGTGCCATACCATGCTAACATTGAGTCACTTAACTCCAACAACTTTCAATCTTCATGACACACTCCCTTGAACATCTTTAGTATTAGCAAAGTTATTCATCTAAGTCATTCATAAATTCACACTAGCTTCCTTTATTTTGCACATGTTGCATCATGTTGACAACGTTGTGCCATGACAATACACCACTTTGATGTATTACATCTCAAAAATTCATAAATCCACTTTGTGAATCTCTCTTTGACCTAATGGTGTCATTTACTCAACTCATGTACACATAGATGTGACGTCTTTCGTTTTGCATGTGTCACACCATCCAATGCCAAACCACATTATATCACTACCTAACTTAGATGCATTCAAATTTGTTAGAGCAAAAGTCATATTCAACTTGCTAGTGGTGCATCATGGCATTTCCTTGGGGGCGGACAACAATACAAGGCACCAACTAAAATATATAAAAGCCAAAGATATCTTGTTTTCTCTTTGTAGGTGTTGGTCATGACCTACTTTGATACAGGATGAGGCGAGAACCCTTGTATCTGATCAATGAAACTTAAGACTTAGGATAGAATAGTCGGATCGATCCAATAAGAATGTATGGGATCTAGACTTTAGGTCTAACCACTTAACCTAAGTACAGACAGGCGTACCAACATACACTATCAACCTAAGATAACTTGGAGAAACACTCGACGATCATAAGTGTGAGACCCTCTCAGTCCACATCGAGAAATACGGCGGAACAGTTATCGTGAAGTAGCCTAGGGCTGCAGCTCACGAAGGGTGACGAGTGTGACACAATATTAGAAGACATGATCCTATAACCCGTCCTATCTTGTCTACGTTCTCTTAATGGTGGTGGAAATGAGCCAAGAAAACCCTTTGAAAGATAATTAAACTTAAGTAAAAAGGGATATGAAGTTAACCTTCGGGGTTGTGTAGCCTGGAGGGTTGTGATGGAGTGGAGACTTGACGTAAGTAGAGACGTATAGTGAAGAACGATGCTCAACGTCAACGGTTGGTCTTGGTCGAGAGTCGCAGTAGTCATCTTCATAAGGTGTGGCATGGTCGGCGTGGGCGTGGGCCAGCTGGTGGGCCGAAGGGCACGCTAAGGGGCGCGCGCGACAAGCTGCACGGCGTGCCTCGAGGCACGTAGGCAGCGACACCGGGTGGACATGCGGGCCGCAAGAGCCAGCGTGGGGGGCACGTGCGGCGGTAGCGCTTCGGCAGGAATGCCGAGCATCAGTAGCACATCGCCGGGAATGCCAAGCGTCAATGGCGCTTTAGGGGGAATGTCGAGCGTCAATAGCACATCGGCGGGAATGCCAAGCATCAGCGGCGCTTCGGAGGGAATGTCGAGCGTCGGCGGTTGGGTGGAAGCCCAACTGTCGTCAGAAGGATCGGCCTTCTTTGATGGCGTCGGGAAGCAGAGTAGAGGAAGAAGACGATCCGGCCGATGATACCAATGAGGGTTGAGCCCTCCTAGTCTACGTGGTGCCAGAAACGGCGTGATGGCGGTGATCATCGAGAAACTCCGGCGGGGGCCTGTGAGGAGCTTGGACTGAATCTGGCTTGTCGGCACGGCTGCAGGGTCTCTCCCAATGTTGGCGGCAGGTAGGCGTTCATTGACGAATGGCCAGCAACTGGGTGGAGCAGCGGATGGCGGCTCCGACAAGTTTATGATGGAGTTTCAGAGGAAGAGGTGGCGGTCAAATTGGGAGTCAAGAGACTCTGGCAGAGTGCTTAGTGACGGCTTGTAGGGAGGCAAAGCAAGCCCCTTTCGTCACAACGACATGACGGGGTTCCAGTATAGGCGGCGGTGGTTGCAGCGGCAACTGTGACCATTTTGTTTGGTGACTGCAGCGATCTCACATGACAATGACGATGTCCGACAATGGCGGCGGGACTTCTCAGGCAACAATGTCACGAGGAACAAAATCCTCAAAGGGTATCGATGGCCTTCCTCTCCCTCCTTCCCTCCCTATCCTAGGTTACGAAGAAGGTAACTCACAAATGATAATTTCTCACAAAATTTGGCGCCTTTTCTGAGGGAGGGTCCTACCTCCCCTTATATAGGGCCCACAAGTGGGCTAAGGGGAGGTGGGCTCACTTGAGGCCCTCAAGCCCATAAGCCACAAAAAGGCTACAAAAGGGGATTATTGGGCCTCTAAAAGAGAGACACAATAAGCTCCCCTAAAAGGAGAAAGAGGAGGGCCCTTGTATGATGCTTAAGTGGGCCTCAAATGAAGACCCAAATAAGCCCCAAAAGAGGCCTAAAAGGAAAGAAACATAAGTCCCCTCCCTTAGGGTCTTAATTGGGCCTCAAGAGAAAGACCCAATAAAACCCTAAAGAAAGGGAGACACAAATAACAACACACACATATAGAATTGGGCCCGCTAACACACAAACACGAGGCCCAACAAGTCAACATGAAAATACAAAGAAAGATAAGGGTGAGCTCAAGCTCATCGTTGTCGCGGAGGTGGAATGTCATCGTCCTGAATGACTAGGTCATGTAGTGAAGGCCATGCCCCTTCGTCTTCGCACATCAATCGGACTGAACTCAGACTGTCGGTGTCTCTTGAGCTGATGGAGATGGGTTCTACACACCATCATACTTGAGTGATACCTTCACATACGTTTTCATTTTACAAAGGAATTGTATATTATTTTCAAATCAAAGCACACAACAAGAGAGGTTAACCTCTAATTCCAAAACAAAATGGCTCCCAATAATTATAAAAAGAGTTCACTTGGCTTTTCTTATGATTACACAGATTTAACTCTAGCTACGATAGTGGTGAGCTTGGCAACTATTCCAACTACAACATTCTCCCACTCTTGTCTTGACAATGGCCTAAGGCCTGAGCAGCTGCATGCCTCCCTCCTCCCCTTATGATGTAATAACAAAATAACTTGATAGCGTGGGAGATAACGCATAATTGCCTAGCAATATTTTAATATATATTATGACCAACATCTCAATAAGATTTACTTAACATTGTATGTTTTTTGATAAAGTGGGGCTCACTTGTAGGGTTGTCTACTTCATACTTTAACGTCATTATGCTTATATTGTGTAATTGATGTATGTTCTACATATCTCTACTTGTGCATTCCATGCATGTGCGTAATTGCTTTGTGTTGTATCCTGTTGCTTATATCGTATCATGCTAACACCATGTATATGCCTTGTTCTACACCATAGCATTTGTGCCACACCCTCTGAATATTTAATGTAAAGATCAATTTAATTAGGTTTGCCTATAAGACACAAACTTGAAAAACAAAGGGATGTATGTGCCCTAATCTCTTGTTTATTGGCCTAGAGTGTGGGGCTGACACCACCTATTGTATAGAGATAAAAGAAAAAGGGTGTTGGGAAGATAGGATATAGCTGAACTAAAATTCTAGTAGGAGGAAAATCCAACTCTCTACCCTTTAGATCTTGAGAGAAGAACTTCTCTCTTAGAAGAACAATATAAGTTGCGTCATGAATGTAGAAGAACTCTTTAAATTATGTAAAACCCCTAGCGTGTTGTTTCTCTTCTCCATATTATTCTCTCTACTACCTCCACACTCTTCATTTCTAGTATCTTTTTCCTTGTCATTTTCCTACAATAAAAAGGAATTTTGGTGTTTTATTTTGTTTTCTAATTAGTATCATAGTGGTGTTCAAAGAATTTGGGTTAAGGTTTTTATTGTTGACAAACTCTATTAGAGGAAGAGTGAGACTATGATAATTAATCATGGGAAAGATAATTAGAAAATTCAATGATAAGGTCTTTAGATATTGGAAAATGCAGATAGAAGACTACTTACATGAGAAGAAGCTCAATCAGTCCTTGCTACATGTGAAGTAAGAGGAAGTGTCACAAAAGATTAGAAATTAGTAGATAGACAATTTCTTAAAATAATTTTTCAAAGAATGTTAAAAAACGTCACATGTAGTATTTTGAATGAGAAGACCACAACTTATTTAATGGTTGTCTTATAAGATGTGTGAGCAATCTTTGAAATTAAATAAGGTATACTAAACATGGCATCGTTTCAATTTGATGATAATACAAGGTACATTTGCAACAAACCAAGTTAATGACTTCAATTTCATAATCAGAAAATTGAGTTCCATACATATTATATTTGATGATGAGATCATTGTAATAATTTAGTTATCTTCTTTCTTCAATAGTTGGAGGTCCATTGTAAATACTGTTAGTAGCCTTTAAAGTTATTGAAATTCTATGAAATTTGTAATTGGAGTAGAAGAGAAGATATATGTAGGAAAGAATCAAAAGAAACATCAACTTCAGTTCTAAGTCTTAAAGGTAGTAGTGGAACACATTTGAGAAGTCGATAATGTGGCAAAAATAAATCATGAGGAAAAAGTCATTAAAAAGTACAACACATATCAAGAGAGACTACAAACAAAGGAAAAAAGGTAGTAATCAAAGTCAAAGAATGAATAATGATTTTACAAAGTCATTAGTAGATGTACAAGTTTTAATTTTCAATATAGACCACTCAATGGAGCTTTGGATCGTAGACTCTGTGAATAGTAAAGCCAAATTGTATATTAATTAAAGAAAAGGTACCAAGTCTCTATTTATAGAGAGAGAGAGAGAGAGAGAGAGAGAGAGAGAGACGGTGCACTAAGCCCTTTAATAGGCTCTAGTGTATTTAGTCCTCTAATGGGCTCCAGTGCACTAAGCCCTCTAATAGGCTATGGTGCATTGAGCCCTATAATGGGTTATATCTAATACTCTTCCTCAAGTTGGAGCATATGAATCGAACATACTTAATAAGTCTTTATTATCATGAGTTAATAATTAGTAAATAATATAGTTTTAGTCTTAACTCATGATAAATAGACTTCTATTTATGTTAAAGTGTGAAAAATAGTTTTCAATTGATTAATGTGAATTTTTGGATAATTATGTTATTTTATACGTATTTATATGATTTTTACAATCTTACTTTTGAGATAAATAGAGAAAAATAAATAAAAATAAAAATATAATAAAATGGGGGGGATTTACTAGTCAGTTGGGCCTACAAGCAGGTCAAAAATGCAGTTAGGAGGAGTCGTGAGCAAGGGCTTAAGTGGCTAGGACCGATAGGGGCACGTGTGCACCACTCTCCTATGTCATTGGTGGCCAATTAGTTGTGAGGCAAAAAGTAGTTATACATGCCTAAGAAAGGGATTTGATTTTAAATATAATATTACTATATATTTGCTAGAAACTTCGGCACACAAACGATGTGGGACTAAACTCATGTCACACCTTTCCTATAAAAGGCAGGCAACCAACATATTCTCAAATCTTCCTAGAGCCAAAACTCATATTTTTTATCTGATTATCATGACTTTCCTACATATTGATAGTGAAGGATTAAGCCACTAGAATCATTAGATCATTGACGAAAATCTCATCAATACGATTTGTAGAGTATTGTTACTCAAATTGTCGAATGATTCGCGATAAAAGGATCATGAATCAATCTAGTAAAGGATCTCCGATTGATCGACGAATAAGTCATCGTCGTGAAGACAACGATCCACCAAGAGACGAGTTACCACCTCCTGAGAGCATACTAAATGTAATAAAGAGCCTTCTCTTACTGTGCAGACTTGAGGATGAAACTCCCTAATATGCGCCCCACCTCCATCTAGCTCCTCTCTATCGGGTAACAACTGCTGAAGAACCGCAAAGTCATTATTTTTCCACTCTGTTAGGTGACAGCTGTTAGAGACAATTTGACAACCTATTTCATTGATCTCTAGACTTTGCAAGGAGATCTAGAGATTACCCACGTCATCCTTGTCTAAAGAGAGTCTTTAAGGCCATGGACACTACACGACGATCCTCTTGAACGCTCAAGATTCTGATGCATCGTCGACGTATCACCGCGATGTTGGAACTCTATTTTCCTATTTTCAACTTAATTTTTACTTCATTTAGTGATAATTTGTGTGATCTAAATTTACCAAGATATACCTCATTCAATTATGATTATTTCAATTTTTACAGATCTTAATTTGATCAATTAAATTATCTATAATATAATCACTTACGTAAGAATCACTAGGTGGAACTCTATTTCTGCCCAATTCGCATTCATCAGGCATTGACATCATCTTGACATCCGCACCCTTATTTCCTTTTTTCGTGAATTTTAAATATATTTTATTTTTATTTTTTAGTGTAAAATTTATAGAAAATAGAATTTTTTGAAGATAATTCTGAATAATTCCTTTATATTATATTACATCCCTATGATCGATTTGGAAAATTATCACTATTTTTAAGAAGTTTTATTAAATTATAATTAATATATTTGTTTAGAAATACTTCTAAATATTTGAAAATTTATATTTTCTAGTTTTATAAATTTTAAATTTACATGATTTACTATACAACGACTAAGTCATGTCAATGCCCAACTTAGGTCTCATAC